TGATAGACTTAATTCAAGAGTTTAGTCATTTATTTCCTGATACACCATCACGTACTGATATGATAGAACATGATGTAGACGTGGGTGAGGCTAGTCCAGTTAAGCAACATGCTTATCGATGCAATCCAATTAAACTAGGGCTATTGAGAAAGGAAATAGATTACATGCTGGAGAACGATATCATACAGCCTAGTAGTAGTCCATGGAGTTCCCCTTGCATTCTTGTGCCAAAGTCTGATGGTGTACAAATTTTAAGAAGGTCAATTCTATGTCTAAAACTGATTCTTATCCCTAGCCAAGAATAGACGACTGTATAGATCGTGTAGGGCAGACAAAATATGTGACAAAGTTTGATCTTTTAAAAGGCTATTGGGGCATACCATTATCACCTAGGGCAAAGCAAATACTTGCATTTTGTACTCCAGATGGCTTGTTTGAGTACAATGTTATGCCTTTCGCACTCAAAAATGCACCAGCAACATTCCAACGCTTAATGAATCAGGTCATTTTCGATGTAGAGCACTGTGACGCCTACATTGATGACATCATACTTGCGACGAAGACATGGAGAGAGCACATACAAGGCATAAGACATTTGTTAGAGAAGTTATCTCAAGCTCAACTCACAATCAATTTGAGCAAGTCAGACTTTGTGAAGGCTACGGTTACCTACCTAGGTCACGTGGTAGGGCAGGGACAGGTCAAACCAATGCAGGCTAAGGTGGAGGCTATTTTGAAATTTCCTACACCCAAGAACAAGAAACAGGTTATGAGTCTCTTTGGGCTCGAGGGCTATTACCACAAATTTTGTAAAAAAATTGCGCACATAGCAGCTCCATTAACAAGTCTGCTAAAGAAAAACTTTCCATTCCATTGGAAGAAGGACCAGGAGGAAGCTATGCAGAAAATCAAGGTTATTCTGACGAATTCATCAGTGTTGGTAACACCTGATTTTGAAAAGCAGTTCATCATTCATGTGGATGCGTGTGATCTTGGCACCGGTGCAGTTTTGCAGCAACAAGACGCACATGGAATAGAGCATCCAATATGCTACTTTAGCAGGAAATTTAATAAACACCAAAGGAATTATTCTACCATAGAAAAAGAGACATTAGGGCTGATATTGGCATTGGAACAATTTGAGATTTATGTGGCTACAACAGTGTACCCAGTATTGGTGTTCACGGATCACAATCCGTTGGTGTTTGTGAACAGGATGAAAAACAGGAATCAACGGCTAATGAGATGGAGTATTGCCCTTGAAGAATTCAACTTGAACATCAAACGTATCAAGGGGGCACAAAACGTCATCGCTGACGCCCTTTCCAGAGGTTTTAATTCATAAACAACTTAGGAATGTATACCTTGAACATGAACAATGATGGTTTATGAACATTTGGAGCAGTATGCTATGCTTTGATGTATCATATGTATAGTGTGTTGTTTTTCTTGTGTGTGTAAAGATTTGGAAAATATCTGTTGACAACGAGTTGGTGGTGCACATGTGTTATGTGTATGGATGTATGCTTTTATATGTTTGTTAGTATATCAGATGCATTTAGACTTGAATTGAAACAAGAAGGCTTGGGTTTGCGTAATTTTGCTTGAATAGTACACCTGGGGAGCTGGCTGCCTGAGCGGGTTAAGTAATTATGTAATAAGTGAAGCTTGTAGCTAATCAGCATTATAGTATAAGGTTGGGGTGATTCAAAAATAGTTATTTTTTTCTGTTTCTTGGGTGTTGGCCAGACCTGTATTTTAACCTCCTCATTTTTAATGTTAAAGTTCAGAACACTGTGTGAGAGATTGTATCCCATGTCGGGGCTTGTGAAACTGAACTAGAAATCATGCTGATATTTGCAAATGTGTGCCTTGGAAAACTGGCATTGTGAGCTTATGTGGAACTATGGATATATGTGTTTTCGTGGACCAAGGAGTGGAGTGAACAATCAAACATGGAAATCAGGGTGACAATATAAGTATACAATTTATTGTAGCCCTTTGATAGTGATATTATTGTACATGGTAGCCCAAGCCTAATTCTCCCATAGTAAACTTAGCTGTATTGGCAATCTCTCATGCATTGTTTATAAATATCTGTCTTAATTGTTGTGCGATCCTTTAATCGTGCAAATGGATTTGGAGTGCATCCCTTCGTTCCACTTCCACTCGTAACACATGCTTTACAGATCCTGCAATCGACCGAAATCTGCATGACAGTTTACGAACCAGATTTTGATTCCGTTGCGTGATTTTGATTTGACTATGCAAAAACCTGTTAGTCCAGCCAAAATATAACTCCATAATACTAGCCTAGTTTGGCAAGGTTGGAAACTGGACTTTTATAGTCAGTTAACTTTCTTGCCTCGAGAAGACGGTACGTCTTTGATTTCTGCTAGAATTTAAGTGACAAAAAAATGTGGTTAATAACTTGTGGTAGATCAGCGAATATGATTTGACAATCCGGTATAAAAAAATGTAGTGCAAAGCTCCATGCAGTGATATAGGAATCAGTTATGCACAGTAAGAGATGGCATGAAGTGTTGCGAATATGCAAATCACTGCTTCGATTGACAACTTTTGACGATTGAAGAAACTATCGAGTAAGTTTTTTATTGACATTTTTAGGTACAGTAGATCAGGGTTCACTCAAGGGATTTTCAGACATGGGCCCTTCCTGTGTAAATTTCAAATATTCACAAGGTACGCCCATACAACAAAATGTTAAAATGCCTCATTGTATTCAAAACTGTGGGCCTAGAATTATCCCTGGTAGATAATTTTATTCAAGCAGAACAACTTTTTTATGTTAGTAGGTGAAAATGAGAGTGTCAATGCAGATAAAACTTTTGAAAGATTTGCGCTGAATTAATGTTGATGCGATATCTATGACAACTGTGCGAGAATATCATGGAATAGCAGCCTAAAAATCAATCCCTGAAACACTGAACTTGACTGAAATTTTATCATCTTTCAAACATTTAAAGTCAGAAGGAATGTTTGCATGGTCAGAAAGAAATGCGAACATTTATGACTTATAGTGTAACCATAGATTTCTCGATAATGTTTGCCATTTAACAACATGTCACATGACTAACCGTGGGTCCTGGTAGTCCTGTGGGTCACTGGGTCCTACTCAGTACCCTCCCTACCCAAGTTACCCATCCCAGCCCTAGTGGTCAGTCATGTGATATGTTGTTTTGTTAAAAAACTTCACTATACTGTAGAATTAAGTCATTAATGTTAGCATTTCTATCTGATTATGCATGCATTCCTTATGACTTTTATGTGTTTGAATAAAGATAAAGCTTCAGTCATCTTCAGTGTATTCATGAATGACCAGATTGTTTATACGTGTATCCAACAACTTCTTTCCTGGGCTCTGGTAAATCAATTCCTAATCAGACATTTTGTACCCAACTCTTGAAAGCTACAGCAGGTACCCAGGTAGGGTCGGGAACCCAGGATGTAAATTTGGACTCGCCCCAGCCTGGATGTGTGGAACAGTTAAATAATTAACTACAGACATTGTCCAAAGGCTAGGAAATCCAGGTATATTATTTGCTATGTGTTATCAAATAATACTAAGTTCCGTTTTTACCCAAGCTTTGTAAATTAGGAATGTATTATTGATAAATATCTCAGATTCCTCACCTGGATAACAATGCAAAATGTTTTTAAGACATTGCTTAGTATAAATCAAATCTTTATTTTAAGTACCATATTTTCTTTATTAAATTTTGCGTTTATTAGAGGACAGCGTGTATTTGTGTATGAGTGGCCCAGTGTTTTTTCTCTTTAATTCTGGCACAGTGGCAACTCACTCCCTTTAACAGTTTTGTGTCTATAACTTTCGTAATTACTAAGATATGTTGATAAGATTTCAAGTATAGAATTATTCCTTCCTGCTGTATCCATTTTGGGAATCAGATATTCCCTTAAACAATGTTAAAATAATGTTGATCAATGTAGAGATGACTTATATTTTACTGATATCAAGATCAATAAGCATGATAAGGATTTGTTTTGTTGTTTTACACCGCACACAGCAATATTCCAGCTATATGACATGGTATGTACATAATCGAGTCTGGACCAGACAATCCAGTAATTGACATCATGACCATCGATCCACGCAATTAGGATCGGTGACATGCTTGACCACCCAATCCCGTTAGTTGCTTCTTACGACAAGCATAATTCGCCTTTTACGGCAAGAATGGGTTGCTGAAGACCTATTCAGGATAAGGAGGATCGAAGAGACTTTCATGCTTAGATTTACTTTATTGCATAGAATCCAGTGTTAAAATACCTCTTAATTTATGAAGATAAATTCTGGTACAAAAAATCACAAGTTTGAAAACGATAATGTTATATTTTCCCCTTTGAGATAAGATCAGACCAATAACAATACGTTTTCTGAAGGAATTTTGGGTTATATCAGCATAAGGTCTCAGCTTATTGATGAACACATATACAAATACATGAGAACCTCACAAACTTTATAAACATTAAATGTGGCACTAGCAAATACATGCTTAACAATTATTTATACCCAAACATTATTTAACCTGGTACTAACTGGTGTGAATGAATTCCTGGGCCTGTTTGTTCTCAACATTGGCACTCACAGGCAGCAGCCAGCAGCCAGCAGGTAGAAGTTGATACTCCAAATGTTAAACACGAGAGTTATTGCTTGATATTATATTTACTGCTCAAATGAATCAAGGTCACTTTTAGTAACTGTAGAGTGTGTCATTAAATTGTACCACAACAAGTAACACAAACTAATTATTATTTATGTCATGGACTTTCAAATTTTTTTCAACATAGTAACTTCTTCTTACCTCTAGTTGTGCAAGAATGAAATGCTTTGGAAGAATCTGTTAAAACTGTCACAACATTATGCGATTTTAAGTTAAGAAATTATGCACTATATAATGCAGAAACTTGCATGGGGTATTCTTCATTGTGAAAAAGCACAGCATCTATTGTTTCAGGTGTGCTGTGGGATGGAATAGGCGCCATTCCTGGAAGTCTGGAGACAATCAAGTATCTTAAAAAATTGGTAAGGTACTAGATAAAAATATTATGATTAATAGGGTCTTTAAAAGTTTGAAGTTCAAATGCAGGAGCTATGAGGTGAAATGGCATATATTATTATTGACTTGTGTTTGTTGATAATTGATCCAAGAGCAAACAAGTGGCGTAACGATACGGCGAATAAGTATTGTATAGTGATACGAGGCCCACGATACAATACATTGTTTTACGACCACTGTATTGTGATACATACAATATATTTCATTGCAAGTTATATAGGTGTAAAAACGCGAACAATTACAGGAACTGTTCAACCACCAGCTCATGCAGATTCTCAAGTATATCATGGTTGGACATAAGGATCATACACCGTATTCAACGTAATAAGCGCCCACGGCGATATTTGCTGATATATTGGCTAGTGAACAATCCCAATTAGCACCCCTTCCGATTGATCAATGTACGCAAGACTTATTATCCCCCGCCACGAAGTGGAAGGGGGATATAGGAATGGCTTGCCCTCATTTTGCCTACACCTCATTTTGCCTACACCTCATTTCGCCTACAATAATTCAAATGCTTAATTGCCTCACCCCTACGTCACACTAGAAACAACGCACACTAGAAACAACATCATAGCTGAGGATTGTTGATGTCATTCGACGCATTGTGGTTTTCTAGGACAGCGAGTGTGATCAGTGCAAAAGAAATTTCTAAATTCTTCTCTGTATATAGGCATCTTTTTCGGTAAATATTTCATATCATACTCCATTTAAAACACTTGTGCCTTAATATATGTCGGACTTGTTAATTGATATGATTTAGGACCTAAATATAATTCATACAAATAAAATTATTATGTTGTACAAGAGGTTGCAAATTTGGTGTGGCAGGTCAGGTAACTCTGACACTTTGACATGGATTCTTGAGAATGATAGTATCAAGATTGTTTTGTTGAACAGAATCTCTATACATGTACTATTAAGCATTGTGGATCATGTTCTCATTTCTACATTATGCAGTTCAGAATGTTTACTATCATGATTATACCAGCTCAAATTATTTAGCGATGAATAAATCTATGACGGGAAAAAAATATAGCATTTGTATTATTTATTGTGTCACTACTCATAACAGGAGAAACTGATTAGGTAAGATCAGCTCATCTTGAAAACATCAGTGCAAGGTTATGTTTCTGGTCTTTGTGAGAGTGTCTGTCTGTTAGCATTGAAATTTAACATCTGTTCTCAGGAACTACTAAACTTATCATATTCACATAACAGTGTCCGGACAGAAAAAGTTAAATGTCCGGTAAGCAATATTTTAAATCGGACATTTGAGATTCACAATCGGACATGTCCGGCGCATATGACCGTTTCTGGACCCTTGCATAACACGTTCTGCTTTTGCTTGGTTAACTTGGTTATGTGAAGGATGAAAACTGGTCATTGAAACCAACAATCAAGGACATTTCTGCTTTTTTCCATGATTGATAATAAGAAATGTTCCTGTACTTTACTTACAATCAAACTGATATTCATTTATTCATTTGCATAGACTTTAGGTTTTACACTCTATTTAGCATTGATTTCACGATATGATTGTTTACAACTTCAGGCGAATCTAATGATGTAAGGCTGATGAGGCAGTCACTTTGAAAGCCTGTAAATCACTATCAATTAATAGGGGCGGTCGGGTAGCCTGGTGGTTAAAGCGTTCGCTCGTCACGCTGAAGACCCGGGTTTGATTCCCGACATGGGTACAATGTGTGAAGCCCATTTCTGGTGTCCCCCGCCATGATATTGTTGGAATATTGCTAAAAGCGGCGTAAAATCAAACTCACTCACTCACTATCGATTAATAATTCTTAGTGTCTGTTTAACATGTCATTATTCTAATGTTCCTGAATACCACAAAATAGGTCATTCAAAAATAGGGATCAAAATGTTCTGAGAACTTAAAAAAGATTAAAGTACCTTTTGTAATTTTGGGTATTATGTCTGGTATACAAAAGCGCAAGTTTGCATCTTCACCCCTTAAATGTTTATCAACGTATGAACATGATTAGGTGAGGTTCTGTACCTTTGATACTCTGGTTCAGCATTCGAAGTAAGCACCTGCCCGCAGGCTCGTGGCAGGTAGATCTTGTTTCGGGCCTGAGGTTTCAAATTTGTATGGGTCCTTATGGACTGCAGTAAATTTTCGTGTCAATTTATTTTTTCACAATAAGCGACTGGAATTTTGTTTATTTCAAACACTGCTCTGTTTTTCAAATTAACGGTATCGTTACCTAACTAGACAAAATGCAGGAAATATCTGGCCAGTTCAGAAACACTTTTGGTGAGTTAGTTTTACTTTATAATATACAACATACAGTTATGCATTAAATGGTGATTTATGTTCGTTTCCTTTTGAAAATCTCTTTGAGGATGTCAACATTTCATAATTAAGTTTCAGTGGAGGTGTAAGGGTATGTCACAAATTATCTGTGTGCTACTTGCTATCTAATAGCAGTTATTGTTATTGTTAATCTTCTGCTTATTACAACATATCATGTACATATATTCCTCTCATCCCTTGGGACCACCTCCGTGGTCTAGTGGTAGAGCATCTGCCTGGTGAGCAGAAGGTCTGGGGTTCGATCCCCGGCCGTGTCATACCAAAAGATGTTTAAAGATGGAACTTGTTGTTACCCTGCCTGGGGCTTGGCGTTATGGGCTAAAACAAGGACTGGATGGTTTGGAGTCAGCATACAGTGTCTGAGTGGAGTGCAGCATGGTATCTCTATAAAATTGGTATGAGTCCGGACTGGAACAAGCACACACACACACACAAGTACGCACGCAGTTGAATGTGTTGGTAAGATAGGGAACCTTGTCCATAACCACCAAGGATTTATCAGGCAGTGCTAAGAGGAGCTGCTCCTCAACATACGCAGTGTAAACCTGACTATTCATCTCGGTATGGTAGTCTCTGCCATCTGTAGATGTGGATCTGAACACAAGATCACACCCAGAGAGGAAACCTCTGTGGGAGAATGCATGGAGGACAATCAGGTGCTCCTCTTTACCAGGGGAGATCTTGCGCTGTGGCTCTCTGGTATCTGGGTGAGACCATTGGTAAGCCGCTGTGTGGCAGGCGTTAACCCAGGTTTCGTCCAAATAGACAGGCTCGTAGCCTTCTTCTCGTTTCTTTTTAATAGTGCGCAAATAATTGATACACAAACGAATGATATATGGTCGTTCACACATTGCTAGTTTCGACCCTTTCATCGTTTTGTACTGATATCCAAATTTGGAAAATATCTAAGTCATGCTCTGTAAGGAGAATTTGTTTTAGTTTTCGTGTTGAAATAAATTCATTTTCTCGGGTTTACTGCCAAATCACGTCCCTGACAACTTTCTTATCAAAGGAATCTAACTTTAATTTCCTATCCTGTTTTGAGATGCCCCCTAAGGGATGTGCAGGGGAGCATGTTTTTTTATGAGAGTTCAAAATCTTAACTACTGTTTGTTTTGGAAGCTGTACCGCATGAATTGTTCTATTCATATACTTTGAAATGTCAAAGAAGGCCGAATGTCTTTCACTTTCAGCCTTAAAGTATTCAAATATTTTAACAACGAAACCTTTTGCATCAGCAGAAAGTACTTGCGCTGAGACATCATGAAATCTAATGCCAACACCGTATTCGTGCGTGCGTGTTTCCCGTGCAACCTTTCGAGTTGAGTTGATTGGTTCAACTGTGTCATATGGCCCTGTGACGCAGGGGTAGCATTAGGCAGATGGCTGTTACAATGAATGCGCGTTCCACCCGTGATGAACAGGTCTGGTTGTTGATGAAATATAGTGATAGCTAAATAGACATATTCATGCACCGATTGTCTTTAAATGAAATATTCAGTTATGTATGACTGTTTAATAGTCTCATACCAACTTTGACTGAAGTAGGTCCAAAAGTTTTTCAGATATTGTAGTAAACGTCGGTACCTTAAATTACCTTCCAGACTATAGTTCGTTCGGCAAGGGGGGTTGGAAACTGGACTTTCATAGTCAGTTAACTCCCTTGCCTTGGGAAGATGGAAGAAATACTAAATTGAGCACCATTTCCTTCTCTATTCTCTTATCAATATATTTTATTTTCCTTTTATTCATTGCAATTCCTGCATTATGTTCTTTATCGTGTATGGTTCATTTTTGTGTATGTAACAATTGCTTCTCTTTTAGGGCAAGAGGGTTTTCTATGCTACCAATAACAGTTCAAGTACCCGAGAGCAGTATGCACAAAAGTGTCTGAAGTTTGGTTACGATGCTACAGAGGTATGTGTCCTCTATATATCAACATGATCAAGGCAGATCCAGTGTTCCAGACAATGTTTTGATCCATTGAGCATGTTGAGTATTTACACACAAGTAATCATTCTCATTGCAGTCTGTGACTTCAGCCAATAGTCTGAAGCCCAGTCTAGTAAAAAAAATATTATTCTAGTAAGCTCAACTTATAATAGTCCCTTACAGTAACACTTAATTCTACTGAAAATGATGCCAAGAGCTAGTTTCGGGCCAGTAGACTCCATTATCTTTAGCACAGACTGTCATTGGGTATTTATTCTATTCTTTGGGTATTCAGTATGTTTTACTCACTTTGGTCAAGTTCATTGGGTTTAGCAGTAAGCATTTGTTAAAAATAGTTTGGCTTAAAGTGCCACTAGCGTAGGGAGTGTCACATGAGCTCACTTGTAATGCCATGTGGCTAGTACCCTGTTCATATGCACCTCTATAGATATCTGCGTTTATTTGCATGAGTGTGTAAATATAGATTATAAGTTGCCGTTGGCTGCGGTGCATTGGCTCACACACAGGGAATATCACATATATGCTCCGAGGGATCGGTTAACAACGACTTTATCTCACTGACATTCATACACACATGGAATATATGTTTCACCAAGTAAAACATTTTGATTCAGCCATTTTGACAGCTAGCAGATGATGCAAACCATAGATCTTCCCTTTACCCAGTACATTCGGATAAACATCGTTTCTTTTCAGCTCATTTCAGATAAGCACGCTACCTAAGGTGTGTTGCAATTGATTTCTCAGCAGGGTACATGAGCGGGCTATATGGAAAATAATTGCCCACTCCCTAACCAATCAGATAACCATGAGTATACTCGTTATGCGGCACATATACACCGAGAGTAAATTTGCACCATGTCTGGAACAGGTGCATATGTACATTTACACAAGAGCAATGATTTTTTATGTAAATGTTGCAATGTGAACGTTTATTCCAGAGGATGATCTAATTCCTATAATCTGTTGATTTGCCTACACCAAAAAATTGGCAACTGTTCTGTATTCTAAGGTTGACTCTATACAGCAATACCAACTTTCATGTGGACTCCGGGGGCACGGGTGGCCCAGTTGTCTAAGGTGCCGCGATTTGCTGTGCAGAGTTGCATCCCTTGGGCACGCCAGAAACCTATGATTGTGGGTTCAAATCCCAGTCCGCCCCAATTACGTTTCTAGGTTTGTCAGCACCATACCCGTGCTTGTGGGTTTCACGGAGGTGGTAAACGTCTGAGACCTGCATCACTTCCGGCTTTCCTCCCACATTAAGCTGACACGCCGCGATATAACTGGAATACTGTTAAAGGCGGCTTTAAACCCAACTCACTCAATCACTCACTCATGCGTACTCCAAGAGCTGGGCAGTCAGTGTTTTCTTTTGGTTTCAACATGTTCATGGAATCTAAAAGTTGTGTACGGAGTAAGTCAAACACATGTTGGTTCATGCAATGATTTTTGTAAGGTAACTTATTCCACTTTGTTTGTTGGACAATGTTTTCATGATGAATACTGTAAATCTGAAAATTAATGCGTCTCCAAATATATACAGCTGCTGACCCCTAGCCAAAAATGAGACTCAATGTCAATGCGATTCCCCCGACCCCACCCCCATCATCAAGCTGCGTTGTCATGATTATGCACTTCTGTAGAGTTCATGATTGTGATGACCATTTGAATAGTGAATACAGGTACGCCAGCTGGAATGGCTGCAGGGTTAGAACGAAACTGGTAATATAAATCTAGGAGATTTCATGAAAAACAGTGACAGTGACATCAGGTTGAATTTTGAATGATATTAATATTCCCATAGGGGGCACGGGTGGCTCAGTCTAAGGCGCCGTGATTCACTGTGCAGATTTGCGTTCCCTGGACACAGCAGAAACCTATGATTGTGGGTCCGAATCCCGGTTCGCCCCAATTATGTTTCTAGGTTTGTCAGCACCATACCCGTGCTCTTGGGTTTCACCGAAGTGGTAAACGTCTGAGACCTGCATCACTTGGGGCTTTCCTCCCACATTAAGCTGACACGCCGCGATATAACTGTAAACCCAACTCACTCACTCACTCACTAATATTCCCATAAAAGTTTCATTACAAAGGTTATAAGATATTCACTGATAATTTTTTTTCACTTATTTCAACAGGAAGAAATTGTGTGCACAGCCTTCATTGGAGCTTTATATTTGAAAAACATAAACTTTACTGGGAAGGTGTACCTCGTGGGAAATCCTGCCATGGGCGTTGAGCTGGATAAATACGGTATTCGGCACACAGGCATTGGGGTAAGTGTATGGATATGTGTGACGTCCTTCATAGGGGTAGGTGGATGAATATAGATGGTATCCTGCATCCAACATAACAAGCATTGGGTAGGTGGATGGATGAGTATGGTATCCAGCATAGGGGTAGGTTTGGTTTGGTTGGGTTTAGTTTGGTTGGGTTTGGTTTGTTGTTTAACCAGTATTCCAGCTATATGACGGCAGTCTGTAAATAATCAAGTCTGGTCCAGACAATCCAGTGATTGACATCATGAGCATCAATCTTCGCAATTGGGATATGATGACATGCATCAAACAAGTCTGAGCCTGACCACCCAATCTCGTTAGCTGCCTCTTATGACATGCTTTAGACAACATTCTAACCCGGATCTTCAGGATATACTGCATGTGCAAGCTGTGGCTTGTTTGTGGTTGATTCATATGTAGGTTGCAAATTTAGAAGGCCACGAGAGAACCTGGACATTATGATTCAGGATTGACGCTGCTGTAGCAGACAGACACGTTTTTTATTCTTCCCCGCCCTGAAGGCGGGGAAGTATACGGGAAACATTATTTTTTTTTGTAATACTTTTTTTATTCAGGGTTCAGGATACATTGTACACGATATAGTGCATATTAATACATTGACAGTTTGCACATCATTTGTAATGTGAGATTGATATTACTAGTGATAATAAATGATTTAATACATAATATATATGTATCACATTATGGAATCCCCTTTTTTATCATAAAAACAACAGCCATTCACACTTCTCATACAAACACCATTGGGAAACATTAATTTTGTAGCATGTATGTCGACATGTTGGTTTATTTGAAATTTCAAGCCACGCATTTACGGAAACAAAACATACAAATCATGTGCGTGGAATGTTGATGCTATTCTTTTCCAGCAATTAGAGATACTTCAAAATCGTCTTTATGTAGTTAATTGATGCATCTGACCGTTTCTGGTCATTAGCTGACATTATTAAACCATTCATGTGTATCCTACATCCAACATAACAAGCATAGGGTAGGTGGATGGATAAGTATGGTCATCAGCATACAGGCATGGGGAAGGTGAATGGATAAATATGGCGTTCTACATACAGCCATAGGGTAGGTGGATGGATAAATATGGTGTTCTACATACAGGCTTAGTGTAGGTGGATGGATGAATATGGTGTTCTACATACAGGCATAGGGGAGGTGGATGGATAAATATGGTGTTCTGCATACAGGCATAGGGGAGGTGGATAGATAAATATGGTGTTCTACATACAGGCATAGGGGAGGTGGATGGATAAATATGGCGTTCTACATACAGGCGTAGAGGAGGTAGATGGATGAATATGGTTTTCTACATAAAGGCATAGGGTAGGTGGATGGATAAATATGGTGTTCTGCATACAGGCATATGGGAGGTGTATTGATAAATATCAGGGTATGAAACTCCCAAAGATTTCAGCCAGACCACAGGACTGGCTAGCTGCAATACTTGCCAGCCCTGACCAAAACCTGCCTGCCCACTATAATCATATGTTGCTCAGGATAATTTAATTAAAAATATGGAAACTGATTGCTTGTAGCCTAAGCGCATCGCTAAATGTTAGGTTGTCTTAAAGCTAATGGGGTTTCTTTTTGGTTACATTTTATCATTCATCTTTACATGTGAATTAATGCTTATCATCAAGAAATATTTAGAATATTTTCACCTATGAAATATAACCCGACCGTCGGGCAGGGGGATTTGAAAATCTGGCAGCCCGAGTTGAAATCAACCCGTCTCGGACGGTCGGGCAGGCAGGTATTTCGAACGCTGTAAATATGGCGTTCTACATACAGGCATAGGGGAAGTGGATGGATAAGTATGGTCTTCAGCATACAGGCATGTGGAAGGTGAATGGATAAATATGGCGTTCTACATACAGGCATTGGGGAGGTGGATGGATAAATATGGAGTTCTACATACCAGGATAGGTTAGGTGGGTGGATAAATATGGTGTTCTACATAAAGGCAAAGGGTAGGTGGATGGATAAATATGGAGTTCTACATACCGGGATAGGGTAGGTGGATGGATAAATATGGTGTTCTACATAAAGGCAAAGGGTAGGTGGATGGATAAATATAGTGTTCTACATACAGGCATAGGTTAGGTGGATGGATAAATATGGTGTTCTACATACCGGCATAGGGAAAGTGGATGGATAAATATGGTGTTCTACATCCAGGGATAGGGTAGGTGGATTGATGAATATAGTGTTCTACATACCGGCATAGGTTAGGTGGATGGATAAATATGGTGTTCTACATACCGGCATAGGGGAAGTGGATGGATAAATATGGTGTTCTACATACAGGCATAGGGTAGGTTGATGGATGAATATGGTGTTCTACATACAGGCATAGGGGAGGTGGATGGATAAATATGGTGTTCTACATACAGGCATAGGGTAGGTTGATGGATGAATATGGTGTTCTACATACAGGCATAGGGGAGGTGGATAGATAAATATGGTGTTCTACATACAGGCATAGGGGAGGTGGATGGATGAATATGGTGTTCTACATACAGGCATAGGGGAGGTGGATGGATGAATATGGTGTTCTACGTACAGGCATAGGGGAGGTGGATGGATAAATATGGTGTTCTATATACAGGCATAGGGGAGGTGGATGGATAAATATGGAGTTCTACATACCGGCATAGGGTAGGTGGATGGATAAATATGGTGTTCTACATACAGGCATATGGGAGGTGGATTGATAAATATGGTGTTCTACATACAGGCATAGGGGAGGTGGATGGATAAATATGGAGTTCTACATACAGGCATATGGGAGGTGGATGGATAAATATGGTGTTCTACATACAGGCATACGGGAGGTGGATTGATAAATATGGTGTTCTACATACAGGCATAGGGGAGTTGGATTGATAAATATGGTGTTCTACACACCAGCATAGAGGAAGAGGATGGATAAATATGGTGTTCTACATACCGGCATAGGGGAAGTGGATGAATAAATATGGTGTTCTACATACCGGCATAGAGGAAGAGGATGGATAAATATGGAGTTCTACATACCGGGATAGGTTAGGTGGGTGGATAAATATGGTGTTCTACATACCGGCATAGGGGAAGTGGATGGATAAATATGGTGTTCTACATACCGGCATAGGGGAAGTGGATGGATAGATATGGTGTTCTGCATACAGGCATAGGGGAAGTGGATGGATGAATATTGTGTTCTACATACCGGCATAGGGAAAGTGGATGGATAAATATGGAGTTCTACATACCGGCATAGGGTAGGTGGGTGGATAAATATGATGTCCTACATAAAGGCATAGGGGTAGTGTTTGAAAACATACAGTATTCCACGTAGAGATACAGGGATAAATAGTTACATTTTTCGAGTATTTAGCATGCAGGTGTAGTGGTAAGTGGTTAGATAAACTTTGTTTTCAACAGTCATTGGGTGTACTTTAACTTTATTAAGACAGTCTGCAAGTGCAAAGGTCAAAGTTGTCTTGAGTTTTGTGATATATTAGAAAATGTACTGGTTATTGTTATCACATTGTTTTAATTTAATAGTAAACCAGGTCCTTCCTGTTGTAAAGGGCTGACATGCAGTTTGATGAGCAGTATCCTCGTCTCTGCTCTGCTGACTGCTGATTGCATCATTTCTTATTATTTTTTATCAAGAGTGTCTGAAGCGCTATCATTTCAAAAGTGAAAATGTTTCATGTTTCAGCCTGACCAGGAAAAAATTGATGGCTCCTATCCAGAATGGTTGACAATGAAGTTGGATCCTGAGGTGAGTGGCAACAGTGAGTGTGCCGTGGTTTGCTGGTATTTAGCACCACTGGTATTGATTTCAAAACTTCAGCATGTTCAGTGGATACAGTGTCTGCCCAGAGAGTGGAACATCAGTGGTTCAATTCAGTCCCATGGCCGCCTCCGTGGTCGATTGGATAGAGCATCTGCCTGGTGTCTGGATGGTCGGTGGTTTAATCTCGGGCCATATCAAACAAAAGGACAATCAAGGATGGTACTTGTTGTTTCGCCTGCCTGGCGCTCGGTATGAAGGGGATAAAACAAGCGGACATGCATGCATTCTGCCGAGTACCTGGCTTGGTGTTATGACCTGTACACCTTAATGTTTGTGTTATCTGGTCCCCGGCATCATGTTTCAACCAGTTGTCTCATCCTTTGCATGGTGTTTTATCGTTAGACCTTACATGTTTGTGATGTCTGATCCCTGGCGTTGTGTTAAACCCCATAAACCATATATCTTTAGGTTGTCTGGTCTCTGGCATGTTGTTATATACAATGTACCTGTTTAATGTTGTATGTTCTTGAGATGTGGTATATTTTTATATTTGGAGTAGTAATAGATGAGAATTATGAAAGCATGTGTATATCAGGAAAACATTTCCCTCTTAATACCCCTAATGGTTTACCCCCAGAACCCAATTGTTCAGAAGGTTTTGGAGTTCAGGAAATGTGATTTCTGCAAATATTAATGAGATTTCAAATTCAGCCTCTGTCTAAAATCTTTTGACTTCACTTGTCTGACTTTTCTCTAAAGCATCATTTTGATTTTACTGTTATTATATGGACTATCTTTAGTTTAGCCAACTTGACCGAACGACTTGACTTGTGCTTCGGACTTGTCAAAGAACATATTCCAGTATTTCGTTTCAGACGAGTTGCTAAGGTCGCAGACTGCAAATTGTGTATTGTTGTCTTTACTACAACACTGTGAAATAATTCAACACAACCCATCTGTCATCTGTAGTAAATATCAACAATCTAAATGTTTTTGGTTTACAACCTATCCTTGCTCATTCCCGATGCAAGGGAGGTAACTGACTGTAAAAGACCAGTCTCAACCCTTGCTGAATTCTGCTGGAAATTCTGGGCTCGATCATAGCGCCACCAGTAGCTATTACCAGTTATGCCCCTTCTATGTCCCTCCTATGGACCAAAAGACCGCCTCCGTGGTCTAGTGGTAGAGCGTCCGCCCGGAGAGCGGAAGGTCCGGGGTTCGATCCCCGACCGCGTCATACCAAAAGACGTTAAAAGATGGTACTTGTTGTTACCCTGTCTGGCGCTCGGCATTAAGCCTAAAACAAGGACTGGTCGGCTCGGAGTCAGTATACTGTGTCTGAGTGGGGTATTCATGTTAAACTGCGGCATGGTATCTCAGTGAGCTAGCACTATAAATCGGCATCAGTCCGGACTAGTACAAGCAGCCATACACACACACACACGTGCATGCACGTCGCTATATAAGTGCAATAATCTTGGACGTGACGTTAAACCCCATTTCACCTCACCACCTCACCTATGGACCAGTCAGATCCCAAAACAAAACGGCGGTGCCCAGTCAAGATCTGATAGATAATCAATATCTATATTGTAATGAAACGGGTCTTTCCCTGCAAAGTGCATCAAATCACTTGAGCACCTTGATTTTAAACCTGAAATGATTTGGAAAATATCTGTTATCCTCGACACATGCTTTGCAAATTCTGCAATCGAGCGCATTTTACACAGCATTTTAGGAACTGAATGTCGATTTCATAACACAATTTTGATTGGACTATGCATAGATTCGTTAATCCAGCCAAGATATAACTCCATAATTACCGTTTAGTATGGCAAGGGTGGAAAGTGAACTTTTAGAGTCAGTTAACACACTTGCCTCAGGAAGATGCACAATTTAGTACTCGGGCTCGTGGACTAGCGTGAATTTCTTCCTATATCTGTCAAATGCAGGACAATAATTTCCTTTAACTGGTATTTATGCTGTGGTGTTATGAAACCCAATAATTTTCCTCTTGTCTTACCCTCAGTATTTTACCTACCAGTACATTATCGTAACCACCACACTATTTATTGTTCAAAACCATGTTTCTTCTTCTAGAGATATATGTCATCAATTGAACTGCTTAATTGTATAGGTTGTTGACATATACAAGGTTCATATGATATTTATTCATGTAAATGGGTTCAAATCCCGGTTCGCCCCGATTATGTTTCTAGGTTTGTCAGCACCATACCCGTGCTCGTGGGTTTCACCAAAGTGGTAAATGTCTGAGACCTGCATCACTTCGGGCTTTCCTCCCACATTAAGCTGACACGCTGTGATATAACTGGAATACTGTTAAAAGCGGCGTCAAACCCAACTCACTCACTCACTCACTCAATTATTCATGTAAAACTTTGTATCGTTTCAGGTCAATTGTGTAATGGTTGGGTTTGACAAGTACTTGAGCTTTCCCAAAATCCTGAAAGCGAGCAGTTATCTGAAGAAAAAAGATACTATCTTCTTGGCAACCAACGAGGATAGTAATCTACCTGCGGCGGGGGACATTGTTATTCCTGGTGAGTGTGTGTGTTTCATCTTGAAAATTGTTGAATGTTGTTGTTGGTTGGTTGGTTGGTTCATTACTCAGCAATATTCCAGCTATATGATGGCGGTCTGTAAATAATCAAGTCTGGACCAGACAATCCATTGATTAATATCATGAGCATTGATCCACGAAATTGGAATCGATGACATGCATCAACCAAGTCAGCGAGCCTGACCACCCGATCCTGTTAGTTGCCTTTTACGACAAGCATAGTTGCTTTTTACGGCAAGCATGGGTTGCTGAAGACCTATTTTACCCCGGAATCTTCACGGGTCGAATGTTGTTGTCTGCCAGTTGCCCTATTAGACTGCCAAGTCTACCTCATCTAGATGAAAAACAAATATCATTCCTGCTAGTCTTCATTATTCTTTATATATTATTCTAAGCAGATGTACTCAGGTTACAAGCAGTAATAGAATTGAAATAGAATATGTCTGTGTTACATCTGTTGCCATGGTTACCTATTACATGACGGTTAGGCCCTGAATTGTTCCAGTTAGATTATTTACGACAAGAGTCAACACTCAAGAGATCTAATGTTATAACAGTTCAGGGCCTGATTATAACCATCTGTTACCGACAACAGATGATGTCTACACATATTTTATTTTGTTTCTATTATTTTCTATATTATCCTATAAAGGATTTTATCCAGATGCATTTACTATCAGTATCGCATATCCACAAACAGGGCTTTCAGCTTATTTGAGGAATGTACCAGCCATTAGCTCTTACTTCCAGTGGACATACTGTTAGACAGTGTTGGTAATATCTATTTTTGTTTATTAATAAGAGGCACATTAAATAAAATAATATACTGAATACATCAATCCGTGAAGGATTTATTAAGTATATTCTTTTCAAAGCAGGGGTGGTCGGGTAGCCAAGTGGTTAAAGCGTTCGCTCGTCACGCCAAAGATCCGGGTTCAAATCCCGACATTGGTACTATGTGTGAAGCCCATTTCTGGTGTCCCCCGCCATGATATTGCTGGAATATTGCTAAAAGCGCAAAAAAACAAACTCACTCACTCACTTACTTTTCAAAGCAAAACATAAAGAGACATGTAAACATGGCCAAATGCAAAGTTTTGGGCAGTAATGTTTACATCTTGTAAAGTGTCCTTGATTTTATAAGGGTAGTCATTGTCAGTGCAAGAGTTACTCTCACTCACAACGGACATTATTGAGAATGAAGTGAAAGATAATGTGACTTCCTAAAATAGTAGTGATATGCATGTGTAGCACGATCCCCCAAAAGGTGCCTAGTACCCTTTGGATATTGCTAGGAACAGTTAACATTAAACTGCAGTTGTGGTACTGAAAACGGGTCTTGCCGGCAGCCCAACAGCTGTTGTTGTCAAACTATGCATGCCACTAGGGCGTTTTGAATGGCTCTGGACTTAGCAAATGTTAAGAAACTTTGAGGATTACTGTGGCCACTGGGAGACAATGTTCAAAATGTTTCCATACTGAACAGTAGCCCAGGTGATTACTGCTGCTAGGGGTGCTCCAAATGCAGGGGATCCGTGAAGATCTGGGGTAGAATAGGTCTTAAGCAACCCATGCTTGCCGTAAAAGGCGACTATGCTTGTCGTGAGAGGCGACTAATGGGATCGGGTGGTCAGGCTCGCTGACTTGGTTACCGGTAATGTATTTCATCATATCCCAATTATGTGGATCGATGCTGATGATGTCAATCATTGGATTGTCTGGTCCAGACTCGATTATTTACAGACCGCCGTCATATAGCTGGAGTGTTGCTGAGTGCGGCGTTAAACAACAAACATCATCATCATCATCATCCACATCATCATCATCTAAATGCAGGGGTTTCATACCACAATGTTCAGTATTATCTGTTGTCTGTTAGATTATTCTGGTGTCCCCCGCCGTGATATTGCTGGAATATTGCTAAAAGCGGCGTAAAACCATGCTCAGTCAGTCAGTTAGATGATGCACAGCAACTTGCTGCATTAGAACTTTAAAATAGAATGTCACATGATTCTGGGTCAGTGTGTTACAATTTTGTGAGTACTTTTGGTTTGGATTATGTCAGTTCAAGTTTCGGAAAATACATTCTTAGGGCGTTAGAGCTTATAATAGAAAGTCCAATGGATCTTGATTAATTTGTAATATATTTGTTATGTAATCAGTAGGGCTACAACAAATACACTATGAGGCGAATACGATTTATATCACGAATATAGGGTAATGAATGCGAATATTAATTCACAATTACAATAACAAGTCAGCAGTTTATGTATTATTTATTATATTCAGTGAAACAATAACATCATAAATTATATGACATGGTTTGGTAATTATTAATAAATTATACATTTATATACTGCACTTATCCAGGTACTAGTATCTGCTCAAATGCGACAATGACCAGTGAAAACAATACTATCAAATTAAATATTATTAGAGTGTTGTCATTGAAAGAAATCTATGCATACAATATGTTGTTATGGATATTTTTAGGTACAGGGTATGAAAATATACATGATAGTATAGTCATAAATATTCGATTCTAGTGGCCATGAATAACGAATTCAATTCATGAATTTTTACGGTTCGATTCACCAAATACGCGAGTGAATCGTAACAGCCCTAGTAATTAGAGTTATGTCTGGATTGGACTGTCACTTCCAGTTTTGAAACAAACTTTACTGCATGGGAACATAAATTCTGATTGTCATTATATTATACCACAATGCTGACAAAGTTATCAGTTTCCAGTAGTTATCAGTTTCAGTTTTGGAAAACACATCCTTAATGCAGGGATTATCCTGGATTTTTTTACCTTTGAGAGAAAATCTCCCCTGGTTCAAAAGCAATGAGATTTTTTGGTGTGTGATGAGATTTTGCAAATTTTCAGAGATATTTCAGCTTCACACAGTGGAAACTGTATTTGATTTTGGGTACTTGTGACTCGAATAATGTTGCAATTAATGTTACAAGATTATATGGATATATCCTCGGATATCCTATTTTCGAACATTAATTATTCCACTGCGCATATTTAAAAATATTAGCATTAACAAAACATTAAATTTGTACTTATATTCCTCTTGATTGTCTACTTTAGGAGAAATTACACCAATAGTTATGTATTTCTGTTCATTGTTGATTTTATGGGGAATTAGTTGTGAGGACAATTATAGATCGTTTAGTTTACCACCATCAGCTGTTCATTTCGTTGGCATGCAGGAGACAACAATCTGCAGTTATCAAATTTCAACAATGTGTGTATAGAATGGTAACTTAATATCTTCAAAATGATGAAATGAAATAGCAACAGTTTGTTGGCAAAATATACATCACTTACATTCCAGTGCTTTTGTCAATTTCGTTGTCATATTTCCGTCTGTGGTGTGTACCGTATCAGAGACCGGGTCTCTGACTGTATCAAATTAAATCATATCAATATGGACTTTTCAATTAATTAGAAGTGACAGTTCAGTATACGACGACCATTGCTCCAGGTTCGCCCTTTTGTTTAATTAGCAACAATTAAGTCATTCATTTCCCGCAGAAGGCGGCGTGTTTGCCATATGTAGCAGCCAGAAATGTCACCGGAAGTTGAAAAGACTGTTGACATTCACAGTGTTTATGAATTATTACATTTGAAAGATTAAGTCACAGTTTTCAAGTTTTATGGACAACTCTGGAAGCAAATGTATCATAGTATATTCTAAAAAATCTAAATCCAACTTGCTGTTTGACCACTAGAAATAGTTAAAAATTCGTAATTCATGCTCGGTGACCATTCTGGCACACAGAAACTCAATGATAGCGTGTATAACATAATATATTTGTATCTTGAAAAACAATCACATCCCTCTATATAGATAAAGACAAGGAGTGACACCCGCCGTCTTCGTGGTTCGAATCACAGTTTGATATCGCATGAAATATGAATGTCACTTATTTCAACCTATTGGAACTTGCTAAACAAACCTCAGGCTACACAATCGTGTTCATATGTGTCACCTTACCTCTAATTTATTTTAAACCAACCATCAGATCTCAACCCTAAGCTTCGCCGCTGAGGTAAACAAGAAAAAGGTGGCTGGAAATAACGGCGCTACAGGGGCTTGAACTCGGGAAACGTTTCTGATTGGCTAAAATAAAAATTAGTGGATCTAAATAATGGAAACACAGTGAAGGGAGGGAAATTCAAAACCGTCAATGGTAAGCCTGCATGCAAAATGTTGGAGTTGACAAGGAAATCTACAGCATAATTAAACATTTCGAAGCAGATTATCATTGACGGTCTTGAATTTCCCTCCCTTCACCATGTGCTAATATTATGATACACAATTTAACCAATCAGAAATGTTTGCTGAGTTCAAGCCCGTGTAGCGCCATAATTTCTGACCACCTTTTTCTTGTTTACCTCAACGGCGCAGCATAGAGCTGACATTTGATGGTTGTTTTAAAATAAATACGAGGTAAGGTGATCACAGATGAACATGGTTGTGTAGCCTATGGTTTGTTTAGCAGGTACCAATAGGTTAAAATAAGTGACATTCATATTTCATGCGATATCGAGCTGTGATTCGAACTGAGTGGGAAATCTTGAATAAGAAACAAGATGGCGGGTGTCACTCCTTGTCTATATGAATTAAATGTATATAGAGGGGTGTGATTTTTTTCTATATGAATATATTATGTTATACACGCTATCATCGAGTTCCTGTACTATGCGAGAATATCGCAGAATCACGGCCTAAGTCAATCCCAGCTTAATGCGTTAGGACTTTTATTCTGAGATTCCTATGATTAAAGCTCAGTTAATAAAGAATATTATTGATACTGCCAGTTAGGATAATGTTACTGATGGTATCAGAAGAAAACATACTGCAGTTGACCATCGCTTCAGAAGGTCACATTGCTTTATTTTGCATCTTAGTTGTAAGTACCCAATCTGTGCCAAAACTATTTTTGAGTCAGCTGCTAGACCATACGTTTATCTTGGTACAGTAAAGTACGGTTATAACGAACTCAAAGGGACTACTAATTATAGTTCGTTATAACCGTAGTTCGTTATAAGCATATATACAGCATATATATACAGCATAACTACAGCAAATAGTCTGGACCAAAAAAGCAAGATCGTTATATCCGTCAGTTTGTTATAAGATTGTATAGTTTAGTCATTGTATATGAACTAGCATAAGATGATTTTCCAAGACCAGAAGACATGTGACTGGACTGTGGCTTCAGACTGGTAGCTAAAGTTGCAACTGAGTACCTTTAATTTAGTTCCCTCAACTGATGCAAACAGGAGGGGCACGGGTGGCCCAGTCGTCTAAAGCGCTGCGATTCGCTGTGCAGAGTTGCGTCCTTTGGGCACGCCAGAAACCTATGATTGTGGGTTGGAATCCCGGTTCGCCCCGATTATGTTTCTAGGTTTGTCAGCACCATACCCGTGCTCGTGGGTTTCACCAAACTTGTAAACGTCTAAGACCTGCATCACTTCGGGCTTTCCTCCCACATTAAGCTGACACGCCGCGATATAAAAGCGGCGTTAAACCCAACTCACTCACTCACTGATGCAAACAGGATCAAAAGGAAAGATTCTAGGGCCTTTTAGACTGGTAAAGGGAAAAAGGGAGGTAACCTGCAGTATTTCCATGCATGAATGCTTCATTGATAGTTTTCATTTGAAAATAGACCAAGCCAGGCGTCTTTTGACATGCATGAAAGAACAAGTTTCAACATCTTATGTAAAATTATGAAGTATTTTCATGAGAAACGTAGACCCGAAGTATAATCCAATATGGCTGATATTCGCAACAACAAAAAATGTTACAAGATACTTTTTATGTGAGATTTAAGAGGACATTTGTTTAAAGTAGTTGGACTGTTGGTTTATAAAAAGATAATTTTTATGTAAGTTTTAGGAGAAGATTTGTTTGAAGTAGTTGGACTGTTTTTTTGGACACATACCCTACAGAAGATGAAAATAAGCTTAGAAGAGACCTTGAAACCAATATGACTGCCAAACCACATGACCAAAGTCAAAGAACAAAAACTTTGACAAATGTCAGAAATGTCAGTCATGTGCATGATGAATAAAAGCCAATTTGTTATTCCTTCAATTTCAGGAACTGGCACAATGGTCCATGCAGTGAAGTGTGCCAGCCGAAGAGATCCAATTGTTTTGGGAAAGCCAGAGAGGCCGATGTTTGACGTTCTACAAAAGGCACACAACCTTGATCCTGCTAGATGCTGTATGGTTGGTGACAGGTGAGGAAGTCTCACCATTGAGCGTGTATAGGTATACTGGTAGAATCTGTAGCAATCTTCAGTCAATATCTCTCCTTTAGGATTACATGACAAAATAGGGGTGGTCAGGTAGCCTAGTGGTTAAAGCGTTCGCTCGTCACGCCGAAGACCCGGGTTCGATTCCCGACATGGATACAATGTGTGAAGCCCCACCGTGTCCCCCGCCGTGATATTGCTGGAATATTGCTGACAGCGGCGTAGAGCCATACTCACTCCCTCACTCACTCACTCACTCACTCACTCACTCACTCACTCACTCACTCACTCACATGACAAAATAGGTACAAAGTACCCCAGCTTTGCTGATTAGAATAACTGCATTGCTAAAATTTAACATGATAGTAAGCATAAAAGTAAAGGGGTCCTTGTCATAACCCCAATGTGATTTACAGGCTGCTGTGTTATTGTAGTTGATACAGTCACTCTCTCACTCATGGTCGGGTAGCCTAGTGGTTAAAGCGTTTGCTCGTCACAATTACAATGTGTGTAGCCCATTTCTAGTGTTCCCGATGTGATATTGCTGGAATATTGCTAAAAGTGGCATAAAACAATTCTCACTCACTCACTCACTCACTCATGGAAGTCTGGCAGCAGCACAGCTTATCTGTGCTTCTTAAACATGAAGTGGCTATTCAGTGTTTGTTTCAACTGCTTCAGACTCAACACTGACATAGGACTGGCCAAGCAGTGTGGGCTGAAGTCGCTTCTTGTACTGAGTGGTGTGTCGACAGAAGCTGATGTTCAGCCAGAATCCAGCATCTTTGCCAAGGAACAGTTTCCTGATTATTACACGTCAACTCTCGGGGACCTGGAGAAATTGCTCCAGAACTCACAACAACAACAGAGTTGATGATGAATAAAGCTAAGAATATTTTCTAGGGAAATATGTCATATTGATATCAAAGTTATTTTAAATTTAGTGACTTTGACAGGGCAGTTTTTTCATGTTTATTATATATTATGCATTTCTGTTGCATGTTTTATTTCTTAATTCTTTTCTATCTCCACAACATGTATTGTTAAGTTTTTAACATTTGAAACAGTGTTAACAGTGTTTGTAATGTTAGGCAGGGGTGCAAATTAACCAAGACTGTCTACTAGACCAAAAAGTGGTAACATATAGCAATAAACTCCAAAAAGTTTGAAATTCTACTAGCCCTCAGGATACCTTTAACATAAACAAAACTGGTCTGGGCTAGCAGGCTAGTGGTAATTGCCATCCCTGTGTTAGGTGCAGTACCGTATTCGACGTAATAAGCGCTCAAAATTAGAAATAGGGGGCTCTTATTAGAATATTATTTTGGTGGAATAAAACAGAATTGAAAGATAAATGTCGTGGTTTATGCTGACAGCCTGAAATGTTTATATACGACAGATATATTTTTCCAGAATGTAATTGCCCATAATTAAGGGTGCATATAGCACACGAGTGCGTATTATACACAAATAAATAAGTCTTGTGTACATTGATCAATCGGAAGGGGTGCTAATTGGGATTGTTCACTGGCCAATATATTAGCAAATATCGCCGTGGGCGCTTATTAGAGCGGGGCGCTTATTACGTCGAATACGGTACATCCTTTTGTAAGGCTAAAATATTCTTATGCAATTTATTCTTGTGCAATAACTTTTCAAAAATTGTTGTAGAATTATCATGTGTATAATTGTTTTTATGAAATAGTTGATTACTCTTTTGCCTTTGTCATTAATCAGTAAAATTGAGTGTTTACAGGTTTTGGCAACCAAGAGTATTGTTATGGCATTACAACACCTGTGCATAGGTCGTGTTTTGTTGTCTTGTTTTTCTTCCTGCTAATACCGGTATATCTGTATATCCAGTTGCATGTTTGCTCAAGCTGTGTCAAAGTAAAACAGTAATGTATTCAATAAGCTGTGATGTTTTTTGTGTCCATTTTATGGTCCATGTTATCTTTCTTATAGCTTTAGTTTGTTGTGGTACGAGAATTTAGGTTGATTTTGGACCACTGACAGGCCTATTTACACCAAACAAGTTCAGTCTTGACATGTAGTTGTTGTTACAAAATCTGTTAATGTAGACATATTTTTATTAATAACAGATGTATCACTTTTTGCTAAATGAAAAAATCTGGTTTATTAAAAGCTGATGAAGAGTGAAGATGTTTAAATATGAATTAAAATGTCAACTATATACGTAGTGATGGGTATTGTCCTCATTTTCGAATTGCAATATATTTTGATAATTATTCATATATTGCGATATGTACCACAATATTTTGCATGTGTTCTTTCACCTGTAATTTGTTATGAACTTGAATAAAAATGGACCCACACACCAGACTTCCCCACCTCATTTTTGACAACTTCGTTATCCGTTTTGTTGGATGTTGCTATTAGGGCAGGGACGGGTAACTTGGTTACTCAGGTAGGGTGGGTATCGAGTAGGACCAAGGTACCCACAGGACTACCCGGACCCGTGGTTAGTCACGTGATATATTGTGTCATGAAAACATTTACTATATAACTACATGGTTACACGACAATTTTAAGTCTCTAATGTTCGCATTTCTTCATGACTATGAACACGTTCCTTCTGACTTATATATGTTTGAACAAAGGTAAAACTTCAGTCAACTTCAGTGTATGCATGACCACATCCTTTTATAAGGGTATCTCAATACATTCTGCCAGGGCTACGGTCACACTATTCCCAATCGGACATTTTGTACCTATCTCTTGACACCAACAGTGGGTACCCAGGTAGGGTTGGGTAATAGGGGTGTGGGTACCCGGGTAGTAAATTTGGACTTGTCCCAGCCCTAGTTGCTATGATCATGATGATCACAATGCATGTGTAATAGATACATTACCGTATTCGACGTAATAAGCGCCCTGTTCTAATAAGCGCCCACGGCGATATTTGCCAATATCTTGGCTAGTAAACAATCTCAATTAGCACCCCTTCCAAGTGGTTTACGTACATAAGACTTATTTATTTGTGTATAATACGCACTCGTATGTTATATGCACCCTTATTTATGGGCAATTAAATCCTGGAAAAATATTTCTGTCGTATATAAAATATTTCAGGCTGTCAGCATAAACCACGAAATTTACGATCTTTCAACTCAAAATACTATTCTAATAAGAGCCCCCTATTTCTAATTTTGAGAGCGCCCTGGGCGCTTATTACGTCGAATACGGTATATACAGGAAGCTCATAACGATCACAGGAATCAAGTTGCTAACTTCGGATTTTCATAATTTCATTGTGACTTGTCATTAATGTAAACCTTGCTCACTCAATATACTCAATATACTGATATTTTCCAAACAGATTGTGGTAGGTATTCATGAGCATTTCAAATAATGGTAAACCATTATGCAGTTAATAATGCGCACCTCTACGAAATCCCATGAAAACTGCACCATGATTTGCTTCCTTAATCACTTGCCTTCAAATATTTGTACTTACTTTTTTCAATCATGCAACTTTCTATGGGTTGGAATCAGGTTGGAATCATTAAGAGAGTACACCGCAATGGCAGATAACAAATCTTAAACGTCAAGTTTCCAAACTGATAAGTAAATATATTGTTGCACAATCTAAAATATAAGTACTCATATTTGAAGGCAAGTGTCTTTGGAGGTAAGTCATGGTGCATTCGTCATTACATCACGATGCATGCACTTTGCTGAAGCATGTAAAGTGTGATCAATGAAGATTCCGGGGTAGAATAGGTCTTCAGCAACCCATACTTTCCGTAAAAGGCGACTATGCTTATCGTAAAAGGCGACTAACGGGATCGGGTGGTCAGGCTCACTGACTTGGTTGATACATGTCATCAATCCCAATTGCATGGATCGATGCTCATGATGTCAATCACTGGATTGTCTGGCCCATCTTCCCGAGGCAAGAGAGTTAACTGACTTTCCAGTTTCCACCCTTGCCGAACTGGGCTGGAATTACTGGGCTCGATCGTAGCGCCACCAGTGGCTGTTACGAGTTATGTCCTTTCTATGCCTCTCCTATTGCCCAATCAGATTCAACCTCTCGTATCACTTGCATTTGCTTCAAACAAAACGGTGGCGCCCAGTCAAGACGATCTGATCGATAATTAAGATCTATATTGTGATAAAACGAGTCTTACATCGCGAAGTGCATCAAATCACGTGAGCACCTTGATTAAAAACATGAAAAGATTTAGAAAATATCTGTTAACGAGTTAGCGGTGCACATGCTTTTTGCAAATCCTTCAGTCGACCGAAATCTGCATGACACTTTACGAACCGGATTTCGATTTCGGTGCACGATTTTAATTGGACTATGCATAGACTCGTTAGTCCAGCCAAAATGTAACATAGTCAGTTAACTTACTTGCCTCGGGAAGATGTGTCTGGCCCAGACTCGGTTATTTTACAGACCGCCGTCATATAGCTGGAATATTGCTGAGTGCAGCATTAAACAACAAACAAACAAACAAACAACTGTGGAACAAGTCAAAATCAAAATCATTTATAGGAGCAGCACGCGTATACTGTTATATGCTGGTTCAGGGGCAATCGGGTAGCCTAGTAGCCCTGTTGGACTGCCAAGTCTACCTCATCTGGATGACATGGGTACAATATGTGAAGCCCATTTCTGGTGTCCCCCGCCGTGATATTGCTGGAATATTGCTAAAAGCGGCGTTAAACCATACTCAATCACATGCTGGTTCAAGACCCACTTCAGTGGTTTAAGGCACCCCTCATTCTCTAACATTCAACATTATAGCTAAAACGGATAGAATTATCATTAAACCGCCCACCTGTTATCAGAAATGAGCAGGCCACTGTAACTTGATAATGCCCTCATATTGCTTGACGAAGGGCCATTATCACGCCCATTGGTAGGTGATGTCATATTGATGTTCAGTATTGACGTTATCTGGTTTGTCCTATTACGTTTCCATATTTGTAAAAGTGGGTCAGTAACATTTGTTGTGTGATGATTGCGGTAAATGTTTCAAAACCGATATTGTTGTATATTTTTATTTAATAACAAATTCTATCCATTTAGCCATAATAAGGGTAACGCTATTTTTCAGGGCATTATGAATACTGCACCATATTGACTGCATCATCAATTTCTTTTATGAAGGTCAATCTGTGAGTTCTTTCTCTAATTAAACAGTAACTGATTACTACATCCAGCAGACCAGAAACTGAGTCCTCTTTAAGGCTGTTTTACTGTCCACCTAGTATGAGAACTGAACTGGGTTGGTGTCAAATTGTTAACCATTGCTGTTCTAATGGTCCTTCCCAGTTTGATCCCCGTGAAGATTCCGGGGTAGAATAGGTCTTCAGCTACCCGTGCTTTCCGTAAAAGGCGACTAACGGGATCGGGTGGTCAGGCTCGCTGACTTGGTTGACGCATGTCATCATATCCCAATTGCGTGGATCGATGCTCATGATATTAATCACTGGATTGTCTGATCCAGACTCGATTATTTACAGACCGCCGCCATATAGCTGGAATATTGCTGAGTGCGGCGTTACAACAGTTTGATGTGTGGCTTCTTTTCCATAATGAAATGGACAAGGTCAAGAACTTAGCTCACCTTATTGTCATGTGAGGTGATGTCATGGAGTGTTATCTGAGTGAAATTGACATGCACAAAGTATGTTTTGGGCAATGATTTATCTCAGGGTTTGCATACTTGCAGACCCGTGAAGATTCGGGGCAGAAAAGGTCGGGATCGGGTGGTCAGGCTCGCTGACTGGGTATCCCTATTGCGTGGATCGATGCTCATGATGTCAATCACTGGATTGTCTGGTACAGACTCGATTATTTACAGACCGCTGTCATGTTTCTGTAATATTGCTGAGTGTGGCATATAGATTATGTCTATCCTGTTACATATATTTTGTCATGAATATGTTATGGCGTGTCTGAATTGGAATATATGAAAATTTTCTACCAAATCAATGTCAGCTACAGAACGTTATGGTGCCCATTTTACACCTACAGAAATACACAAATGTAGTACTTTGTCAGTATCATAGATAGTATAGAAGTACATGCATAACCACCGGATGAATCCAATCAAGCGTGAAGCTCTGAAAAAGGAGATACAATATATGCTGGGCAATGACATTATTGAACCAAGTCATAGTGACTGGAGTTCACCTTGCATCCTTGTGCCAAAGCCTAATGGTACTATCAGATGTTGTACTGACATGAAGTGTGTGAATGCTGTTTCTGAAACAGATTCTTGGTATTGGATAAGAGTCAATGATCTCATATCACATGCATTTGCTTCAAACAAAATGGCGGCGCCCAGTCAAGATGATCTGATTGATAATCAAGATCTATATTGTAATAAAATGGGTCTTACCCCGCAAAGTGTATCCCGTCAGTTGAAAAACATACAGAGATTTGCAAAATATCTGTCGACGCCCAGTTGAAGGTACACATGCTTTGCAAATCCTGCAAACCAACCAACCAACCAACCAGCCTGCAGTCGACCGAAATGTCAACGTTGAAATCCATGTTGTTTATGAACTGGATGCCTAGTTCGTTACGCGATTTTGATTACCTGTGCATAGACTCGTTTAGTTAATCCAGTCAAAATGTAACTTTGGAAATCGAGCCAAGTTCGCAAGGGTCGAAACTGGACTTTTATTGTCAGTTAATGCCCTTGCCTCAGGAAGATGAAGAATTTTCTGCTAAAAGCAGAAACCTTTGCATGGGCGGATACAGCTTTTTAAAGACATTGGGTAAAGGAAATACCATAGCTACGAGTTTTGCTAACTCAGGGATTTTTGCGGATTTATATTCTGGACAAGAATGACCAATGCTCATAACCGCGTTATAAGGAGAAATCCCACAATCACACGCCCTGCGAACGTCAACCAAGATGGCGGACCGACTCGAAGAAGCACAGCTGGAGAAACTGAAGACAAGTCACACGTGGGTCAAGGTAGCGTTGTTTTCTTACCTCACCTGATCACAGACCAGTAGAACTTTGAATGATATGTCGTCCGTATAGAATCCGACTGGTAACTGTCCCATATATCAAGACTGTGACATGGACAGGCCTTCACGAAATACCGGGAAGATTCCGCTCTCCCTGAATTTTCATTCCAATCCAAGGGTTTCTTGTCTCAGTTCTCCCCGCTGCTGTGGAAATTTGAATCCCGATGTGATTAATAAATACCCCTACCGTCACACAATCGTAATAAAAAGGTCATGTTTATATAAAATTCGTTTCCGAAGCAAAGCTACTAGATCTACCTCACAAATTAATGTATAGAATATTACCAAGTGATCTAAACTTTAACATTAAATAATTGGTTGGTTGGTTGTATTGTTGCTTATCGCCGCACTCAGCAATATTCCAGCTATATGACGGCGGTCTGTAAATAATCGAGTCTGGACCAGACAATCCAGTGATTAATATCACGAGCATCGATCCACGCAATTGGGATCGATGACATGCATCAACCAAGTCAGCGAGCCTGACCACCCGATCCCGTTTGTCGCCTTTTACGACAAGTATAGTCAACTTTTACGGCAAGCATGGGTTGCTGAAGACCTATTCGACCCCGGAATCTTCACGGGTCGGTTGAAATTCGAGACGAGAAACACATTTTAAAAAATGGATCACCTAACAAAAGGGCGATGACTTGAGTTAATTGTGGTTGTTCTCATTTCAGATTGTGTTGGAAATAGAAGCCACGCTGGAACACCGTATAAGTGATTACGAGTTCGTTGTTGACAGATGGCCGGATTGCAGAGCAATGGTTGTTCGGGCGAAGCCAAATGATATAAAGGTATTTAACACACGTCTGTGCATTAGTTTATGTAGGCATTATGTGAATTATGTTACATGGTTGAACTGCAGAGCGATTGCTATTCTACGGTGGCCCATACCCGCCACTGGTGAGATCATTTTTCACTGTATGCCTCAATATTTTATCTGGCGGCCGCCAGATACTTCCACTGGTGAGATAATTTCCCCCTGTAAACCTCTATATTTTATCTCACCAGTGGAAGTATCTGGCGGCTTCCAGATAAAATATTGAGGCATACAGTGAAAAATGATCTCTCCAGTGGCGGGTATGGGCCACCGTACTATTCGTATGCCGTCTCAGTACTCACGTCTCTATGCAGAACAGTTTCGCTAATTGCCGGTCAGTCGATAAAGAGTTAAATTAACCTACATACACCATTATTCATTACGGAAGCCTTTTAGGGCCATTTATTTTTTTATTATTTTTTCGATACTATCTTGAAATTTCAAGATACATACTAAGTTGACATTTCAAGTTATTATCTTGAAATTTCAACTTAGCATGTATCTTGAAATTTCAACATAACATCTTGAAATTTCAAGAAAAGAATAGAAAAACAAATGGCCCTAAAAGGCTTCCATAATTCATTGTTATTTGTTCATTTTACAAATTGCTCCCCCTGAGTTGATTCTTGGAGGTGTTATTTTTACAATGCAACAGTTTTTGTACTTTCCACTACAAGATAAAACCCTCATGTGACACTGATACTGATATTTCCATCGGATAAATGACTTGCAACATGTAGCGGTCCACGCAATTGACAAACATATTCCCCCTGACAGTTGAAGTATCTGGAGCCGATTGTGAACCTGTACGCCACCGACAACGATGCACTGAGGGGCCTTCTACACAACCTGGACTGGTCAAAGGGGAAACGGTTTGAATGTGAGGCAAATAACCATATCGTGGGTACAATGCATGTATTAATTTATGGGAATGTGCACATGGGCGTACATAATTATATTATACGTTGTAGCAGGATCACGACAGGTACATTGGGTGTTATGCGTCCTGTGTTAGGTTTTATACCCCGAGCCAGAGGGACCATTAACCACATGTACCCCGAGTGATCCTGCTACAACGAATTTATCTTACCTATATGTTTTGGTATGACATTGTAAAATAATCAAAACAAATTGAAATTTGATAAAAAAAACTGTTCGATTGAGCTGAGGTTAGCTTGTGCTGTGTCACGTGACTTTCATTGACTCGGGGGAAATGCGGGCGGCTTTTTGCTTGGAAGCGGGGTATAAGGGATTTATTCAGCCCCTTAGAAATCTACGTGCAGCCTGTCTTGCTCGTGACGGGGTGTAAGGGATTTATTCACCTGCTGAGAAATTTATTTCCCTCCAAGGCGGCATACATAGTATTTTGTCAAGAAGATGTGCACCAAAGGCCAGTACAAATCCCACCCGTTTCCACACATTCGTGTATGTGTATGTGCGTATGTGTGTGTCCCAATGTGTATGTAGACACGTATACATACATACAGTGAGTGAGTGAGGTTGGTTTTACACCGCTTTTAACAATATTCTAGCAATATCACGGCGGGGGACACCAGAAATGGGCTCCACACATTGTACCCATGTCGGGAAAAGAACCCTGGTCCACTGGGCTACGTTCGCGAAGTGTGACGTCAGGACTAGATATAATGGAAGTTCTTGAATCGAAACTGGACATTTCAAGAAGACAATGTACCATGTCATATTTATTAATTAACGCCGCACTCCGCAATGTTCCAGCTACATGACGGCGGTCTGTAAATAATCGAGTCTGGACCAGACAATCCAGTGATTGACATCATGAGCATCGATCTATGCAATTGGGATACAATGACATGCATCAAGCAAGTCAGCGATCCTGACAACCCGATGTCCTTAGTCGCCTCTTTAACAAGTGATATTCGCCTCTTATGGCAAGCATGGCTCACTGAAGAACAGTTCTATAACCCGGATCTTCATGGAGGTAAGCCCGCCGTGATATTGCTGGAATATTGCTAAAAGCGGCGTAAAACCATACTCACACACTCACTCACTCATGGAGGTAAGACAAGTATGGGTTGCTGAAGACCAATTTTTTACCCGGATCGTCACGGTGGCACGAGCCAGGAAAACGTGAGGTGTGGTGAAATTGGGTAGAGTATAGTATTAAGCTGCTTTTAAGCTGCAATATTCGGGAACACGAGAAGTGGCCTTCACACATTGTACCTACGTGGGGAATTGAACCCGGGGTGACGAGCAAACGCTTTAACCACTAGGTTATCGCGATTAAGATTACTGCACTAATATATCGACGTGCATACACCCTACCTCTTACATGTCATCCTTTCTTTCAATTTATCAGGTGTTGCCAGTAGGCTAGTGCCGGTTTTGACAGAAGTGATACAACTTCACCGAGTTCCCACCTTAACACTCTCTGACGCTGTCTACCTGAAAGTCATCCAAGATACGCTGAAACTCAGGTACATTTATACCATAGATCTCTTAGGCTCCTACACTTACAATAATCTTTGTGTACTTGCTTAACAACGAGAACTATTCAAACATCATGTCGACAAACATGATATATCATGGAATTCATTACCAAGTGAGACAAAGTAAATGATGCACCTGTCTCCATTATGAGTGAATGAGTTGGGTTTAACACCGCTTTTAACAGTATTCCAGTTATGTTACGGCATGTCAGCTTAATGTTGGAGGACAGACCGAAGTGATGCAGGTCTCAGATGTTTTTCACTTTTGCGAAACCCACGAGCACGGGTATGGTGAAACATAATCAGGGCGCACCGGATTCGAACCCACAATCGTTGGTTTTCTGGCGTGCCCAAGGGACGCACCTCAACACACCAAATTGTGGCGCCTTAAACTGGTCCATGGTAGTATGAGAACTATTTGTTAAGATTTGAATAGGGGCGGTCGGGTAGCCTAGTGGTTAAAACGTTCGCTCGTCACGCCGAAGACCCGGGTTCGATTCCCGACATGGGTACAATGTGTGAAGCCCATTTCTGGTGTCCCCCGCCGCGATATTGCTGGAATATTGCTAAAAGCGGCGTAAAACCATACTCACTCACTCACTAAGATTTGAATACTTGAAAGCTTGGAATTGTCGTGGGACGTAACACCAAGACTGATAAATAAAACGAGTTTGCATTAATTTCATCGATGCATATGTCAGCCCAGACTGACAGAATGCCTCGTCTTTTTCTGACGTAGAAAATAACATTGCGGTATACCGTTTTTCATGACGTTTTTCCCAGTATCTTCCATCGTGACAATTCGTCTTTTATTTGAAGACTCAAGAAATGTTGATATTCTGAACTATTAATAACTACAAAATATGTGCTGGTAAAAAATACTCAGTTGTAAACGACCGTTTTTGAACGAAGGTGCAACAGGGTAAGGCTTCAGCTTGGCTCCGTCTCAACATGTCACTAGCTGTCGCAGTGCGCATTGGTCCCAGACCCAGACCCAGACCCAGACCGGAAGCGACAAAAGGAGAACAAAAGGATCGCCCATTCAACCGCACACAACTGGGGCTCTCGTGACCGTCACCTGTTTTCACTATGATCAACAGTATATAAGGGAACTTCTTAAATTTTAGATATATTGGATATCTTGAATGTTTGTGATAATTATTCTTCGCAGGGCCGTTCATGAGGGCTGTACCCTCTCAAGCCTAGGGGCAGATCGAGCAGCCCTGGTTAATTCGGTGTGGCCTCAACGTAATGGAGATGTATCTGAAGCCTACATCAAGCACTTAATAACCTCACTTCCTTCCACCTGTCTTTACAACCAGGAGGGGGAGCTGTTGGGATACGCCCTTACCTATCACTACGGGTGTCTGGGGGTGCTGCACGTGCTGGAGGAGCACCGAAGGAAGGGGTACGGGAAGGTCGTCATGTCTCATCTCGCACTTCAACATCTACAGAAAAAGAAAGAGGTGTTTGTCATGATACAACGTGTAAACACGCCGTCTATTAAGATGCATGAAGGTATCGGATTTGAGGTTTTTCCAGATATGTCATTTGACTGGATATTTTGTGATTAGTAATGTGCAGATCTATCGTCTGTCATTGTTTCTAAAACGTATGAGCATTTAAGATCGGGTGTAGTCAAGTAAAGACATATTCAAGACATACTACAACAACAAAACCTGGATTTTTTAAAGGAAAACAGTTTGCAACAATGTAATTTTTGTTGAAGGCATTTTTTGTCAACAGTCTGAAGCATAATTATGTTTTTCAACAATTTTTGGGACCATTCATTTTTATTGATAAACCACAGCCCCTCCTCCCCACCTAACGGGTGAACCATTTGATTTCTTGTGGGGGTGTGTGTGTGTGTGTGTGGGGGGGGGGGGGGGGGGGGGGGGGGGGGTGTGATAAAACACAGCTCATAAATAATTTTGTGTAAATAAAGAGGTCATATCATGCAAGTCACTGTGTTGTTTCCTTTGACATTGTTAAAGACTCCATTTGTCCTTCTGTGATATGATTGAAACAGTTGTTGACTGTGATATGACCATTAAGCATCATATACCCTTATCTGTAAAAAAACAAACAATATATACATATAGAAATATTAGGGCTGGGACGGGTAACTCGGGTACTCGGGTCAGGTGGTTCCTGAGTAGGACCCGGGTACCCACAGTACTACCCGGACCCGTGGTTAGTCACGTGATAGATATATTGTTTAATAGCAAGAATTATCTATAACTTCCACGGTTGCACTATAAGTGACTAATGTCCGCATTTCTTTCTGACTATGCACGCATTCCTTCTGACTTTATAAGTTTGAATAGAGATAAAACTTCAGTCAACTTCAGTGTATGCATGACCAGATCGTTTTATTTGAGTATCTAAATACATTTGGCCAGGGCTACGGTCAAACTATACCCAATCGGAAAATTGTACCTATCTCTTGAGACCAACAGCGGGTACCCGGGTAGGGTCGGGGAATAGTGGGGTGGGTACCCGGGTAGTAAATTTGGACTTGTCGCAGCCCTAAAAAATATAGTTTATTGCAATAACCTAAACTGACGAGCAAAAGAATGGGTACTGACTAACATTATTTGATCCTGTATACAGGACCAATGTAAAGGAAGATACTTGTATTGTCCAAAGACATGAATTAACACCATCAGTACAAGTTATGTCATGAGAATCAAGTTGGCCTAAAATGTACGCTATTTCAGTTTGAGGTGCATCAGTTGTGAGGATGAACGTGGATCGATGCCCATGATATCAATCACTGGATTGTCTGGTCCAGACTCGATTATTTTGACCCCCGTCATATAGCTGGAATATTGCTGAGTGCTGTGTTAAACAACAACAACAACAACAACAAAAAGTTGTGAGGATGAAGGGTTTGTTTTGGTCGGGATGTGCAAGGGGGGGGGGGGGGGGCTATTTTAAGGGCTTGCTTTAACTATTGAATGCCTGTTGGCAATTGTTGGACTATTCAAAAGACCCTTTTTCTCTCAGAAGGTTGTAAAGAGGGGAGGCAATGCCTGAAAATTTTGGTACTATTTGAAATAATATGAGGCCAAACCTAAGAAATGACGCACGTCATGGATATTTTTAGGGGTAGGGATCTCTGTGACTGAATCACTTTTTGAAGGATCGACTTGAATGCCATCTTTCCTGAATATATGCCCTAAATAGATGACTTGTATTGTTGTAAATTTACATTTGTTTGGCTTGGAAAATAGTATGATGTCATCTACATGCATTAGTATGTAACTCCAATTCATTTCTTTTAATGCCACTGAAACGGTTTGCTGAAATGACATAGAAACATTTTTGAGGCCAAAAGGGATTCCATTAAAAAACACCATCGTGGGTAATGTAAACCAACTTGTGCTTTGCATCTGGATGGCGAGGTACAAGCATAATCAAGCACACTAAAAGATTTGTCATGGCTGTCACCTCTGGCATTAACAACATCTTCAAGAGGGAAAAATATAGGCTTGGTAACTGCATTGAGGCGTCTATAATCTACGACAAAACGGTAAGAGCTATCACGTTTTTTAACCATGACAATTGGAGACTGTCATTCAGAAGAACTGGGCTGAATGATATCGGCTTCTAACTGGTCTAGAACATTCTTTCCTAATGGCTGCGTTTTGCCTTTAAAAAGGAAGTCTAATGGGTCTGGCGTCACCTGTTTCTATATTGTGATGATGTAAGTGCGTGTGACTTAATTCTGACCAATCTGAGGCAAAAACTGATCTTTGTGATTGGAGAAATTCATTTTACTGTATACGTGTACTTACAGTGTTGTTACTATTTTTAAAACGCTTTTGAGGACAAAAGCTCCATGACGTTCAGGGGTATTGTTATAGTGTAAACCACTTCAATAGGTTTCTTTAAAAGGTGTAAGTGACAGAGCAGGTCTCCCCACTTGGAACACTCTGTCCAGGTGTATGTTCTGTAACATGATTACTATCAACATGTACCTTTACCATCGTTATTCCCCATCAACAATAAATATGGCTGCTGTCTTAAACGTCACCCCTGAGTTTTGTTTTCTGTCGTCCACCCTGAACTACCAACCGAGGGCAAAACACGCCCTTGAAAAGTACCAACACAGTCTTCTGGACACTGTGTCAAGTGAGTGACAGAATGGCCGTCTCAGCTTGTGACGTCCCGTGACAGTACGATTCATCAGAAGAAGGATGCGTATGTAGCGTTTTTACTGGTTTGTAGTCATAAGAGGTCTGCCACTCTTAGGCCTGTCTCCCGTCTGTTCAGTATGCCTGTAACAGACCATCAGCGTGGTGACTGTCATTCGGCTACAGCCAAAACTCCTTGCGACAAATTGGTCATGCATTGCTCCTTGATGTATAATACCAACCGCTTGTTCTCTCAGTTGTATCCTTATTCTTAGCATGCTATTTGTCACTGTCCAACGGTTTGGGTGTGAATGAACAGTACATAGTTCCTTTTAATCCATATATTTGTAGGCTGCCATGCTGCAAATGCAGAAAAAGTTTCACTGATCTGGGTACTGTAGCATTTACATTACTCAGCAAACTGTTTTGGTTGTGTTTGGGCGATAGATTCAATGTGTCCAACTTTTTGTTTGGTGACTTTCTCTTGTTCGTGAGTTTACCTTAAAAGATATGCTATTTATGTCTATCTAAAAAAATAAATAAATAAAACATCTCTAAAGAAGAAAAAAATATCAGCCCCTAAAAATGAAGAAAAAAACTCCATATCTTGTACTAGTCCGGACTAATACTGATTTTATAGTGCTATCCCATAGAGATATTGTTTTAAGCTCGTATGACAAGTCTTGAGCAGGTTCAAATGTTTATTCAGGAATGTTACAGTCATGCATAGCATTTAAGATGGCTGGCCCAAGCGAGCTCATGTGTTACATCGCACGTGAAGTTCCATGCATGTACCTCCCCTACACCAGTAACTACCTTCACAGAATCTATTCCACATGTACCACACCGCTGTTTAACATGAATACCCCACTCAGACACAGTATACTGACTCAGAGCCGACCAGTCCTTGTTTTTAGACCTTTAATGCCAAGCGCCAGGCAGGGTAGCAACAAGTACAATATTTTAACATCTTTTGGTATGATGCAGTTGCTCTCAGGGCAGACGCTGTACCACTAGGCTGACCGGTGAAGATCCGGGGTAGAATAAGTTTTCAGCAACCCATGCTTGCCGTAAAGGCGACTATGCTTGTCGTAAGAGGCGACTAACGAGATCGGATGGTCAGGCTCGTTGGCTCGGATGATGAATGTCATCGTATCCCAACTGCGAAGATTGATGCTCATGATGACAATCACTTTATTGTCTGGTCCAGACTTGATTATATACAGCAAGCCGTCATACAGCTGGAATATTGCTGAGTGCTGCGTTCAACAACAAACAAACAAACCATCCCTTCACTTCTACTTTTCTATACCTGAACATCCAGGGTAGAATAGGTCTTCAGCTACCCATACTTGTCTCTAGCCACGCAGATAACAATAACATTTTTTGAAAAACAAAACTAGTAATATGTAAACAAACATACTATTATGAAAACAAAACTAGGAATATGGTTTCACAACAATCACTTCCTGAAACATTGGTTATTATTTTCAAGGAACAAGGGGTATTAAGTTGACACAATCATAGTGGTATATATATGATACTGTTGACATTGATATATCTACAGTGGTAAAGTTATGAGTATATTTTTAATAATTAATCTTTTGAAAGTAATAACTCTATTGCTGTAATACATTTTATAATGAAGTAGATCAATGGTAACATGCAGATATTGTATATTGTTAAAATTGAAACCTACAACGTTCTGAGTGCGTTTGTTAGAGGTTACTTTTATTTTGTATGTATTTCGTCATATTGATTTACCGAATGTTGTTACAGAAACGAAACATATAAATCATTCGCATGAAATGTTAATGCTATTTTTTCCCGATGTTAAGAGATACTTTAAAATCTTTTCCAAATGTTGAAATCAAAATTGATAGAACTTGATAGGGAAAACTGGTTTAATGGACTTTGGAATGACAGTGGCCATACAAAAGGTACTAAGCTAAGAATATTTAGATTGTTTAAAAATACACTGAATGTTTCATTTTATGTATGTCATATTCTGGATAGACCATGATGAAGTACTTTAGCTAAACTTCGCTGTGGAACTTTACCCTTAGAATGAGGAAGAGGTCGTTATACACGTCCGAAAACCCCTGTTTCTGAACACGTCTGTAAATTTTGTAATGGCCAAACTGTTGTAGATGAAGTTCACTTTTTGGTAACATGTGACTGTTATAGAGATCTAAGACTTAATCATTGGCAGAAAGTATCCCATATTAACCCCTCGTTTATTACCATGTCTCCGGCAGACCAAACCATATTCTTAATGCAGTGCGACGATCTGGTTAAACCACTTGCAGCGCAATCTTCTCAATTTTTCAGAGAAGAAAATATAATATAAAATAATAAATTGGGTAGTTGTATACATGAGATAATTCATATCATTTTCACTGTTGTTTTGCTGTGTTGTATGATTGTTGTATGGAGATGCTGCGTTGTGTGATGAGTGACTGGCCTGTAAGATTGTGCTGTATGCTTGTTTCGTATTGTCGGAATTAATTGTGTTTGTGTGTTGTTTAGTTGGGAGTGTGTATATGTGACAGTGGATTGTTACTTTGTTAGTGTCTTTGTACGTGGTTGATGCTTCATTTTGTGGAAGTCGGAAAGGATGTGGTTGCGAGTGAGGGCGTGATTGATAATGCAGATAAGGGAGTTGGTATGGATGCGGGAATGGGTACAGGTGAGGGTATGTTTGAGAAATAGGGTGTGGGTGAGGATACTGTGTGACAGTGTGGGTGAGGGTATGTTTGAGAAATAGGGTGTGCGTGAGGATACTGTGTGACAGTGTGGGTGAGGGTATGTTTGAGAAATAGGGTGTGCGTGAGGATACTGTGTGACAGTGTGGGTGATTGTATGTTTGAGAAATAGGGTGTGCGTGAGGATACTGTGTGACAGTGTGGGTGATGGTATGTTTGAGAAATAGGGTGTGCGTGAGGATACTGTGTGACAGTGTGGGTGATGGTTTGTTTGAGAAATAGGGCGTGCGTGAGGATACTGTGTGACAGTGTGGGTGAGGATACTGTGTGACAGTGTGGGTGATGGTATGTTTGAGAAATAGGTGTGCGTGAGGATACTGTGTGACAGTGTGGGTGATGGTATGTTTGAGAAATAGGGTGTGCGTGAGGATACTGTGTGACAGTGTGGGTGATTGTATGTTTGAGAAATAGGGTGTGCGTGAGGATACTGTGTGACAATGTGGGTGATGGTATGTTTGAGAAATAGGGTGTGCGTGAGGATACTGTGTGACAGTGTGGGTGAGGGTTTGTTTGAGAAATAGGTGTGCGTGAGGATACTGTGTGACAGTGTGGGTGATAGTATGTTTGAGAAATAGGGTGTGCGTGAGGATACTGTGTGACAGTGTGGGTGAGGGTATGTTTGAGAAATAGGGTGTGCGTGAGGATACTGTGTGACAGTGTGGGTGAGGGTATGTTTGAAAAATAGGGTGTGCGTGAGGATACTGTGTGACAGTGTGGGTGATTGTATGTTTGAGAAATAGGGTGTGCGTGAGGATACTGTGTGACAGTGTGGCCGATTGTATGTTTGAGAAATAGGGTGTGCGTGGGGATATTGTGTGACAGTTTGGGTGATTGTATGTTTGAGAAATAGGGTGTGCGTGAGGATACTGTGTGACAGTGTGGGTGAGGGTATGTTTGAAAAAAAGGGTGTGCGTGAGGATACTGTGTGACAGTGTGGGTGATTGTATGTTTGAGAAATAGGGTGTGCGTGAGGATACTGTGTGACAGTGTGGGTGATTGTATGTTTGAGAAATAGGGTGTGCGTGAGGATACTGTGTGACAGTGTGGGTGAGGGTTTGGATGTGATTGAGGGGTTGTCAGCTAGGGTTTGGATGTGTTTGAATGAGCGGGTGTGTTTGAGCGGGTTGAGTATGCTGCTGTGAGTGAAGGACTGGATGTGGGAATGGATGTGGTTGTGTGTATATAGGATGGTTGTTCGGGGGATATTATGTCTTTATGAGTCTTTTAGTGTCTCGTAGGCCATTTTGGCTGGCCTCTGAGATTTTACATTCTTGCCTTGTCATTTTATATGTAAAGCGGGTATAATAAAATATTCTTCTTCTCTTCTTCTTCTTATCTCTTCACATCCGCGCACCTGGTGCAACCTTTAGACATCAATGTTCCGACAATCAAGCGAAGAAATGCAAACGTAAAACAAATCATTTTGTCCACACTTGTGTATATTATGACGATTTTTGTTCAGGTATACACTTACTTTTAATAAAAAAGATGACGGCTTTCAAATGAACCTCTTTATTATTTATACATATTTGCCATAAGAAATATTTCATATAAAGGAAATATGTATATGGTGAAGTGAGCTTCTTTCACTTGACATCTTACAGGAATTTCTATGTTCACATAAACAGCAGATTGTCAAAAATATTTTCATCATGGCATTTTAAATCATATTTAATGCGGGAGTATATCGGCGATAGTGGGTAAACTGGTACTGTTTGTTAATTTGGGGATTATATATTTATTGCAATTTTATACCAAGATATGATAATGCGTTTATACATTTTAATAAGCAGTGGTTCTCTTTCAAATTCGCTGAAGACCATGAAAACTGGTATTGAGTAACAAAATCAAGCTGCATTTTCCAAACCATACATTAAAATCGGTGCAGTCTGGATTAAACATGTGCGTCTTATGACATTATATGGGTACTTGCATCAATGGGTAGGTATGCCACACAATTTTGTTGGGCCATGCTGATCCCAAGTCTGGATCCAAGTTATCTTGTAAAGATATGCTACAATAACTGTGACAGTGAGGAGTATGACAAACATCTTAACACATCAAAGTGATGGTATCCCCAGCTATCCATAAAGCTTTGATGTCTGCATGTGGAACCGTAGAAGAATTGCAGACAAAGGGAACAACACACACATGGAAATAGCTTTTCAGGTTTATTATTATTACTATTTTATATTTTTTCTTAAAGGTTAATCATCACATTTCAGAAACAACCCTTACATGCCTACGTGGCTAGAGGTTACTAGGACTTTATCTATCAGATAGTAAAAAACAGTTTTATTGTCAACAGTTGCTTCTTGGTTAAATTCAAAGCATCTGGATAAGTGTTCACAGACAATTAAAAAATGCCTTCAACAAAAATTACATTGTCGCAAGATGTGTTCCTTTAAAAATCCAGGCTAATAGTTAAAAAAGGATATATGGTTTTGTAGATGTAGTATGTCTTGAATATGTCTTTACTTGACTACGCCTGATCTTAACTGCTCATACGTACAGTCTGTAAGGTTTGAGAAACATTGAAAGATCATAGATCTGCACATTACTAATCACAAAATATCCAGTCAAATGACATATCTGGAATAACCTCAAATCCGATACCTTCATGCATCTTAATAGACGGCGTGTTTACACGTTGTATCATGACAAACACCTCTTTCTTTTTCTGTAGATGTTTAAATGCGAGATGAGACATGGCGACCTTCCCGTACCCCTTCCCTCGGTGCTCCTCCAGCACGTACAGCACCCCCAGACACCCGTAGTGATAGGTAAGGGCGTATCCCAACAGCTCCCCCTCCTGGTTGTAAAGACAGGTGGAAGGAAGTGAGGTTATTAAGTGCTTGATGTAGGCTTCAGATACATCTCCATTGCGTAAGTCCCACACCGAATTAACCAGGGCTGCTCGATCTGCCCCTAGGCTTGAGAGGGTACAGCCTTCAGGAACGGGCCTGCGAAGATTAATTATCACAAAAATTCAAAATATCCAAATACATCTAAAATGTAAGAAATTCCTTCATATACTGTTGACCATTTGTATCTGTAAAGCATCATAATGTATACAGGGGCACGAGAGCCCCAGTTGTGTAAGGCGCCTCAATTAGCTGTGCAGAGTTGCGTCCCTTGGGCACGTCAGAAACCTATAATTGTGGGTTCGAATCCCAGTTCGCCCTGATTATGATTCTAGGTCTGCAGCACCATACATGTGCTCGTGGGTGAACGTCTGAGATCTGCATCACTTCGGGCTTTCCTCCACATCAAGCTGACACGCCACGATATAACTGGAATACTGTTAAAAGCGGTATTAAACTCAACTCATTCACTCATAATCAAGACAAGTGCATCATTTACTTTGACACACTTCGTAATGAATTCCACAATATGTCATGTTTGTCGACATGATGTTTGAATGGTTCTCGTTGTTAAGCAAGTACACAAAGATTATTGTAAGTGTAGGAGCCTAAGCGAACTATGGTATAGATGTACCTGAGTTTCAGTGTATCTTGCGTGACTTTCAGGTAGACAGCGTCAGTGTGTGTACCGGTGGGAACACGGTGAAGTTGTATCACTTCTGTCAAAACCGGCATTAGCCCACTGGCCACGCCTGATAAATTGAAAGAAAGGATTACATGTAGGAGGTAGGGTGTATGCACCACGCTAAATAAGTGCAATAATCTTAATCGTGACGTTTAACCCCATTTCATCTCAGTGGTGCAGTCATTAAAGCGGTTGCTCGTCACACCAAAGACCCGGTTTCAATTCCCACCATGGGTACAACATGGGTTTGTTCTATGACGTTTCCATATTTGTAAAAGTGGGTCAGTGACATTCGTGTTGATTGCAGTAAATGTTTCAAAATCGACATTGTTGTTTCTTTTTATTTGATAACAAATTCCATCCATTTTAGCTATAATAACGGTAACGCTATTTTTCAGGGCATTATCATTTGCAGAAGCCCCCGGTCTTTTCAACTGCCCTCCTTCGTCGGGCAGTTAATGGAAGACCTCGGGCTTCTGCAAATGATAATGCCCTGAAAAATAGCGTTACCCTTATATTGAGACTTGCTTATGAAGCCTTTTCAGGCTTGGGACCATGTGGTGTGAAAGTAAATATTCCTATTTCAAGCAGTGTGTAAGGAAATTACAAAATTACAAGCATATTGATATGACTTGGATCAAGACATCACTGTTTCACTGCTACCTCTCTACAGCACCAAACTTGACGATGTAGTTCCTTTTGACCCTACTATTTATAGTGGAGATACACGCCAAGAAGCTGTGTCTAGAAACATGAGTACAAAGACAACAACAGTAGTATGGTGTTGATTACATCTGAAAATGAAAAAGGTTTGAGTTACGAGTCATTCTCATCAAAGATGATATCCCATATTTCATTTTAAACCCAGTAACACAGTTGGTGCCTGTTTCTACTATGGGTTTGCATGCTCTTGTTACTGAAAGTAACGATACTCCGTCTCTGAGTAAAAACTTTTGGAACCTTTCCTGATATCAGTTTATAAAGTTAATGAAAACACTTATTTTTCTCTTAAACATTCAGTCCCTTTTATTAGAGATGGAGAATGTGAGAGTCACCCCCGGAAAAGACACCTCTGCCTGAGTCACGACAGCATTTGAGGGACAACATACAAGGGATTCTACCCAATCTTGATGCAACAGTTCTCCAAAATCTAATGATGAGTCTGGAGAAGCTTGGAGTAGAGAGCCTAGCTGATATGACTTCTGTTGAAGAAAGTGACCTGAAGAAGCTTGGAGTAGAGTGCCTTGCTGATATGACTTCCGTTGAGGAAGTGACCTGGAGAAGCTTGGAGTAGAGTGCCTAGCTGATATGACTTCCGTTGAGGAAGTGACCTGGAGAAGCTTGGAGTAGAGTGCCTAGCTGATATGACTTCCGTTGAAGAAAGTGACCTGGAGAAGCTTGGAGTAGAGAGCCTTGCTGATATGACTTCCGTTGAAGAAAGTGACATGGATGATAGTTTGACACCTATTGCGACCAGAGTGAGTGAGTGAGTGAGGTTTTACGCCGCTTTTAGCAATATTCCAGCAATATCACGGCGGGGGACACCAGAAATGGGCTTCACACATTGTACCCATGTCGGGAATCGAACCCGGGTCTTCGGCGTGACGAGCGAACGCTTTAACCACTAGGCTACCCGACCGCCCCTTATTGCAACCAGAAGGATAATGAGACACAGTCACCAGGTGAGGTGTCACAATTTTAGAATTATTTTTGTATGTAGGTTTGCAGATTGTTAGGAATAAGAAAGTAAGCAATTGCAAATATTAATCTGGTATTGCCGTCACAATGCACATTCTATATGTGAGTGGAACTGATTACCTTTATGGCACATGTTACTGACACTACGTCCGCTGTCTATATAGTGTTATGTTTAGGAACTCATTGAATTGAGCAAAGGATTTTATGCAATGCTACTTTAATAAGTTTGGTAAGTCTTGTCTCTTTGGGGCACAGAAACTTTGAGCTTTGGTGCATTCATTAGTTTAACACTGATTAAGGCATTATTAAAGTAGAAAATGGAAATGATTTGATCCCCTGTCCTTTAATCATACCTTAGATCATGTAGATAGCAACTACTTCATTTGTCGATTTTATTTGCAGTATTGTGTGCACCCGGATTCGATAGATCAAGTGTTTCCTCACTCAATACAAGTCAAAACACACCACAACTTCCAGGAACACGTTTCTGTAGCTCATTAACTTCTTCAGTTCACTCAGGCCTGAAAATATTGTCACAGTCACCATCAAGTTGTCAAGCTATTTCACCCCCTTCCACGTTTGTAAGTCTTACAGATAGTTACAGCACACAGTCACCATCAAGGTGTCAAGCTATTTCATCCCCTTCCACGTTTGTAAGTCTTACAGATAGTTACAGCACACAGTCACCAGGCGTAATGGCACCTCCACCTTTTAGTGCATCCTCCTCAACTGGCTCATCACCACCCCGAAGTCCCATCCTTATTGAAGTCGGAAATAGAGATCCAAACTAGGCATCTAAGTTTCAGATACAATGGGACCGTCCACCCAGGGACATTTGCAGACCAAAGCTGACGAACTTGCAGTGAAATTAGGCCATGAAGATTTCACGTGTAACACTGCAATTACGTGTATTGTGTTTTGTCTTATCCAAGATGGCGGACGTTTCCGAGCGAAAACGTGTATAACGAACAACGGATATAACGAACTGATTTCTCTGGTTCCTTGTAGTTCGTTAAATCTGAGATGGTTGGTGGTTTTTGTTTATAGAAAACAGTTTCATTTGAATCAAGTTGGGGACAATTGAAACTTGTACAAATATTCTCACACATACATTCACACACACAAATATTCTCACACCTACATTCACACACACACATCGCGATCGATGCACATATATATGTACGCCCATGTGCACATTCCCATAAGTTAATACATGCATTGTACCCACGATATGGTTATTTGTCTCACATTCAAACCGTTTCCCCTTTGACCAGTCCAAGTTGTGTAGAAGGCCCCTCAGTGCATCGTGGTCGGTGGCGTACAGGTTCACAATCGGCTCCAGATACTTCAACTGTCGGGGGGAATATTTTTGTCAATTGCGTGGACCGCTACATGTTGCAAGTCATTTATCCGATGGAAATATCAGAATCAGTGTCACATGCGGGTTTTATCTTGTAGTGGAAAGTACAAAAACTGTTGCGTTGTAAAAATAACACCCCCAAGAAGAACTCCTGGGGAGCAATTTGTAAAATGAACAAATAATAATTAATTCTGTAATTCAGATCAATTTTTATATTCATAAAAATAACTAAGAAATGCTATTATCATTTTGTCGTCTGCAAACTGACAAAAAACAATATTCCCCAAATTCGATCTACACATACTTATCCTTAATACTATGTACTATGGGTTTCGTGATATATACAGGTTATGCATTTTTGGAAATATAGCTCAAATAGGTTTCAGAATTGTATTTTGGGGAAGAAATGAAATGATATATATTTACGCGTGAATTAGTCACGTGACACCGCCGCGTGTATTTTCTAAAGTTGTATTTGAGCAAGGTGATTATGGTGTATTTTTCAGATATTTCCACACAAGAGCCCGTTTTGTTCATCAGTTTCGGATAAATATTTCTCTCTCTTCTAATGAAATAAAAAGTAAAATGAGACGCGATCACGTGCGCGCTATAACGGGGAGTTGGCGATCGGCGATAAGTGGTCGCTCTACATTGAAACCGAAGAAAGGAGGTATGCCAACAAAAGGATTTTACAAAAAGAGCTAGAAAGACGAAACACCATCGAAGATTGCTCACGATATATATATACGGGGTCAAATTAAAAACTTCACATTTTTAAAAGTAATCCCATATATGATATACAAAGGACAAATGTATCAGAGAAGGTGATTTTTAATCATTAATGTCCAAAGAAGGATTTTAAATAACGGTGGTAACCATAATTTGTTCCAAGCACCTACGGTATTCGGTAATAACATCAACAGTTTAAATCATAAGTCCTAAGCACGAGAATCTGATGGCACAAAAGTTCAGTAGCGTGTATGGCCACCATGTGCGTTGACAACTGCCACACAACGCCTCCGCATGGACATTGTGATACTTGTGAACACATGATTGGGAAGACGACGCAATTGTTGCTGCAAAATGGTGCCAAGATCTTGCAAATTCTGTGGTTGGTTCTGGAGAGTGCGCAGATTCTGCCAAGAGCATCCCAGACGTGTTCGGTGGGATAGAGGTCGGGAGACCTTGACGGCCAGTCCATGACGTTGACTACCGCATTCTGAAGGAAAATCCTTGTCAAAATTGCTGTGTGGGGTCTGGCATTGTCGTGTTGGAAGATCAAACCGGGTCCATGTGCTGCCATAAAAGGCAGTAGTTCTGGTGCCAGTACCTGCTCGCGGTAAGCAGCAGCGTTGAGGTTGCCACGGATGACAAGAAGCCTTGAACGTCCATCGTAAGTGTCGCTGTACCCACAATTGACGTTGACGTCTGTGTAATTGAGTCAGAATCGGCCCGCAGTATGGCCGTCGTGCTTGAAGGTGAGCAGTTCTCAGACGGTTTCGAACAGTTTTCGCACTCAGTCTACCCCTAAACAGTTCATTTCTGGTTGATGTAGCCGTCAAAAATCGGTTACGGAGGTGACGTGAGACAATCTGACGATCCTCTGCATGTGACGTCACACGTGGTCGACCTGGCGGAGGGCGATCAGCGGTGATACCCGTTTGCTGTAAATCATTAACAGTCCGTCGACTACAACCCATCGTCCTTGCGACTTTAGCTACGGACGTTCCCGTCTGCAACATGCCGATGGCACGTTCACGTTGCACATTTGAAGGGCGTGGCGTGACAAATGGCCGTAAAGACTTTTGTTTTCTTGTGTTTTTCTTTTTTTGTTAATGACTGCTAACAAGTATGTGAGTCAGGAAGTCACGGTAGTTAATACAACAATGTGTACAGGTACCATGTAAGTTCCCCGGTCTCCACATCGCACACATGTGGACAACAAAACAGGCAGCTGTCTTTAGCTCAGGATACTCTCTAGCTATCCTCCACGCCACGTGTGGGGTCACATCCGGATGAAGACTCTCAAAGTGCACAGTGTCAGGGTCTGATGGAAGTCTTTCCCGCCATGCTCGTACTTCAGAAGTATTCACGGCTTCTTTGACTGTTCTTTTCCATATATTCCGTTCCAGGAATGTACCGGAACTAAGAAATGCCTCCAGGTGACAGTACAATGAATACTTGTGGAGGATGCGACATATGTCTGGGACAAAGCCCATACTTGTAGATGAACACTTATGTATATACATGGAGATACGAGTCATAAAAACCTTCTTAGAAGGCAGATGATTGGAACAATTACAGAGGTGGCCAAGAAAGAATAGTTTCCTGATGCTGATAAATGATTCTATGGGGAGCCAGCCGAGAAGAGCATTAACTATGTCAGACCTAGTATGACATGGAAGTCCCTGTGCCTTTTTGAGAATGGACCTCTGTGCTCTTTCTAAAGCCAGAATTTCTGCCTTGGAAATCATCGACCAGAGTTCACACCCAAACATAGCCTTTGGAATACAAACTGCCTTAATAAGTTTTGAGCTTGTCATGGGGTTTAGAGCGCGTTTCATGCAATCCCGATTTGACGAGTGCCATGGCTGATGCTTTCATCTTTGAGCAGCTCTCCAGAGTTCTCTCCCATGAGTTAAATTCAGGTGAGGTATGGTGAAATGGGGTTTAACGTCGCGTCCAAGATTATTGCACATATATAGCGACGTGCATGTACGTGTGTGTGTTTGTGTGGCTGCTTGTACTAGTCCGGACTGATGCCGATTTATAGTGCCGAGATACCATGCCGCAGTTTAACATAAATACCCCACTCAGACACAGTATACTGACTCCGAGCCGACCAGTCCTTGTTTTAGCCCCTTAATGCCGAGCTCCAGACAGGGTAACAACAAGTACCATCTTTTAACGTCTTTTGGTATGACGCGGTCGGGGATCGAACCCCGGACCTTCCGCTCTCCGGGCGGACGCTCTACCACTGGACCACGGAGGCGGTCTAGTTAAATTCAGAGTTCAATATAATACCAACGTGCTTAAGCTCATTTGTCACTGGGATATCACGCCAGAATATCCATAATTTCTGCCTTGGAAATCATCGACTAGAGTTCGCACCCAAACATAGCCTTTGGGATACAAACTGCCTTAATAAGTTTTGAGCTGGTCATGGGGTTTAGAGCGGGGAAGCCAGGGATAATCACATTTGACCTTATTTCAATTTACGAAATAAAATTCATGTCATGCCTACACAAACTAATGCACAGACATGTATAAGATACCTTTATATCATTTGGCTTCGCCCGAACAACCATTGCTCTGCAATCCGGCCATCTGTCAACAACGAACTCGTAATCACTTATACGGTGTTCCAGCGTGGCTTCTATTTCCCCTACGATCTGAAATGAGAACAACCTCAATAAACTCAAGTCATCGACCTCTGGTAAGGCGATCCATATTTCTGTATGTGTTTCCTCATCTCTTACCTCAACAAGCAAGAGAGCGAGAGTAACTAAATAAATAAAAATAACAAACAAACTTAACTGTTTTCACTAACTATGTTACTTATTTTGTTCAATTTTAAAGTTTAGATCAATTGGTAATTTTCTATACATTATCTGTGGGGTAGATCTAGTAGCTTTGCGAGAGCGTGAGAGAGAGAGAGATGGAGGGAGGGAGAGGGAGGGAGAGAGGGAGAGAGAGAGGGAAGGAGGGAGGGAGAGAGAGGGAGAGGGAGGAAGGGAGAGAGAGAGAGGGGGAGAAGGGAGACAGAGGGGAGGGAGAGCGTGAGAGAGAGAGGGAGGGAGGGAGAGGGAGGGAAAGAGGGAGAGAGAGAAGGAAGGAGGGAGGGAGAGAGAGGGAGAGGGAGGAAGGGAGAGAGAGAGAGAGGGAGAGAGAGGGGGAGAGAGGGGAGGGAGAGAGAGAGGGAGAGAGAGAGGGGGAGGGAGAGAGAGAGGGAGAGGAGAGACGGGGAGGGAGAGACAGAGAAAGCGAGGGAGGGAGAGAGAGAGAGAGAGAGAGAGAGAGAGAGAGAGAGAGAGAGAGAGAGAGAGAGAGAGTAAAAATACAGACAGCCTTAACTCGTCCCCGGTATTGACCCACCGGTATTTCATGAAGGCCTATCCTTGTCACAATCTAGATACCTGGGACAGTCACCAGTCGGATTCTATACGGACGACATATCATTCAAAGTTCTACTGGTCTGTGATCAGGTGAGGTAAGAAAACAACGCTACCTTGATCCACGTGTGACTTGTCTTCAGTTTCTCCATCAGCTGTAGCAGCTGTGCTTCTTCGAGTCGGTCCGCCATCTTGGTTGACGTTCGCAGGGCGTGTGATTGTGGGGTTACTCAGTATAACGCGCATGTCGGGCGTTCTTTTGTGTGTATTTGCACATAGAGTTATCGCTGTTGTCAATGGCCATGCACACAGGCTCACACACGGTGCATTACACCAAACGCACCGGGGGAGCGGTTGTCAAAGAATTTATTTTGCAGACATTCATTCCTCTAGATCCAGAATATATACCGGCAGTATCACCGAGATAGCAAAACTCGTAGCAGACGACGCAACGAACCGAGGTATTGTAACGTGTGAAAATATAGAAATATTAACAAATGAAACACCGAAAATAACAACATCTTTCATTAGACACTGTTCATGTATATATACGTATAGTCACTGTGCATATTGATCCAACATCTATTCTATAGTTTCGATTACATAGTTTTAGTGACACACGTTTTGTCCTCTCCACTTGAAATAGAATAACGAAATATCGTGATTATTGATTAATGAATATAGCTGCATGTATACTCATACTTATAGGGTGAAAACAAGCCATTCCGCGATAAAACATATTACTATGAGTAATGACACAAAATGCAAAGTACGCTTTTCAAGAAATATCCATTTTCCTTGAGATACATATTATCATTGAGTTTTGATCACCATCCGGGTTAGATTCGACAATCAGGTGATTATATTGAGGCTATATTTAGCAGCGACAGTAACAAAACATACGTGCTGATGACTTTTTAAAGCGCTATTGACCAAGTTCACTGCTAAATATGTCCCGATTGTTGATTCATACACGCATGATAACCACGTAATCAAAACTTAATGGGGATTTTTCGCTATTAAAATGTATATTTCTTCAAAAGCTCACTTCGCAATTTTTGTCATTGCTGTAAGTAATATTACTTATGGGCGGAATACTCATCGCGATATAGCAATATTCCAGCTATATGACGGCGGTCTGTAAATAATCGAGTCTGGAACAGACACTCCAGTGATTGACATCATGAGCATCGATCCATGCAATTGGGATACGATGACACGCATCAACCAAGTCAGTGAGCCTGACCAACCGATCACGTTAGTCGCTTCTTACGACAAGCACAGTCGCCTTGATGAAAATGACGCAAGCACTGGCGAAGGAATGAAAGAGACAAATGGTTTACTGTGTCTATAGTCGTCATGCTTCAATAAGTTATACAGACAGACCACTGAGGTATACGTGAGTGAGTGAGTGTGGTTTTACGCCGCTTTTAGCAATATTCCAGCAATATCACGGCGGGGGACACCAGAAATTGGCTGCACACATTGTACCCATGTCGGGACTCGAACCCGGGTATTCGGCGTGACGAGCAAACGCTTTAAGCACGAGGCTACCCGACAGCTGAGGTATAAGCCTGGGCAATATGCTTTGTCAAATCACATGTTTTGCTTTGTGTTTAATACATTAAAGTGGGCGCAAAAATATCACACTGACAAGCGATATTAGAATTAAAGGTTAACTCCCATACTTTAACATCGAAGTGGTAGGAAGTCGTTTGTTTGTCCGTGAACAGTCCACTTCATCACTTAACTATCTGAAGTATCATCATTGAAGAAAACCATATCTTTAAGTTTTGTTTGTTTGCTTGTTTGTTTGTTGTTTAACGCCACACTCAGCAATATTCCATCGATATGACGGCGGTCTGTAAATAATCGAGCCTGGACCAGACAATCAAGTGAATGACATCATGAGCATCGATCTTCGAATACGATGACATGCAACAACCACGTCATTTCGTTTGTCGCCAGTGGCCATGTCGAATGTATCATTGCTTGTATGAATACTTTCCGGTACATTAAATATATCCAGTTACCTTTTCTTCGTCTTTTGACGCATCAGTGACAAGAATGATGTCCGATGCAATTCCCCATTATGACGTGTGCCATATATTCCCGTGACTTTTTAGGGGAACGATTGATTGCCTTTGCATGTGTTTGTGACGGGTGCCACCGATGGGGCAGGATACGCTCACCTTTTCGCGAACACCTGGTATCATCACTATTTGATAGTGACTGAAAACACATGCTCATGATACAGTCGGAATCGTGCAATCGACTTTTCTTTTGGCTGACATCTCTTATGAATATGGAAAGTGTTTTGTTGCTTTTATTCCCATCTATACGTTTTTGTAACTGCTCGAAACATATATTTCTACACATTATGGGTATATGCTCTGTAAACAAAATATTTAAAACACATAGTCCTGACTACATGAATAAAAAGTCGGACAAAATGGCGGATTCTGTATCACTTGAGACGTCTTGTTTGGCCAAGTATGTTATTTTTAAGACAGGTGGCGATTAGTTAATAGGCCCAGCATAGTTCCCGTTCCGCCATCAACATCTTGTTCACATACAAACGAAAATATTCTGTGCACCATTAAAGAATCATAAAATAATAAAATAAGATAGTCATGGATTTTTCAAAACAATGCTTGAAAATCACGGAGGGCACGGGTGGCCCAGTCGTATAATGCGCCGCAATTCGTTGTGCAGAGTTGCGTCCCTTGGGCACGCCAGAAACCTATGATTGTGGGTTCGAATCCCGGTTCGCCTCGATTATGTTTCTAGATTCGTCAGCACCATACCCGTGCCCATGGGTTTCACCGAAGTGGTAAACGTCTGAGACCTGCATCACTTCGGGCTTTCCTCCCACATTAAGCTGACACGCCGTGATATAACTGGAATACTGTTAAAAGCGGCGTTAACACAACTCACTCACTCACTCACTCACTCACTTGAAAATCACATGTACAAACACTTTGTTATGATTACCCATGACGACCCTGAAATTGCACGTGCGTCCCGATCATTGCATGCCTAAATTCCCATGAGTAGAAAATCCTTGACACATTCACAGTATAGTGGGACCAAGTCAATATAAACAGAGAGTAGTGAGTAAGTAAGTATGATTTTACGCCGCTTTTAGCAATATTCCAGCAATATCACGGCGGGGGACACCAGAAATGGGCTTCACACATTGTACCCATGTCGGGAATCGAACCCGGGTCTTCGGTGTGACGAGCGAGCGCTTTAACAACTCGGCTACCCGACCGCCCCCAAACACAGAGTAAATCGTGGAAGTGTTTAACTGTAAAATACTACTTTGTTGAAGGTCAAACCTCGTAAACGTTGTATGCCACGCTATTTGAATGCTTGAAACCGGAAATGCAGGAAACGTTGTTGTCGTGCGTGTTGGTGTTCATCCACTCTAGGGTCGGTACTAATTGGCAACACCAGGTACCGACCATGTTAAGGACGTCCACGAGTAGCGTTACGAATCGGTTTCAGACTGCAACTTTGACAGCCCACAGCATCTCTGGCTTGCGTCCGATCTTGGTGCCGTTGTACAAAGCGATCTTAGCGCTGAGGTGATCGTAACTCCCATATCTTAACATAGTGAGTGAGTTGGGTTTTGCCGCCGCTTTTAACACTTAACATAGACTTACGACAGTCGTGGCGCTAAGGTTGTTTTGTCCAACGACACCCTGGACGGCGGGGAATCGATTACGAGAGCATAACATCCGTCCAATTTTGGCGCCACGTGATCGAACTGCATCGAATCTGAGGTTCAGGGTACAGGACTGGGCCCACTTGCACAAAGCGATCTTAGCGATAAGACTATCGTAAGCCTATGTTCAAGTATGGGAGTTACGATCATCTTAGCGCTAAGATCGCTTTGTGCAAGTGGGCCTTGGAGGTTAGTCCTCCTCACAGATGAGTCCATGTGTCATCTTGACGCCAGTGATGGCCATCGACGTCGTGTTTATCGACGTCGGATGAAACGTTACGCTGACTCGTGTGTTGTTCAACGTTCTGGATTCTGTGGTGGGAGCATATTGGCGTCGGAAGGAATCACTGCGCAGCACCACACCGCCTGGTGGTCATTGATGGACAGGTGTACGGGTGTACGGTTCCGTGACCAAATTACTTCACCTCACTTCCTCCCGTTCCTTCAGACCCATGGACGTCACTTCAGTTTACGACCCGTGAAGATCCGGGGTAGAATAGGTCTTCAGCAACCCATGCTTGCCGTAAAAGGCGACTATGCTTGTCGTAAAAGGCGACTAACGGGATCGGGTGGTCAGGCTCGCTGACTTGGTTGATACATGTCATTGATCCCAATTGCGTGGATCGATGCTCATGATATCAAGCACTAGATTGTCTGGTCCAGACTCGATTATTTACAGACCGCCGTCATATAGCTGGAATATTACTGAGTGCAGCGTTAAACAACAAACTAACAACAACAACAACACTTCAGTTTACACACACGCTCATGCTGCACGTGTGGTCACAGTCGTTGGACAACAGAACGCCCCACACTCCCTTGGCCTCCTGTTTCGCCAGATCTGTCGCCCATCATCTTCCCGAGGCAAGTGACTTTACTGACTTTAAAAGTCAAGTTGGCACCCTTGTCGAACTAGGCTTGTATAATGGAGTTACATTGTGGCTGGACTAACGAGTCTATGTATCGTCCAATCAAAATCGCGAAACGAAATCGAAATCCGGTTCGTAAACTGTCGTGCAGATTTTCTGTCGATTGCAGGATTTGCAAAACATGTGACCGCCAACTCGGCGTCAACAGATATTTTCCAAATATTTTCATGTTTTTAGTCAAGGTGCTCACGTGATTTGATGCACCTTGCTATGTAAGACCCGTTTTATCACAATATAGATAATTATTGATTATCGATCAGATCGTCCTGACTCGGCGCCGCCATTTTGTTTGAAGCAAATGCAAGTGATACAAGAGGCGGAATCTGATTGGTCCATAGGAGAGGCAGAAAAGGGACAAAACTCGTAATAACCACTGGTGGCGCACGATCGAGCCTAGAAATTCCAGCCTAGTTCGGCAAGGGTGGAAACAGGACTTTTATAGTTAGTTAACTCCCTTGCCTCGGGAAGATGGTCGCCCATCTTTCAGGTGTGGGATGAAATGAAACGCCGTTTACAGCGACTGCCAATACAACCGGTGACGTTAATCCAGCTGCGACATTCCTTAGTCAAGATCTGGAAAGGCATCCCACAAGCCTTCTTCAACCAACTTGCATCGTCAATGAGGCGCCGTTGGCATGCTTGTGTCACTGCTGGCCCGTTTGAGTAGCCTAGTGGTTAAAGCGTTCGCTTGACACGAAGAAGTCCCGGGTTCGTTTCCCATGTGGGTAAAATGTGTAAAGCCCAATTTTGGTGTCCTCTGTCGTGATATTGCTGAAATATTGCCAAAACGTGAAAACTCCCTAACCCACTCCCTTCCTCATTCAACCACATACCAACCCACACCTCACACCCTCTCACTCCCTCATGGGGTCATCCCCCATACTGACGTGTGAACTGACAATTGACCCTAAGCCACTTTCAGCGTGAGATGACGTTTAAAGATGACCTGTGTTGACGCTGTCATGGTGAAATCATATTTCAGGGACCTAAAAAAATGTTCGGTTGCCAAATGTATTTGTGTTTGTTAATAATTAGCCACGACAGCCAGTGCTGTAGAGGGATTCAGATCACGAATTCACCAACATATACTGTTCGTGGCATGTAGCAGTTGGACCGCGAACTGGATAGCGAACTCTTCCTCACACGGTGCTGTACCATGGCGTGTAGGAAGCTGGACAGTAATTCTCTATCAGACCTGCTACAGGACATTGATTATTTTCTCCTTGATATCGATGGTAAGTATTCAAATATATTTTTTGACTGTTTCTGCACAATGGGATTATGAGCCACGGGGTACTTCTAAACTATTTGGGTATTTGTCCAAACTACACCCATTGGATTCCAAAGCAAAATAGATCAATTTTTTACTCCTCGTTGAGCTTCAATACAGAATAATTCCGAGACACCGAATACGTGTCTCCCAGTGGTATATGCAGTCATAGTAGATACCCAGTACCCCATGTTTGTCTCACCAGGGTGATTCCAGTGTAGAATAGATCACAAGTACCCTATGCTTGTCTCCCCGGGGTGATTCCAGGACAGAATAGATCCCCAGTACCCCATGCTTGTCTCCCAAGGGCGATTCCAGTGTAGAATAGATCCCCAGTACCCCATGCTTGTCTCCCCAGGGCGATTCCAGGACAGAATAGATCCCCAGTACCCCATGCTTGTCTCCCCAGGGCGATTCCAGGACAGAATAGATCCCCAGTACCCTATGCTTGTCTCCCCAGGGCGATTCCAGGACAGAATAGATCCCCAGTACCACATGCTTGTCTCCCCGGGGTGATTCCAGGACAGAATAGATCCCCAGTACCCCATGCTTGTCTCCCCAGGGTGATTCCAGTGTAGAATAGATTCCCATACCCCATGCTTGTCTCCCCAGGGTGATTCCAGTGTAGAATAGATCTCCAGTACCCCATGCTTGTCTCCCCAGGGTGATTCCAGTGTAGAATAGATCCCCAGTACCCCATGCTTGTCTCCCAAGGGTGATTCCAGGACAGAACAGATCCCCAGTACCCCATGCTTGTCTCCCCTATGTGATTCCAGTGTAAAATAGACCCCCAGTACCCCATACTTGTCTCCCCAGGGTGATTCCAGTGTAGAATAGATCCCCAGTACCCCATGCTTGTCTCCCCAGGGTGATTCCAGTGTAGAATAGATCCCCAGTACCCCATGCTTGTCTCCCAAGGGTGATTCCAGGACAGAACAGATCCCCAGTACCCCATGCTTGTCTCCCCTTTGTGATTCCAGTGTAAAATAGACCCCCAGTACCCCATACTTGTCTCCCCAGGGTGATTCCAGTGTAGAATAGATCCCCAGTACCCCATGCTTGCCTTCCCAGGGTGATTCCAGGGCAGAACAGATCCCCAGTACCCCATGCTTGTCTCCCCAGGGTGATTCCAGTGTAGAATAGATTCCCAGTACCCCATGCTTGTCTCCCCAGTGTGATTCCAGTGTAGAATAGATCCCCAGTACCCTATGCTTGTCTACCAAGGCTGATTCCAGTGCAGAAAAGATCCCCAGTACCCCATGCTTGTCTCCCCTGGGTGATTCCAGTGTAGAATAGATCCCCAGTACCCCATGCTTGTCTCCCCAGGGTGATTTCAGGACAGAATAGATCCCCAGTACCCCATGCTTGTCTACCAAGGGTGATTCCAGTGCAGAATAGATCCCCAGTACCCCATGCTTGTCTACCAAGGGTGATTCCAGTGCAGAAAAGATCCCCAGTACCCTATGCTTGTCCCCCCAGGGTGATTCCAGTGTAGATTAGATCACAAGTACCCTATGCTTGTCTCCCCAGGGTGAATCCAGTGTAGAATAGATCCCCAGTATCCCATGCTTGTCTCCCCAGGGTGAATCCAGTTTAGAATAGATCCCCAGTACCCTATGCTTGTTACCCAAGGGTGATTCCAGTGTAGAATAGATCCCCAGTACCCCATGCTTGTCTCACCAGGGTGATTCCAGGACAGAATAGATCTTCAGTACCCCATGCTTGTCTCCCCAGGATGATTCCAGGACAGAATAGATGCCCAGCACCACCTGCTTGTCTCCCCAGGGTGATTCCAGTGTAGAATAGATCCCCAGTATACCATGCTTGTCTCCCCAGGATGATTCCATTGTAGAATATATCCCCAGTATACAAAGTTTCTCTCCCCAGGGTGATTCCAGTGTAGAATAGATCTCCAGTACCCCATGCTTGTCTCCCCAGGGTGATTCCAGTGTAGAATAGATCCCCAGTACCCCATGCTTGTCTCCCAAGGGTGATTCCAGGACAGAATAGATCCCCAGTACCCCATGCTTGTCTACCAAGGCTGATTCCAGTGCAGAAAAGATCTCCAGTACCCCATGCTTGTCTCCCCTGGGTGATTCCAGTGTAGAATAGATCCCCAGTACCCCATGCTTGTCTACCAAGGGTGATTCCAGTGCAGCAAAGATCCCCAGTACCCCATGCTTGTCTCCCCAGGGTGATTCCAGTGTAGAATAGATCCCCTGTACCCCATGCTTGTCTCCCCAGGGTGATTCCGGTGTAGAATAGATCCCCAGTACCCCATGTTTGTCTCCCCGGGCCGATTCCAGTGCAGAATAGATCCCCAGTACCCTATGCTTGTCTCCCCAGGGTGAATCCAGTGTAGAATAGATCCCCAGTATCCCATGCTTGTCTCCCCAGGGTGAATCCAGTGTAGAATAGATCCCCAGTACCCTATGCTTGTTACCCAAGGGTGATTCCAGTGTAGAATAGATCCCGAGTACCCCATGCTTGTCTCCCCAGGGTGATTCCAGGACAGAATAGATCCCCAGTACCACATGCTTGTCTCCCCAGGGTGATTCCAGTGTAGAATAGATCCCCAGTATACCATGCTTGTCTCCCCAGGATGATTCCATTGAATATATCCCCAGTATACAAAGTTTCTCTCCCCAGGGTGATTCCAGGACAGAATAGATCCCCAGTACCCCATGCTTGTCTCCCAAGGGTGATTCCAGTGTAGAATAGATCCCCAGTACCCCATGCTTGTCTCCCCAGGGTGATTCCAGTGTAGAATAGATCCCCAGTACCCTATGCTTGTCTCCCAAGGGTGATTCCAGGACAGAATAGATCTTCAGTACCCCATGCTTGTCTCCCCAGTGTGATTCCAGGACAGAATAGATGCCCAGTACCCCATGCTTGTCTCCCCTGGGTGATTCCAGTGTAGAATAGATCCCCAATATACCATGCTTGTCTCCCCAGGGTGATTCCAGTGTAGAATAGATCCCCAGTACCCCATGCTTGTCTCCCGAAGGTGATTCCAGTGTAGAATAGATCCCCAGTACCCCATGCTTGTCTCCCCAGGGTGATTCCAGGACAGAATAGATCCCCAGTACCCCATGCTTGTCTCCCCAGGGTGATTCCAGTGTAGAATAGATCCCCAGTACCCCATGCTTGTCTCCCCGCGGTGATTCCAGTGTAGAATAGATCCCCAGTACCCCATGCTTGTCTCCCCAGGGTGATTCCAGTGTAGAATAGATCCCCAGTACCCCATACTTGTCTCCCCAGGGTGATTCCAGTGCAGAATAGATCCCCAGTACCCCATGCTTGTCTCCCCAGGGTGATTCCAGTGTAGAATAGATCCCCAGTACCCCATGCTTGTCTCCCCAGGGTGATTCCAGTGCAGAATAGATCCCCAGTACCCCATGCTTGTCTCCCCAGGGTGATTCCAGTGTAGAATAGATCCCCAGTACCCTATGCTTGTCTCCCCAGGGTGATTCCAGTGCAGAATAGATCCCCAGTACCCCATGCTTGTCTCCCCAGGGTGATTCCAGTGTAGAATAGATCCCCAGTACCCTATGCTTGTCTCCCCAGGGTGATTCCATTGTAGAATAGACCCCCAGTACCCCATGCTTGTCTCCCCGGGATGATTCCAGTGTAGAATAGATCCCCAGTACCCCATGCTTGTCTACCAAGGGTGTTTCCAGGACAGAATAGATCCCCAGTACCCCATGATTGTCTCCCCAGGGTGATTCCAGTGTAGAATAGATCCCCAGTACCCCATACTTGTCTCCCCAGGGTGATTCCAGTGCAGAATAGATCCCCAGTACCCCATGCTTGTCTCCCCGGGGTGTTTCCAGTGTAGAATAGATCCCCAGTACCCCATGCTTGTCTCCCCAGGGTGATTCCAGTGCAGAATAGATCCCCAGTACCCCATGCTTGTCTCCCCAGGGTGATTACAGTGTAGAATAGATCCCCAGTACCCCATGCTTGTCTCCCCAAGGTGATTCCAGTGTAGAATAGATCCCCAGTACCCCATGCTTGTCTCCCCAGGGTGATTCCAGGACAGAATAGATCCCCAGTACTCCATGCTTGTCTCCCCAGGGTGATTCCAGTGTAGAATAGAATGAAACTCACTATCATCATGTATTCTGTACATTGTTATTCCTAAGGGCTCGTAACCATCTAGCCTGGAATGTACGTGGGCTGAATGTACACACCAGATCTGTGAATCAAATCCTAACGAGATATTATAGCGGTATTAGCGATTCAGAAACATTGGCTTTACAAAACTACATCGTTTTGATGTATTGTCATCATTTAAGCTAGTTTATTATAAATGTAAAAAATTTAATATGAACTACATAATAGGATCTGGTGGAATTGCTGTTCCAGCCAATACGCACACAAAATGGAAAACACACCAGCTTAATATCAAAAGTCATTTGTTTGTTGGTTTTGTTGTAGAATATTCCTGTTTTGTCACGACTTGTGTATTGTCAAGCCGCCCTTCTTCGACTAATGTAGGGATGGTGGGTAGCCTGGTGGTTAAAGTGTTCGCTCGTTACGCCGAAGACTCGGGTTCGATTCCCCACATGCGTACAATTTGTGAAGTCCATTTTTGGTGTCCCCGCCGTGATATTACTGGAACATTGCTAAAAGCGGGGTAAAACAAAACTCACTCACTCAACTAATGTACTTCACGCTGTTTACGTCGAAGCCCAGTCGTCTAAGACACCGCGATTCGCTGTGCAGAGTTGCGTCCCTTGGGCACGCCAGAAACCTATAATTGTGGGTTCGAATCCTGGTTCGCCCCGATTATGTTTCTAGGTTTGTCAGCACCATACCCGTGCTCGTGGGTTTCACCGACGTGGTAAACGTCTGAGACCTGCATCACTTCGGGCTTTCCTCCCACAATAAGCTGACACTACGTGATATAACTGGAATACTGTTAAAAGCGGCGTTAAACACAACTCACTCACTCTTATCGGCATTCACATGCAACCTGATAGAATTTTTAATCCTATTTTCATTTCATTTTCTATTGTTTTCATTCTAGGTTAATGTTTTAAAAAAATCAACTTAGGTACTAACTGGTTTTTTGTTTGTTTGTTAATGTATACCTAAAACGGATGTCTTAGCTGGAACTGTATTTTACGCTTAACACCGTTTCAGTGTAGCACTTTCCAATATTTGTCGAGTTCTAAGCATTTGTGGCCAACCTTTTCAATGCTGTAAAAAGCAAAGGCATTAAGTGAGACATACGCTAAAACGTGAGTTCCATCTAAAGCTAAAACAAAATAATTTGGTAGTGATGGCAGATGACTGTCCTGGGTTTTCTTTCAAGGACAGACACTTGCTTTGTTTTTTGTATCAAAACGTGAAGGTGTTTTACTTGTCTGGAGTCTAACAATTGTTTTCATAATTCAGTATCCTAATAACAGTGATTCATGCTTGTACTTCTCTTTTAGAGTGACACCTCTAAAACGACAGTTGAACAAATTCGGCAGTGGCTATATCTAAAGGCACGACAGCTTAATCGTATAATGGACTCTGCGTTCAGAAGATATTTCTTATGATTATGGAAATGGTTGCTATGGCTTTTGTTGACGTTCCACTGAGAGAGACAGACAGTTTTGTTACATTCCTCAAGAAAAACAGACAAGTTTGACACGTTGCCCTAAAACGAAGTCCTTCTTTCTTTTAAGGAGCTTTAGCTTACATTTATTCCCATCCTCGATTATCCAGAGACTTTTGTCTCTATTCTGTTTTGATGGGGGATGTAATAAACTGGTTAATGGACGAGCAAGGTTTATTACAGGAGTACTATGGAACACCGATGGGGACATAGAAGGAAGCCCGCAGGCCGTGAAGTTGCTGCAGACACTGGTATGATTGTGTCACACATGGTCCTTTATTTCAACGTGAATCAATATTTCTTGCACGACGAATATAGCTTCATCGTTGTATCAATACTGTGCTACACCTATCCGGTACTTTAATAGCTACGTCAGTAGATTATTAAGAGTAGTTCTTTACAATAGTTATTCGTTACGTCTGTGATTCGTTACATCGGTAGTTTGCATCGAGTAGCTCTTCACATAAGTAATTCATTACGTCTGTGATTCGTTACATCAATAGTTTGTATCGAGTAGCTATGCACATGAGTAACTCGTTAGTCTGTGATTCGTTACATCGGCAGTCAGTTTCGAGTAGCTCTTTTAAAAAAGTTATTTCTTTACATAAGTAATCCTTTACATCAGTGGTTCGTTACATCAGTAGTTTGTATCGAGTAGCTGTTAACATAAGTAACTCTCGTCAGTGGTTCGTTACATCAGTAGTTTGTATCGAGTAGCTGTTAACATAAGTAACTCTCGTTAGTGGTTCGTTATATCAGTAGTTTGTATCGAGGAGCTGTTAACATAAGTAACTCTCGTCAGTGGTTCGTTACATCAGTAGTTTGTGTCGAGTAGCTGTTTACATATGTAACTCTTTACGTCAGTGGTTCGATACATCAGTAGTTTGTATCGAGTAGCTGTTTACATAAGTAACTCTTTACGTCAGTGGTTCGATACATTAGTAGTTTGTGTCGAGTAGCTGTTTACATAAGTAACTCTTAACGTCAGTGGTTCGTTACATCAGTAGTTTGTGTCGAGTAGCTGTTTACATAAGTAACTCTTTACGACAGTGGCTCGTTACATCAGTAGTTTGTATCGAGTAGCTGTTTACATTAGTAACTCCTTACGTCAGTGGTTCGTTACATCAGTAGTTTGTATCGAGTAGCTGTTTACATAAGTAACTCTCGTTAGTGGTTCGTTACATCAGTAGTTTGTATCGAGTAGCTGTTTACATAAGTAACTCTTTACGTCAGTGGTTCGTTACATCAGTAGTTTGTATCGAGTAGCTGTTTACATAAGTAACTCTTTACGTCAGTGGTTCGTTACATCAGTAGTTTGTATCGAGTAGCTGTTTACATAAGTAACTCTCGTAAGTGGTTCGTTATATCAGTAGTTTGTATCGAGTAGCTGTTTACATAAGTAACTCTTTACGTCAGTGGTTCGTTACATCAGTAGTTTGTATCGAGTAGCTGTTTACATAAGTAACTCTTAACGTCAGTGGTTCGTTACATCAGTAGTTTGTATCGAGTAGCTGTTTACATAAGTAACTCTCGTCAGTGGTTCGTTACATCAGTAGTTTGTATCGAGTAGCTGTTTACATAAGTAACTCTCGTCAGTGGTTCGTTACACCAGTTACGTGGAGTTCTATATGTCAGCCATAGGTGACGTCAGTGGTTGGTTACGCATCGTGTCGAATAATGCATTACGTCAACATACTATTTTTCAACGTTTGACACTCTTTAACAACTTGTTGAAACTCCGCAATTCGCTGTGCAAAATTTTGTCACTTAGCCTTGTACGGATCCGCTGTTTTGGGTTCGAATCCCAGATTCGCCCGATTATGATCCTTGATTTGTCTGCACCACGTTCTTTAAGGTGGTGCACATCTTCTATCAGCGTCACTCTCTAGGCCAACGACTAATCTTAAACGAAACCCGCTCCTACTGATACATTTGGGTGGCACAACATCCTTTAAAACTTCGTGATACATCTTGCAAAAGCGGACATGTCCTTTGCGTTGATTGGCTGAAACATCCATGAATAAGTGACGTTAAGAGCAATTTCTTCCAAGACAAACATTTGAATTTTTACATGAACTCATTTTGATAATATTCTCAATTTTGTAACATAATTTTCAATATTTTGGTCCTAGAAAGGTGTGATCTACATGTCCAACTGCAGCTGTTACACCAGAGAGGAATTCGTCAGTCTGTTCGCAGAACGCGGCTACCATGCCAGATCAGTAAGTGTTGTTTTACGATGCTTATAGAAAAAATAGATTAAATACTTTTATGGACCACAGAAATTACATGTTTTACGGTTATCTCACATTTTACTTGAACGTTCCTTGCCATTTTTTAGGTATTATGACCTATTTGGGTAATGACCTCGGGCCCGTGAAGATCCGGGGTAGAATAGGTCTTCAGCAACCCATGCTTGCCGTAAAAGGCGACTATGCTTGTCGTAAAAGGCGACTAACGGGATTGGTTGGTCAAGCTCGCTGACTTGGTTGATGCATGTCATCGTATCCTAATTGTGTGGATCGATGCTTATGATGTCAGACTCGATTATTTACAGACCGCCGTCATATGACTGGAATCTTGCTGAGTGTTGAGTAAAACAACAAACACAATTAAACAGGGACTGAATTGCCGTGTAGGCATCAAACCACAGTAGATCATGATGTGCTCTATGACCTTCTTAATCCGGACCCTGTTAGTTCCAACCACCCAACGGTAACAACTGTGGAACAGCTCATTCTTTACTTAATGTTGATTCGATGTACATGGGTACACTATGCGAAGTCACTGTCCCGATGTTTGAATTAATATAGAAATCGCTCTCTCGGATCCACTGGGTTTATTCCGTGTCCTATATATAACACCATATAAAATTGAGGTGAGCAATGTGTGGATTTAATTTTGAGATTTTCGTAGTAATTCTTTCCGTGACACTTTGTTGTATCTAACAGTAAACATATTTTGAATTCAAAAATTGTTATACCCTCCCTCATTTCGTTTTCACAGTTGCCAAAGTGGATCTACCTATTATGGTTTGGTTGGTTGTTTTGTTGTTTAACGCCGCATTCAGCAATATTCCAGCTATATGACGGCGGTCCGTAAGTAATCGAGTCTGTACCAGACAATCCAGTGATTGTGATCATTAGCATCGATCTATGCTATTGGGATCGATGACATGCATCGACCAAGTCAGCGAGCCTGACCACCCGATCCCGTTAGTTGCCTGTTACGACAAGCATAGTCGTCTTTTACGGCAAGCATGGGTTGCTGAAGACCTATTCTACCCCGGATCTTCACGGGTCCTCCCTATTATGAGCTGGGCACACGCATCGCTTAAAACTGGAAATGGTCCCAGACCATCATGATGGCTCCAAACCTACCGTAAATGCCATGAGAAAGCTATAATTATTAATAACGACAAATAATAATATGCAAGTTTGTCACACGTGTATTTCCGATAGAGGTATTCATGTTGCCGTGATAACCACCGCCGATGTTGTTACCATTGCTTCCGTAGTTGCTACCATAACAGTATGTATTAACATGCACAAACATTTACTTTCTTTCAGGAAGAAATCTACTGCACAGCATATACAGTAGCAAGCTATTTGAAGGAAAAACGATTCCAAGACAAAGTATATGTTATGGGAACACCATCCATTGGAAAAGAACTTGACAAGTTTGGCATTAAACATATTGGTATCGGAGTAGGTGTATTTTCTAAAACATGTATTGAAGATGATTATGTTAAATATTGAGAGTTGCGTCCCTTAGCCCTGTCAGGATCTTCTTGTCGTGGATCCCGTTAAGGTATTCACCTCGGGGAGTATGCTTGGCTTGCCAGTTACGAGGTACACACTATCTAGACGTAAAGGGTGGACCAAAACCATAATCGGGCTTACCTGGGATTCGAACCCACGACCAACTGATCCTGACATAGATTCCATTTGCAAGTTAGAATGTCTACGTGTCTTCCAGTGTGAACCGAGAGCCAGTCTCCAGCTATGTAACATTATTAAAAGGTACGTATGCTAATGCTTATCCAAAGTTGACGCTCGTTTCGCCGAGATATTAAAGCGGACGTAAAATCCCTGTGTTTGTGCTAAAGCATCGCGTTCCTCAATGATTGTTTCTACACGATTTGAGGTGCGGAACAGTTGAGGAAGTGAATCTTTCTAATCTTTTTTTAAAGTATTCATTGCTCAGATCATACCTAAAGAAATAAAAAACTAAATATATATACCAAGGATACACGTGAACTGGTTGTTAGCTCACCAGGACCGATGGTCCAAATGAACTAATAGTATTAAATGCGCGTCAATCCGCCTATCCTCACTTGAGTGAGTGAGTATGTGGTTTAACGCCGCTTAAAGCAATATTTCAGCAATATCACGGCGGCGGACACCAGAAATTGGCTTCACATATTGTATCCAATGTGGGGAATCGAACCCGGGCCTTCGACGTGACGAACATTTTAACCCTCTAGGCTACCTCACCGCCCCGTTCTCACTTGGAATAAATATGGTGAGCATCAGTACTTTTGGTACATACTTATCAGCTTAAAAGCGCAGACAGTATTACGTTTGAATTATCAGTTAAATTGACAACAAGCGCCATACCTTCCAGCAACATTCTCAGTGGTGCTAACCTCTGATGTGGTAGTAGTTGTGGACTGCTGTTTCAGGTTCAGGACGACGTTGTCGGTGCTACATGTAGTCAAAGTGGCGTGCCTCATGTCCCGATGGACCCCGAGGTGAGAGTCATTGGTGTAGTGGTAAAGAACACCGGGTGGTAGTGATGTGGTAAACGTGTGGGTGGTGCATGGTAGTGATGTGGTACACGTGTGGGTGATGCATGGTAGTGATGTGGTACACTTGTGGATGGTGCATGGTAGTGATGTGGTACACGTGTGGGTGATGCATGGTAGTGATGTGGTACACTTGTGCATGGTAGTGATGTGGTAAACGTGTGGGTGATGCATGGTAGTGATGTGGTACACTTGTGCATGGTAGTGATGTGGTACACTTGTGGGTGGTGCATGGTAGTGATGTGGTACACGTGTGGATGGTGCATGGTAGTGATGTGGTACACGTGTGGATGATGCATGGTAGTGATGTGGTACACGTGTGGATGATGCATGGTAGTGATGTGGAACACGTGTGGATGATGCATGGTGGTGATGTGGTACACGTGTAGATGGTGTATGGTAGTGATGTTGTACACGTGGGTTGTGCATGGTAGTCATGTGGTACACGTGTAGATGGTGTATGGTAGTCATGTGGTACACGTGTAGATGGTGTATGGTAGTGATGTTGTACACGTGGGTTGTGCATGGTAGTCATGTGGTACACGTGTAGATGGTGTATGGTAGTGATGTGGTACACGTTGATTGTGCATGGTAGTCATGTGGTACAAGCTAATCTGGCGGCCACGACTAGGTTCATGAGAGCTACCGTTATCGTGAAGGCTGTAGTCTTCGTAATCCTGTTGATTTATATGTTGTGTGGTATATATGCTATGCAGCAACACCGGTACTTGTACACTGTTCTTGTCATAAGAAGTATTACGGTTATACATTTAGCAGCAGGTTCGGGGTCAGTGTCACGGTTTAATCAGTATCCTCTGCAGGTCAACTGCGTCATCGTGGGCTACGACAACTACTTCAATATCTCCAAGCTACAGCTGGCAGTGAACTACATAGCTCGAGGGGCCATAGCAATTGCAACTAACGAAGACGTACATTATCCAACCCGAAATGATTTAATTACAGTAGGTGAGCCTCTTGAAAATACTCATCCGCCTTGTCCATCTGTTTTAACAACGTCTACCGTGAACACAAAACACATCATTTTGTGGCCCTGGACCGCGTTCCGCAGAGCGATCGAAGCTATATATATATATATATATATATATATATATATATATATATATATATATATATATATATATATATATTCCCGGCAGGTGATCTTTCCACAAGGGAAGTGAATGTTTTCCTTTGTCAGAGGAAAATTTGCAGATATCGTTTCAGTGTAGCATTTTCCTATATTTCTCGAGTTCTTTGAATGTATTCCCCCAAAAATGTCAATACTATTAAACAAAAGGTATTAGAGAGACACACGCAAAACACATGACTTCCTTCTTGAGCTTAAATGTAAATTATTTGGAGGTGATGACAGCCGACCTTTTTGACAGATGACGCTAGGGTAAGTTTGTTTGTGTGTTTATTGTTTAACGCCACACTCAGCAATATTCCAGCTATATGACGGCGTTGTGTAAATAATCGAGTCTGGATCTGACAATCCAGTGATTGACATCATGAGCAATTGGGATACGAAGACATGCATCAACCAAGTCAGCGAGCCTGACCACCCGATCCCGTTATTCGCCTCTTACGACAAGCATAGTCGCCTTTGACGGCAAGCATGGGTTGCTGAAGACCTATTCTACCCCGGATCATCGGGTTGGTTTGGTAAGTGTAGACAGAGCATAGTAAACATGCTAAGATCGCTTTGTGGAACTATCAATGGCGCCTTGGGCCCTGTTGTACACATTTGTCTTCCCGATTGGGACAAACACTAGCTGTCAAAGAGCAGGGGCTTATGGTCACAAATAACTTGTACTTGCACTATTAAAACCAGATTGACGGAATGGTATGACTCAGTTCAAACCTGATTTAACATAAATGTGTTTCAATTTCAAATTATGCATTGTTAAAATGTTTACATACTCTGAACATCGGGACGAGATTTGCGGAGTGGAAGATTTGTGAAAGCGGGCTTTGATTCCAGGACGGCGAGACCCCGGTCTATGCAGAATTCGTCTGGACTTCGGCCTGATAAGCAATAATTCTAACAACGAAGGGGGCTAATTTAAATGTTTACAGTTGTAGATTGCGACACCTGAACAGTTCAAGAACGAAGGGGGCTAATTCTAACGATTTAAGTTGCAAATAGTCCAACAACGGAGGCCTGTCAGTTGCGACAATTGAACATTCTGACAATGAAATAAACATTCTAATGAGACAGTTGTTCAGTTGCGACAAGTGAACATTCTGACAATGAAATAGACTATTTTAATGATTTAATTTGTATCTTAGTCAATATAAAACTAAATCAAAGAACCGCCCTGCTTGGAGTTATTCATTATTTTGACACCTTCTGATACGTTCCTCCTTTTGACTTGTTTTTCAGTACATTTTTTTAAATGATCGAAAAATACTTTTTGTTTGTAAATTTGTGTTCCAAAATTGTAAATGTTTGTAATTGAGTATGGGAAATACAATTTTTATTTGAATCATTCATTAAAAAAGAGTAACATTAATATTTCAGATGCTGGTGTTTTGGTGGCAGCCTTGAAGGAAGCAGCTGGGAAGACTCCAATAAACGTTGGCAAACCCAACAAAGTCATTTTGGAACAAATTAGGAAAGACATAAACCAACTTGATCCAAGCAGATGCTGCGTTGTCGGAGACAGGTACGAGATAAACCTAGCGAGTAGGGGAGAAGACAACCCATGTTAAAGGCGGGCTCTGCTTCATGTTGTGCTTTAACGAAGATAGGTGCATATGTTCTACCGCCCAATAAATGAAAACGAAGCCATTCCGGCGATAAGGGATATTACTTACAGAAATGACAAAAAAGATTGCTTTTCAAGAAATATCCATTTTGCTGGATATAAACATCATCGTCGGCATTAGTCTATTTTTCGCAGCGTGTGCAGCGTACGTTTATTCCCAGCCTGAGCTGCAAGAAAAAAAAACCTGATAGAATTTAATACGGAAGCCTTTTAGGGCCATGTGTGTTTTTTAATTTTTCTTTGAAATTTAAGATACTATGTTGAAATTTCAAGATAATGATCTTGAAATTTCAAGATAATAAGTTGAAATTTTAAGTGAGTGAGTGAGTGAGTGAGTGAGTTGGGTTTAACGCCGCTTTTAACAGTATTCCAGTTATATCATGGCGTGTCAGTTTAATGTGGGAGGATATAAAGCCCGAAGTGATGCAAGTCTCAGACGTTTACCACTTCGGTGAAACCCACGAGCACGGGTATGGTGCTGACAAACCTAGAAACATAATCGGGGCGAACCGGGATTCGAACCCACAATCATAGGTTTCTGGCTTGCCCGAGGGACGCAACTCTTCACAGCGAATCGCGACGCCTTAGACGACTAGTCCACCCGTGCCCCCTGAAATTTTAAGATAATAAATTGAAAATTCAAGTTACATGTAATAATTTGAAATTTCAATTTCAAAATACTAAATTGAAAATAAGATGATAAGCTGAAATTTCAAATTATTACATGTATCTTGAAATTTTTAATTCATTATCTTAAAATTTTAAATTATTATCTTAAAAGTACAACTTAGAATCTTGAAAATTCAAGAAAAGAACCCAAAACAAACTAACGGCCCGAAAAGGCTTCCGTAATTTAAAGCGCTACTGACCAAGTCCGAGATGCACATACTACATACAGGATGGCCAGAATGGAGATATAATACACTGGATAATCGAGGATGGGTCAAGAGTTGATATCAATTAAATAATGATTCTGTTAAACGTTAAATAAAGATTCTGTTAAACGTTAAATAAGGATTCTGTTGAACGTTAAAAAAGGATTCTATTGAACGTGAAATAAAGATTCTGTTGAACGTTAAAAAGGGATTCTGTTGAACGTTAAATAATGATTATGTTGAACGTAAAATAAAGAATCTATTGATCGTGAAATAAGGATTCTGTTGAACATTTCAGCCTTTCAACAGACATAGCCCTCGCCACGACATGCGGCATGAGATCCATCCTTGTCCTCACTGGACATGCCACTCAGAAGGACGTTGACGGCATCAACTGCGGCGAAGGCGACGGTGTTGTGCCCGACTACTACACTGACAAACTCGGTGACATCGTTACCTTTCTGCATCAATAGGAGGAGTCGTCATGGTGACGCCTTTAGCACCTAGCTATAATGTACAACCATCTAAATTATATTACGTATAATAAAAGACGTCAGATTATCCATCTTGTGTGGAAACAATGAGTGGCCTGGTGGTGTAGCGTTCACTTTTCACGCCGAGTTTAAATCCTACCTTTGGTTAAGGGACTGACCATTTCAAATTCTTGGATTTTATCGAAAAATATGGATTGTCCCAGAAAATGCTTGAAAAAATATATACGCTTCAGACTGAATTTTTGTTGTTGTTGTTGTTGTTGTTGCAATATGTTTTGAAAACAATGATTTAGGCTAATAGTTTTAATTAAAAATATATGAATGGATCTCTGATCTTTAAAAAGATCTATCATAGTAACTTGAAAATTCACGTGCAATCTTGATAATTCGACTCATTGTAGTATCTTGAAAATTCAACCTATTACCGTTTAAAATATAATAGCTACGCGATAAATCTTAAAGAACAATAAAGTACGAAGCGTGGGTTATTTCACGATAATGTTCTACCATTACGTCACTTCTGGAGATTCAAACATGCGCACGCAACTTGATGACGTCGTAAATTGGAAGACGTTATTTTTTAGAGGAAGGTGTCCAGTGGGTTGTTCCCCATTGATGTAGCTGAGAAACGTAGATAAACGCAATGGCGAATAATCGCATTTCAAAGGGGGAGAGATATATTAATCGGTATTGGTAGAAAAGGTACAGATAATCGAAGTGAACATTGTGAGAATCATTATTTATATACTGGTAAATATTTTTACATCCCATATATTTTAATAACACCCTAAAAGAGGTACACAATTTTAATGTCTCATATAAGAAATACGGACGGCATACAACACACTGATAGGAGAAAAAAACCCACAAAATTGTTACGACTAACACCCGAACAACGCGAGCGGGTCCTGGGTATGATACAGATGGGAGCCACTCATACCGATATTGCTGGAACCTTTGGCTGCTCCCGTGTTGCTGTAACTGACCTGATACAACGTTGCAGACATACCGGGCATACATAAGACAAGCCAAGAACAGACAGACCATGGGTAACTACGCCCAATGAAGACCGGTACTTGCGTACTTTGCATCTCCCTAATCGATTCCTGCGCAACATCATCACCAGAGACTGAGATGTGCCCGGACTGTACGTCGTTGACAGCAACGTGACTGGCAGGGTGTCGTCTTAACTGATGAAAGCCGGTTCTGTCTGTTCATAGCTGATAGAAGACAGCGTGTTTACCGCAGAAGGTCAGAACGAACGGCGGCATGTTGCGTTAAGGACGTCGTGCCGTATGGTGGAGGGGGTGTTATGGTGAGGGGGTGAATTTGTAGGCAGGAGAGAACACCGCTAGTCATCGTTAACGGAAACTTGACAGCTCAGCGTTACCTGGATGACATTCTTCGTCTGTTGTCCTTCCATTTCTACAACAGCTGCCTATGGGTGGCCTTAACCAGCATGACAACGCCAGACCCCAAACAGCACGAATCGTACGGCAATGCGCCTTTTAGAAAAAAAACTATTTGGCTCACAGTTTTAATAAAAACAATATATCTGATTTTGCAGCTGTAGCTGAAAAGAATATCTGATGTCAACACGAAAACATAGCTCTGCCACACAAATACAACCCCCCCAATTTTTTTATTGTTATTGTTATTGTTTTAGAAATGACAGCTCGGCATTTTTCTTGATGTATTCATGACCCATGTATATTCAATAATAAACGGTCTAGTACCAAAGTTTGCGATCATGACAACCAACATTGCTAGGAACCGGTCGGTTTTTCAAGAAAAATGGGAAAATTTTAGTTTTCATGTGGTGTGTGACTGTATTTGTGAAGGCAAGAATGGCGCTCTTGTGCTAACTGCAATATTGCGTTATACTTCCGTGGAGCACCAGGTAACTTGTTATGGAGGGTTCTTTCCCTAAGCTCCATTACAGCGCGTGTTACCATTTGCGTCATCACTATCGATGCGAGGAGCAGGGTTCAGCCAATCAAAATGCCCGTCTTCAGTGACGCGCCCTAGCGACGGCTATTATCCCGGAGGAGTCTGAAAGGAAAGGATTAGGAGTCGCAAAGCGCGCAAAAATCAAACATGGACAAGGCCGATCGAGATATGGAACTGCCTAAATCCTGCCAAGCGTCGACAGAAGCATCGCTTCAAAGATTTACACGTGGACAAAGGTAAATATTTACATGGAAGTAATTTTAAATGAAATGAACTAAACCTTGACCTCTGATCTTGACTTGCTGCTCTCTGAATCGGAAGTGTCGCTTTTGAGTTGAGATATGGCAGCTCTATTACTCTGCAAGTAGGATGTGTACTTTTATAGAGGTGTATAGATACTATAGTATCTAGTAGCAGAGCCTACATAGAATATGTTTGCCTCCATTTCAATTCAAGGATCCAAGTGCTTTTTAGGATTAGATTTGGAAGGATAACTCTGATACTTGGGTCGGGTGGGTACTGAGTACGACCCTGGTACCCACAGGGCTACCCGGACCCGTGGTTAGTCGCGTGATATATTGTTTAATGACAAAAATATCTGGAACTGCATGGTTACACTACAAGCTACTAATGTTGGCATTCCTTCTGACTGTCATATGTTTGAATAAAGATGAGGCTTCAGTCAACTTCAGTATGCATGACCAGATGGTTCTATATACATGTATCTAAATACAGTTTGCAAGGGCTATAGTCATACTAGTCCCAATCTGACATTTTGTAGGCCTAACCATCTCTTAAGATTTACAACGGGTACCTGGGCAGGGTAGGGTAATAGGGGGTTGTGCGCGAGGGTAGTATTTGGCCTGGCCTCAGCCCTGTTTAGGATAAAGTTGGTGGAACCTATCATATCATTATTTTAGGCTGACAAGACTATCTACAACCTCTACAAGCTGAGGGCCAGAGATGACCCTAAAGGGGTAGATGAGGCATCTGCGAATTTTGAGATACTGAAAACCTTTTCTTGAAATATATCCAGTTGGAGTTCATAGCAGTAGGCTATGATATCTCAACTGACTTAAAACCTCCCTGATTCTGTGCTATGGTTGATGATATCCGACACCCTGGTAAATAATCTAAATGTACACCTGTGCTTCGTGTAGACACAGGGGGCAAGGGGGGCCTATTCGCTTTGCTGAGTTGTGCAACATGGGCCTGCAGGAAACCATGATCATGAGTTAATTTCCCATATTCGACCGATTAAATAAAATTGCTCCTTAGTTTCACCCGAGTGGTAAACGTCTCAGATCTGGGCAAGAATGGGAGCACCTTTAGAATACAGTACCACAACTAGTCAACTACTCGTGTGGATGATCTCTGCCGTAGGTCATGTGTCTCAAAGACAAGCAACCAGTTTTTGTGAGAATCCGTCAGACGTGAACTCGAGACCTTCGGATTTTCAACCAAAGAGCTAACCAACTGAGCTATGTCCACACTGTAAAAACTAAGTGCATATTTACCTAGTCATGCCTACGACGTTACGGATCTAAACGAAAAGGGTTGAATAGGTGACGGACACTTACAAAGGTTACGGGTAGGCATGGTGTCTTGTGACTTAAGTCTATGGACACTTACGAGTGATTCCGATGCCATTTGGCACACTCGTGACGTCCCATTCCGTGCTTTCGTAAACTAGGACTTTCAATAAAATGCATCGCCAAAGGCTATATTTAGTAAACAAATATTCAAAACTCTCAACATCACTGGGCGTATTCAATGACATTGCGTGTAGAGATGATTGATCCCTGGGAGGAGCTCATGCACACTCGATGACTCCTGACGTCACAGGGCATTGTTTGTGCTGGTGTGACTGGCAACAAAATACTACAAATTATGTCAAAGGGTATTGTCACCTGTTTGAAAAGTTTGTTGTCTGTATTCTAAAGGTGGGTCAAGAATGCATTAAACCGGACACCTTCCGCAATTTTGATAAGTGAAGCTGACAAGCTCATTCCTTAGTAACAGTTTCTAAGTTTTTCAGACGCCATATTTGTCGCCTCGCTAAAATATTGGCGTTTGGGGGCTTGTCCCCCACTCAACAACTTGAATAAAATGCTTTCCTTAGTAAATGTAGTGTTTAATTACTAAAGTAGATATAAAATATAACATGTTCACTGAAATGTGTCTCCGACGGATGTCAATGTATGTATTTATTACCATGATTACACAAGGAACATAAGCTTAATTGAGAAATCAGTCTGATAAATTTTTAAGTCATTTGTGGTAAGCACCATCTAATTTTAAGTCAATGTCATGAGTTAGTGCGTTGAATGAAGTAAAGAGACAGTGTTCCTATTAAGGCTGCAATGAATACACTGTGAGGCGAATACGATTCATATCACGAATATAGGGTAATGAATGTGAATATTAATTCACAAATACAATAAAAAGTCAGCAGTTGATTCATTATTATTATAGTCAGTGAAACAATAACAACATAAATCATTTGACATGGTTTGTTAATTATTAATATATTATACTTTTATATACTGCACTTATCCAGGTACTCGTATCTGCTCAAATGCGACAATGACTAGCGAATTCAATTCATGAATGGTTACGGTTCGATTCACCGATTACGTGAGTGAATCGTAACAGCCCTAGTTCCTATTGTGTTGACTTCAAGTTACATGAGCAACCCCTGTACTGGAAATCTGGAAATTAATGTGTCTCCAAATAGATATGACTGCTGACCCCTAGCCAAAAATGTGACTTAAAGTCAATGTCATTTTGGAGACATAAATGAGAAGTTAATAAATGCGAGCAAAAAACACTCGCATTTTTCGCATTTAGTTCACGCTCTCATTAATTTCAAGATTTACAGTATATGTATAAAGCGAAAATATGGAAAGACTGGGTCTAACTGTTTCTCACAGAAACTCTTAAAGGTCTCACGCTGTCGTAGTACTCCTCTGTGACCTGTCCACCTTGGACATGTTATGATACTGGCAGCTTTCTCTGGAGTCGATGCCTTCGCTGGATCAGGCCGACCAGGCACAGAAGGGAGCCTCCTGGTGACCATGATGTACTTCAACATGACTGAATACTAGTACTATTTAGTCACGTTATTTATACCCAAAAATTGGAGACAAAAGATTTAACTTGAGTTGGTTCAATTATTGTATTTCCTGTGAACTTTCTTAATACCAGTTAACAAGAATAAACACAAAAACTATATGTTGTTCTTAGGAAAACACTATGTATTGTAGCAGAAGTACTCTACTCAGCGCTAATAAGCAGTGCTATTTGGTGTGTGATTGGATTAAGGTCAGGTTGGATTAAGGTGAGGATTCTCCTGTATACCTGACAGAAGACATTTTCTTTACCGGTACATATAGATCCACTGATGAGAGGGGAGGTGTTGCATTCATATTGAGTCGCATTTTTGGCTAGGGGTCAGTGGTCGCATTCTTTTGGAGACGCATTAATTTCATGATTTACAGTAAAGGGCCAAATTCTGAGATTCATTAAAAATAAAACTACCATCTCAATACATAGGTTTTTTTTCTGTTCTGGTCAAATTAGCGTCCAAGGTTTGGTAGGTGGGGACTTGTCAAGTCGAGGACTAGTCAAGTGAACGATCACAGGAACACAAATAGCCATGAGCATGATGAGGGACCTTACGATTAGTAGTGTCCATGAACATAGTTTTCTGTTCCCCCTGACAAGTTTTCTGTTCCCCCTGACAAACTGAGACACAAGACAAGCTCCGATTGGCTGACTCACCTTACTTACAGATTGTGCATCTGTTTTTCGGAATTAGAACTATTCTTCTCTATAGTATTAACTTCTAAATGTTACCTTCAAATCAGTTGTTTTTCCTATATTTTCAGTTCAATGGTTAATCTCCTTAACCTTCTTAAGGACCATGCAAAAATGGAGAAGAAAGTTGGCCAAATCTACGATGAGTTCGTAGTAAAGTGGAAGGATAGAGCCCTAACCAAGATTGGTAAGTGTTTGCTTTGTGTAGACCTTACTTATCACTCATATCGAGATATATACTGACGATGTGACCTCAGTTATAGTCTGGAAGGTAATTTAAGGTACCGACGTTTACTACAATATCTGAAAAACTATTGGACCTACTCCAGTCAAAGTTGGTATGAGATTGTTAAACAGTCATACATAACTGGATATTACATTTAAGACAATCGGTGCATGAATAAAAAATCTGTCTATTTAGCTATCACTATATTTTATCAACAACCAGACCTGTTCGTCACGGGTGGAACGAACATTCATTGAAACAGGCATCTGCATAATGCTACCCCTGCATCACAGGGCCATATGACACAGTTGAACAAATCAACTCAACTCGAAAGGTTGCACGGGAATCATGCACGTTGAGACGCCCAACGCTAACACCGTAATAGTGCGTGCGTGATTCCCGTGCAACCTTTCGATTTGAGTTGATTGGTTCAACTGTGTCATACTTATAATAAGAGTTTTGCTGAATCTGGTTGTGTACATGCAGGTAGCAACTTGGCTTATGACGAAGTCAATGCTCTCATGAAAATCTGGATGGCCACTTACAAGGAAAAGCATGATCTGCATAACAAATTATTAAACTCCATGTATGGCCAAGATGGTCCCCTCAGGAGCCTTCAGAAGTAAGTATCATTTTAAATATATACATCTTCCCGAGACAAGGGACTTAACTGACTATAAAAGTCCAGTTCCACCCTTGCTACTAGGCTGCAATTATGGAGTTACGTTTTGACTGGACTAACGAGTCTATGCATAGTTCAATCAAAATCACGCTACGAACTAGACATCTAGTTCATAAACAACATGGATTTCAACGTGCAGATTTCGGTCGACTGCAGGATCTACAAAGCATGTGTACCACCAACTTGATGTTGACAGATATTGTGCATATTCTTTCATGCTTTTAATCAAGTAGCTCACATAATTTGATACACTTCGCAGGGTAAGACTAAGAGCCGTTTCATTACAATATAGATGTTGATTATCGAGCAGATTGTCTTGATCGGGCGCCGCCATTTTGTTTGAAGCAAATGCAAGTGCTAAGAGAGATGGAATCTGATTGGTCAGTAGGAGGAACATAGAAGGGACATAACTCGTAATAGCCACTGGTGGCGCTACGATCAAGCCTGGAAATTCCAGTCTAGTTCAGCAAGGGTGGAAACAGGACTTTTATAGTCAGTTAACTCCTTTGCCTCGGGAAGATGAAATACATAGAGCAAAAACTAAAATAACATGATACTGGAATATATTATTCCTGGTAAAAAAATAGTTTCAGATACAATTTCCTTTGATCATTGGATCAAAATTCTTTCAAGTTATATTTTTGGGTATTTTTTAACTGAGTCACTGGTAGATCTGGGAGAAAATGTGTTTCTGGCTTTTACGAGACAATATGGATGGTAATCTTTATCTCTGCATGTTAAACAATGCCAAGCAGAAGGAAATGGTTATTCATTTCTACTGATGTTTTATTGCAAATTTCATATTTTCATGTCATGACTGCACCTGAAGTGAGACAAAATGTATTTACTGAGCATAATGCTTGAAGAATCTGTATTTTTCTCCAAAATACTGCATCCCTTAGATACGGTTGCACATTATGCTGCGGTGTGCACTATAGTAAAGAAATACTGTCTCATTATAAATAAGCTGTAGGATAGATGTTGAGCTTTTGGGTTGAGACTGTTTGTGTTGTGTTTGGTCCATACCTCATCGTTGTCAAGACAACTATGCTATAATCAGGGAAAACATTTGATCTTTTTCTCTCAGCAAATATAGGGGAAACTGTTCAAAAATGAAATTTAAACTAGGCTGAAGTACTAATCCTTTTACACTCTGGAGTGAGGGTTGTCTTCCCGTGTAATTTTAATGTGATATTTCTGACTGACGTGAAAATCTGTTCATATATTAAATTGGGAAAAGAAAGCCCCATGTTAAAACATGTATTTGACAAATTAACAAGTTTGGAAGAAATTCAGATGGTGAAGTGTTCATCATCCATTCATGGTCTTCATCTTTATCTTCATCACAGCTACATCGACTCAGAACATGCTACAAGGAAGGCCACTCAGCATCTCTATGAAAAGACAAGGAAGAGACAGGTTAAGCTGGAGAAGGAGATTGACCAGCTGAAAGAGGTGATTTTTTACTGGACTTTTGCAGCTAGGTGGAAACATGGATTATTGCTCCCAAGTGATTTAATCTCACAAGTCTTGATTCCTGGCGATGGACTTACTATCCCTTCCATTCACTCAGCATACTCTGAGGGGAGAGAATCACAGTGTTGAGACTGGCTTGTTACCTATATTACAAAATACCTGAACAAAGTCTAGCAATGGTAGTATAGGCCAGTTCAAGGTATTCCCTTGATCTCTGCTCAAACTTGGGTTATGAACAACAGTATTTTTCTATGTATATTATCTGCCTATTACCTATTATTTGTAGCTTATGAGTAATATTTTGAAATGACACATCAGTGCACCGGTGTATCGTGAGTTTTCATGCGACGATACGATACACTACACATGTTTTCTGTATATGTACAAGACAATACACTTGCTAAAATAAATTACACTTGTTTAATAAGCCCCCAGCATTTTTGTCAGTCAAATATTGCAAAATGTGTTGTAATTAGTGTCTCAAATTCACTAAAAATAGCCTCTATAAACATGTGTCTACAGCTAGCTTTTCCTTTTGAACCTACTCTGAAATATTTATAGTCAAGAATTTTCCGCATGTTTTTTCGTAGATCTCCATATCGCGATACATATCGTATCAAGTATCGTATCTTGACCTATGTATTGGGACCTTTCTGTATTGTTTCAGCCCTAATTTAATATGTATTTGCCACCTGGTTTGTTAACAAATCAAATTTATGGGATGTTAAAAAGTGAAAGTTCACAAAGGCATCCAATGTCTAATGTTGATGATAATGATGATGATGACGGTGAGTATATATATCAAAGTGCTAACATAACATTATTGTTATCCCAGTCTTTGGATTAGTTTGCAAGTTATCATTCTCATCCCTCTGGGAAGTGTACAAACCAACTGTCCTGTCAGGTGCTAGAAGGTTTTAACATGTTTAACACTGACATTACCATCTCATCCTACCGGGTACCCATTCTCTGCTGGGTACCATATTTCGACCAAAGTCACTTGCTGAAGAAAACACCACATGTGCTACATGTGCTTCATGTGCTTCATGTGCTTCAGTGTGGGGCAGGACCAATGTCCTGGAAACTCAGGAGTCAGGCTGCTGAACATGATCATGAAAGCATCCACATATTCTCCATGACATTGCTTCACTTTGATACGTGACCTGTGTGAGGTGATCACATGGTGATCAGTACTTCTGAGGATCAGGTGGTTGCAATGTGTGACCTAGCTCAATGTGGGTCAGCATCTATTGATGGAGTGGATCATTGTTCATGCTATTAACCCTTGGCCTCCCTGACTGACAGGTTCAGTTATTCACTGGTGGTCATGATATGACTGGAATAGGGCGTTAGCAACATTTATCCTCTACTCACTTGTAGAGTTGTTGCTGATCTGATGGTGTCTGTGAAAAGTGAAGATTCATATTTACATAGGTCTTCAGCAACCTATACTTGCCTTGAACGGCAACTTTGCTTGTTGTAAGAGGCAACTAACAGGATCGGGTTGTCAGACTCACTGACTTGGTTGATGCATGTCATGGTATCCCAATGGTGTGGATCGATGCTGATGACAATCACTGGATGACTCGATTATTAACAGACCGCCGTCATATAGCTTATATATTGCTGAGTGCAGTATTCAACAATAAACAAACAAACAAATGATGGTGTCTGTTATGAAATGTTCATTACTCAGTGTTTCCTGTGTTCACAGGACTTTTTCCTGACCAAGGACAAGATGGTTCACTTCAAGCCTCAGATGGATGCAGCCCAAATTAGCCAGGACCCTCACACCAACTTCAGGGAACTCTTGGCTCACTGGAGGAAACTGGAGGCTAACGTTGATGGGGCCAAGACGTCCTACAGACAAAAACTGCAAGAGGAAAACTCGACACGAACGACTTTCATAGAAGTAGGCACTTGTCCTGGTATTATTACAGTGCCTATATGATATTTCTACATGATCTATGTAGTTATACCAGGTAGATGGTTACATTTGCATAACATTGCCCTCATCTCAACAATGCAGGTTGAAATGGTGGAGGAATACAATCAGATTTTAGGTTGTGTTTCATTGTTATATTAACTGCTAGCAAAATGATGTTATTCCCTATTTCAGGAAATGAAAAGATTCCAGAATGATTCTGATGCTTATGAGAGGGAACGCCTTCAAAACCTGCAGAATGTGATGACTTCGATGATGCAAAGCAGTAAATCAGCAGAAACCCAGAGGTAGATATTGGCACATGGCACATTCACATTCCATTTACATTCACATTCACATTCATGTGCACGTTCATGTATACATTCACTTTCACATTTATATTCACATTCACATTTACATTCACTTTCATATTTACATTACATTCACATTTACATTCACTTTCATATTTACATTCACATTCACTTTCACATTTACATTCACTTTCATATTTACATAACATTCACATTTACATTCACTTTCACATTTACATTCACTTTCACATTCACATTTACATTCACTTTCATATTTACATTACATTCACATTTACATTCACTTTCTTATTTACATTCACATTTACATTCACATTCACATTTACATTTACATTCACTTTCATATATTTACATTCACTTTCACATTCACATTTACATTCACTTTCACATTCACATTTACATTCACTTTCACATTCACATTTACATTCACTTTCATATTTACATAACATCCACATTTACATTCACTTTCATATTTACATTACATTCGCTTTCATATTTAGATTGCATTCACATTACATTCACTTTCACAGACACATTCACATTTACGTTCATATTTACATTCACATTCATGTTCACATTCATATTTACATAAGATTCATGTTCACGTTAACATTAACGTTCATATTTACATTTACGTTCCTGTTCACATTCACATTCACCAGTTTGTTGTACTTACTAAGTTAGGGGTCACTATTGAAGGCATTTTGCAATTGCATTCTAATGTTTTGATTTCTTTCTCACAATGCAAATTTCTCGCTTACTATTGCCTAGGTTCAGATGATCGCAGTTGTAGGAACTGTAACTCTCATTGTAGTATGCTATTAAAATTTTCATGTACCGGATGGATGCTCACCCGCACTTCTTAGTAGTTTTGTTTTGATTAAAATCGAAGCGTTAAAGCATTTACTGGAAGTGTTTTTTATTTTGTTGTGCCTGTAGAAAACATAGGTAATATTATATGATATTTTGACTTGAATAAATGAAGTGTCAGTGGGCCTTGTACAACACATAACAGTTTGATCAGTTGTGTTTGACACTTATAGTACCTCTAGTTTTGATGTCAAATGTTGGGGTTACCCTGTTGAGATTCTGTTAAGATTTATGTCCTAACATACCCTGTCTATTATGAGGGTAAACTAGAATTGGATTCATTATGTCATGATATTTGAGTACATGGATGGGTCACGTCGAATCTCGTTAAAATCAGATCTAAGTTCTCGCTGCCTCTGAGCAAAGATCTGAGGACATCCCATTACGGTTCACGTTAGAACGACCTTTTGTGAACTTTGACTGACCACTGTAATGACTAAGTCGACATCAGCCAATTAGAAAGCAGCTTTCTCGAGCTTTACGGCACGCGTTTCAACCTGGCAGCTTCCATTTCAGACTACGCTTGAAAAATTGGTTGACACAGTTCACGATTAAAATTTTGAAAACTGAACAAACGAACATTCTGGAATGTCTAATATATGGTTGAGATTGTTTGGCAGTGCTTCCCACGTACTGTGCAACGACTCCTCCGTTCAAATGTTTATCCCACGGAAGCGAGGGATATACGATAATTTTGACAGAATCAGTCATACGGGCCGTAACTCTTGTTCTGAATAACCTGTGTTAACGTTTTCAAGGTTGTATGATTAGAAAACACATTCCGACTGTCACTTTCATGATCTGGTTAGTGACGCTTTGACTGGTTGGATGAAAGGTCGTTCTGACGTGACCCGTAATGGGATGTCCTCAGATCTTTGTTTAGCGATAGCTAGAACTAAGATCTGATTTTAATGAGATTGGGTTACATCCAGCATTAGCTGATCATGAGGAACATCATATTCACATGACATGGGTCACTGTTCCCACTGTCATCCACAATATTATGAAAGCATTTCTAACTCCAGGAACGAGGTACTGGTGCCATTGTTTGATGAAGGAATATCCCGTCTTGAGCAGTACAACTTACAGAAAGAAATCAACCTTTACAATGTGTTCTATCTGTATCAACATAAGTTCCCTATAGAAGAGGTGAGTAGAGCTACATGGCCGCTGTATTGTGTGGGGAAACAGTGGAAGTGTGGGGTGGGTGTTGTGTATCTGGGGAAACATGTTGAAGGATGGGGTGGGTGTTGTGTGTCTAGGGAAACATGTTGAAGGATAGGGTGGGTGTTGTGTATCTTGGGAAACATGTTGAAGGATGGGGGTGGGTGTTGTGTATCTGGGGAAACATGTTGAAGGATGGGGTGGGTGTTGTGTGTCTGGGGAAACATGTTGAAGTATGGGGGTGGGTGTTGTGTGTCTGGGGAAACATGTTGAAGGATGGGGTGGGTGTTGTGTGTCTGGGGAAACATGTTGAAGATGGGGTGGGTGTTGTGTGTCTGGGGAAACATGTTGAAGGATGGGGGTGGGTGTTGTGTGTCTGGAGAAACATGTTGAAGGATGGGGGTGGGTGTTGTGTGTCTGGGGAAACATGTTGAAGGATGGGGTGGGTGTTGTGTGTCTGGAGAAACATGTTGAAGGATGGGGGTGGGTGTTGTGTGTCTGGAGAAACATGTTGCAGGATGGGGTGGGTGTTGTGTGTCTGGAGAAACATGTTGAAGGATGGGGTGGGTGTTGTGTGTCTGGGGAAACATGTTGAAGGATGGGGTGGGTGGTTTGGGGTGAGGGATACATGCTGAAAATATGGGTGGGTGTTGTTGATTTAACCTGTGTAACCTGTCTATTTTGTATTGATACAGCTTCACCCATCTGAAGTGTCAGCCGAGAAGAAGGCAGAAGATAAGGATTCTTCTCAAAAGAAAGCTCAAGTAGATTCATCTGCTGAAACTGACATTGGGTAAGTTCCTTCTCTCACTATACTGATCATGATAATAATGATAACAAACACTAATGATCAGCAGCTAGTCATTACAAGTATTTGGCTCATCTTTGCCATGAAAGTATTGGATTGCTTCAAAAAGGATTTCTTACTATGGTAGTTATCTCAAGACTGTGTGTGTCTGATTTATATGAGCTCTCTAGACAGTGATGTGTGTGTTACGTCTGTCTATGAGTTAGGTGAGCTCTCTAGACAGTGATGTGTGTTTTACATGTGTCTGTGAGTTGTTTGAGCTCTATAGACAGTGATGTTTGTGTTACATGTGTATCGGTTATGTGAGCTCTCTAGACAGTGATGTGTGTGTTATATGTGTCTATGAGTTAGGTGAGCTCTCTAGACAATGATGTGTGTTAGCTCTCTAGACAGTGATGTGTGTGACCGCTCTAGACAGTGAAGTTTGTGTTACATGTGTCAATGAGTAAGGTGACCTCTGTAGACAGCGATGTGTGTGAGCTTTCTAGACAGGATGTGTGTGAGCTCTCCAGACAGTGATCTGTGTTACATGTGTAGATGAGTTAGGTGACCTCTGTAGACAGTGATGTGTTTGAGCTCTCTAGACAGTGATGTGTGTGAGCTTTCAAGACAGTAGGGCTGTTACGATTCGGTGAATTGAACCGTATCCATTCATGAATTGAATTTGTTATTTGTGGCCACTAGAACTGAATATTTATGAATATGCAAGCATGTACCTAAAGGGCATAAGAACATTATATGCAAAGATTTCCTCAGAGATAACACTCTTGTAATATTTAATTTGACAGTATTGTGTTCACTGGTCATTGTCGCATGTGAGCAGATTCTAGTTCCTGGATAAGTGCAGTATATTAATGTATAATATTTTAACATGATTAATAATTAACAAACCATGTCAAATAATTTATGTTGTAAATGTTTCACTGAATATAACAAATAATACTTCAGCTGCTGACTTGTTATTGTATTCGTGAATTAATATTCGTATTCATTACCCTATATTCATGATACGAATCGTATTCGCCTCATAGTGTATTTGTTGCAGCCCTACTAGACAGTGATGTGTGTGAGCTCTCTAGACAGTGATGTTTGTGTTACATGTGTCGATGAGTTAGGTGAGCTCTCTAGACAGTGATGTGTGTGAACTCTTTAGACAGTGATGTGTGTGAGCTCTCTAGACAGTGATGCGTGTGAGCTCTCTAGACAGTGATGTGTGTGAGCTCTCTAGACAGTGATGCGTGTGAGCTCTCTAGACAGTGATGTGTGTGAGCTCTCTAGACAGTGATGCGTGTGAGCTCTCTAGACAGTGATGTGTGTGAGCTCTCTAGACAGTGATGTGTGTGGGCTCTCTTGACAGTGATGTGTGTGAACTCTCTAGACAGTGGTGTGTGTGAACTCTCTAGACAGTGATGTGTGTGAGCTCTCTAGACAGTGATGTGTGTGAACTCTCTAGACAGTGATGTGTGTGAGCTCTCTTGACAGTGATGTGTGTGACCTCTCTAGACAGTGATGTGTGTGACCTCTCTAGACAGTGATGTGTGTGACCTCTCTAGACAGTGATGTGTGTGTGTTACAGGCAAGTCCTGCCAGCCAAAGACAGCACAGCCGTGTTTGTACAGACCACAGTAGATGGTGACACTGAGAAGCCAAGTGAGTTCTGCAACCTTTAGGACACAGTGAAACCTATTGACTCCAACTCCATTGACACAAAACAGTGTTTTAGATGATGTATGTTTATGTTCCTGGTATATTGGTCTTATATGCTGGCACCTGCTTGTCTCCAACTGGTTATGTTTTGTGTGGATATGCTTTTCAGGGTTTGAACTAAACTCAAAAACTTTACTAGTCCTGGGTAAATAAACAATGGGGAAATTTGTACAAGCCCGCCTGAATTCATACTAGATAATGTATCATTAACCCTTTTGGTCCTTTGGTCTAATATTCCGCATGTCTCTAACTACAGATGACTGGAAATATTTTGATGGTCCTATTAAAGGGCTTCCTGTTACCAATAATTTTATCTTACTGTGTGTCATGTCCTGGTTGTATTGTGTGTCCTGGTACCCTGATGGGAGAATACCTTGGTAGACTGACTCACAGCCATGTCCTGGTTGTATTGTGTGTCGTGGTACCCTGATGCGAGAACACCTTGGTAGACTGACTCACAGCCATGTCCTGGTTGTATTGTGTGTCGTGGTACCCTGATGGGAGAACACCTTGGTAGACTGACTCACAGCCATGTCCTGGTTGTATTGTGTGTCCTGGCACCCTGATGGGAGAACACCTTGGTAGATTGACTCACAGCCATGTCCTGGTTGTATTGTGTGTCATGGCACCCTGATGGGAGAACACCTTTTTAGACTGACTCACAGCCATGTCCTGGTTGTATTGTGTGTCCTCAGGCACCCTGATGGGAGAACACTTTTGTGTACTGACTCGGAGCCATGTCCTGGTTGTACATTCAAGCTTATGGTTGTGAATTGTTCAGAGTATTAATGGTACATATAAATACACTGCATATTCCAGGATGTTCTAAACATAAACTTAATTCCTTCAGGGAGTCATGCGTGGCTGGAATAATTCTCTGCGTAGTTGTCTCCCTTAGTCATGCTCTGATCTGCTGGTTGTTGGGTTGAATCTCAGAATTGACCCAGATTATGATCCTTGGTTTGTTGTCAGCATATCCCTGCTTAGAAAACATCTTCACCTTGCATCAGTTTGAACTTGCCTCACATTAATGTGAGACGCCGTGGTATGACTGAAATAATGTTTGTTAACCAAATTCTTCTTACAGAGGCAACAAGATATTCCCGTCATGTGGCATTGGCTTCCCCAAATCCAAAAGATGTCCGCTACCTGCCTGAAGTGGAGATTCCCAATGTTGTGACAGAGAGGAGACAGACGACAGCTCCCATCATGAAGGAGACAACCTTTGAAAATGATAAAGGCCTCTGTAAGTATTGTCGTTCTATCATGAGTGAGTATGGTTTTATGCCAGGTTTGGTAATATTCCAGAAATATCACAGCGGGGAACACCAGCAGTGGGCTTCACATGTGGGGACTGGAATCCAGGCCTATGGTGTGACGAGTAAAAGCTTGAACCACTAGGCTTCCCCACCGCCCCTGTTGAATCTTGAGTAGAATTTACACTTAAGACTAGATAGAAAATTAAGGGTCTCTGCAAGTATTGAGTTGGTAATGAAAGAGTGCTACAAACATCCTCAAAGATGTTTTACAAACACTAAAACAGCTAAACAGTCCTCAAAGTGTTTGTTTCTAGGTTGCCACCTCAATGATCTCATCCAGGTAGTTTTGTAAGAACCAACACAGTATTTCACAAGATGACAGACTCATCATGAAGTAAAATATCAGGTTTCAGATTCATATTTCCCTAATTACTAGTATTAGAATTATACAATACAACTTCATTACCTTGTAAGGAAATCAAAGTGTGATATTTTATGAGACATTAGTTTTGATGATCAAAATATGCGATAATCAAGGTGTTGAAACCAGGCAACCACAAGCCAACCACAAGGCAACTTCATGACAATTATGTTTGCCAGGCACTGGTAGGTCTGAGGTACTTTTTGATAGGTATGAGTCAGCACACCGATGACCCGTGAAGATCCGGGGGAGAATAGGTCTTCAGCAACCAATGCTGAAAGGATGACTATGCTTGTCATAAAGGGCAACTGACAGGATCGGGTGGTCAGACTCGCTGACTTGGTTGATGCATGTCATTGATTCCAATTGCATGAATCAATGCTTTTGATGTCAATCATTGGTTTGTCTGGTCCAGACTCGATTATTTACAGAAACCCGTCATATAGCTGGAATATTGCTGAGAGTGGCGTTAAACAACAAACAAACAGTACACAGACAGTCATGAGATCTCCAAGGCATTAGGAATACATATTCCCTTGACTTTGCATTTATTAGACGGCCAGTTACATGGATTAAATTGTAATGTCTCATTTCAAATAACCTTCTAGTGCTGGAAGGGACAAAATAACATTTTGTCACAAAAATTCATGTGACATTGTCTCTGTACATTTGAACAACTAAACTGAACAAAACATATGAAAACTAATGACCATATAGATATACATAATGCAGGGTATGATAAAAAAATAAGCATGGGTATTCAGAAAATGTCTTTTATAAACCTCAACCAAGACATCTGTGGCACACTTTATAAACAATACATTCTTGTCCCTAGCCTGGAATTGTAAGAAATCCTCTACAAAAGCTAACTGAAGATGTATTTTCTTGTACCGTATATGACCGCGTATAAGCCGAATTTTGAGGACCAGAAAAAAGATTCTGTAGAAAGGGGTCGGCTTATCCACGGGATACACTTTCATGATAGTATTTTTCAGATCGTGATCTGTCAGAAACATCGCCTGAATGACGGTCCGATAGATTACAACTTCCCGAAAGTTTGGAAGTTGCCACGACTAGAGCCATTATTGTTATAAATTATCAATAAAGTTGTTATTATACACCAATGTTGTCATTATTAAAAAAATGTTATGCATGTTACTACTTCCGATAATAAGTTTTCAATTGAATGTTCAAAGTTTATCGTTCTTCGTAAACTCCACAATCTTTACATGTAACAATATATGTAATTCACAGCTATAATATATAATCCCCAGATAAAATCGCCAATAGCTATTACGTACGTTTTGCAAGTTCATAAATTGATAGTGAACAAGTGTCTACCTTTATTGAAAGAGGCAAATAAACAACTGTATCGGCGAGTTATTCCGTTCGCCATTTGCAAAAACATGTGATCAGCTGTTTCCTGTGACGTCACAAACGGTGACCACTGTGATTGCTTCCTGTTGTTTAAAGCAACACGGTACACAAGGAAATGAGCATTGATAATAACGGGCCGATTGGTATTGTCAGGTTGTTTACACAAACATTTTCAAGTTGTGGGTGCTTAGCGATCGTGTTGGGAGTAGGGGCTTAATAATCTTGTTTTCGAGAGATTAGTTTAATAAACTGGAAAAGCCTGTGAGTAAGTGATGGTCATTCAATGTGTTCATAGTATGATAGTTTATTTAATTCAATTGGATTAACATACAATAGTGGTGTAAAGGGGGTTATAAAAGTTGGTATATTTTTGCTGACTGACATTTTCATCATGAGTTTTAAACGTAAACGCCATGCTTACGATGCTGAATTCAAACTGCGAGTCTTCGCTCCAGCTGATATATTTTCTCACTGGTTCATAATTCTATATACACCGACTCACAAAATGGCGCTTGGTTGTTGATGGCAACATATAACGATCATTATGAGATTAAAAAAAAACACGAGAAACAGCTTCCCACATTATGAAAGTGGATGACTGGTTTGTTAAATCTTTATTAGAAATTATAATGACTTTTTCAATATAATTACAACGTTTTTCATCTTATATTTTTGAATATCTGCGAGTACCGGCACATGTCTTTCAGTCCGACTTCGCAGTGTTTTTTGTCTTTCAATTCCTGATTCGGCTTATCTGCAGGTCATATCATTTTCTTTCGTATTTCAATGGTCAAATTAACACCTCGGCTTATCTACGGGGTCGGCTTATCCGCGGTCATATACGGTAGGTGAAATAAGTGTATTTAGGAAAGACAAGACAAGTGGGAGTTGTTAACCGTACAATAAAACACTGCAGGGGGTATAAACCATGAGGGGCCAGGGTCATTTATTTCTTATATGAGATATCAACATTACACACAGCCTCTTACTAAAAACTGTACAAACTGTTAAAACCATTTACCCGTAATGAATAATGATGACTCCCTGAATAGAACCCGACCTTGGCAATGTCGGACAAATTCATTTTATGAGGTTACATTTATGGGGTTAAGTTTGGTATTCCCAGATTATCTGACAATTTTCACGTGGATTATGTGTACCCTTTCTCCCAGTACCGATTGTCATATCTGTCCCACTTTTGAATGCAATCGTTGCATTGATCTGTGTTGCCCAGCTATATCTATGGAGAACAACTCACAACACACTCCCCTCACAACAATAACATCGTCCAATTTACGACATCATCAAGTTGCAAGCTCTTGTTTGAATCTACAGAAATGTCATGATAGAGCAGTGTTTTATTGTGCAAGAAACCACACTTTGTTCTTCTTTGTAATTTATCGCGTAGCTATCTTATATAGGCCCATATACCTACAGTTAAAACACTGGCTTGTGGTTTCACGCTTTCCGAACATTTGTGGCGAATATCTTGTATTGGAGCTGTTTTTTGATTGCAGAAATAACAGTATCTGTTTCATCCAGTGTAAGCAAAGAAACCTAATAAATAAGTGTCTGTAATTTGCATATAACAATGCAGTGTTTGATATTATGGGATTCCTGGTGTCATTGAGCTCATCTCAATCACCCTCAACATTTCACAGGCCCTAAAACATTTACTAGTCTCAGGCTAGTAGAACAGTGTTTTATTCTGTATATGACGTCAATAAACCTGAAATGAATTAATTCCTGTTTCAGCGGGTTCTGACTCTGACTCTGACTCTGATGAGGACCAGGTACAAGGGCAGCCCAAAGCCACTGATATTAGAAACATCACACAAGGCCAGAAGGTGAAGGTGTACGCTGTCAAGGCCTTCACGGCCCGCTCTGACGATGAGATCTCATTCAAAGCAGGTACAGTGATGGAATCCACTCTGCCTGTCACAGCTTATATTCAGTTTATGTTGCTCATAATACCAACCACTGGATCATGTGGCCCGGACTCATTTCTCTACAGACTGTTGTCCTTTAGCCAGAATATTGCTGGGTGTGGGGTAAACAATGAACAATCCAAAACCAAATCCTCAGCTATGATGTTTTGCCTGTTTCAGGACGTAAGATTTACGTGACGGAAGCTGCTGTTGCTGGCCGGGTCTATGGATACATCAAGAAGGGGAAGCTGATCAAGAGGAGGACATACGGCTACTTCCCCGAACAACTCGTCAGCACGGACAAGAAGTTCAAGGTCAAGCAGTCCTTCCTGAAGAAGAAGCTCTCCAAGAAGCATCCCAATGACAGTTCCAAGAACTACATCAGCTTCATGGGAAACAGCGGGTAGACAGCATGCAGATAGCTATAAGGATTTCCCCTAACGGACATGGCTATGAACTCGATATTGACTTAGAACTGTGATATACTTTTTAATATTTGTTGATTTGGTTTTTACATGGATATATTTTTTACGGTTCTTATATGAACACTGTTGTTTGATCTGTGATATTCTTTGATAGCATTTGTGATGTATATTATTGTATCATCCCGCTGGATGATAAGAGGTGATTTATTGAGAATTTTGTTACCATGTTACAAGAATATATTCAACTTTCATGATGAGCCACATGTGTGAAAGAATGTTATATACGAAGATATATGTGTCTTAATTTATTTCTCCATGGATTGTTTTAGACAGAAAGACACCTGGGTGACAGTAGTACACAAAATTGATCAACTCCATATTTAGGCTGTCTAGAGCTCTATGTGTTAGCCTATACATCATAACATCAGTAATCACTTTCAGGAACTTGGCAGTTGACTGAAGATGGGTTATATTTGATGTAAAGGGGAGCTTTACTCCATTGTGAGACACATTGGTCAGGACAATGAAAGGCCAAGTCCAGTGTCCACCAAGCCAAAGTCAGTGGTGTGGAGTTCCACATATACCAGGATGGGTTGTATTTGATGTAAAGGGGAGCTTTACTCCATTGTGACACGTTGGTCAGGACAATGAAAGGCCAAGTCCGGTGTCCACCAAGCCAAAGTCAGTGGTGTGGAGTTCCACATATACCAGGATGGGTTGTATTTGATGTAAAGGGGAGCTTTACTCCATTGTGACACATTGGTCAGGACAATGAAAGGCCAAGTCCGGTGTCCACCAAGCCAAAGTCAGTGTCTTGGAGTTCCACATATACAAGGATGGGTTGTATTTGATGTAAAGGGGAGCTTTACTCCATTGTGACACGTTGGTCAGGACAATGAAAGGCCAAGTCCGGTGTCCACCAAGCCAAAGTCAGTGTCTTGGAGTTCCACATATACAAGGATGGGTTGTATTTGATGTAAAGGGGAGCTTTACTCCATTGTGAGACACTTTGTTCAGGACAATGAAAGGCCAAGTCCGGTGTCCACCAAGCCAAAGTCAGTGTCTTGGAGTTCCACATATACAAGGATGGGTTGTATTTGATGTAAAGGGGAGCTTTACTCCATTGTGACACGTTGGTCAGGACAATGAAAGGCCAAGTCCGGTGTCCACCAAGCCAAAGTCAGTGGTGTGGAGTTCCACATATACCAGGATGGGTTGTATTTGATGTTAAGGGGAGCTTTACTCCATTGTGACATGTTGGTCAGGACAATGAAAGGCCAAGTCCGGTGTCCACCAAGCCAAAGTCACTGGTGTGGAGGAGTTCCACATATACAAGGATGGGTTGTATTTGATGTAAAGGGGAGCTTGACTCTATTATGAGACACACTGGTCGGGACAATGAAAGGCTCGGTAGTCTGGTGTCCACCAAGCCAGTGGTATGGGTGCAGTGGAACCCCACAGACAGGCAACCAGGCCATTGAGTCAGTCCCGCCAAGTAGGGAATTGCAGATTGAGACAAGCCCCTTCTTCCCCAAGTAGGGAATGGCAGATTCTTTCCATCCCAAGATGGTTCAATGAATTCTTACAGCAGTAGGATCTTCCAGCCTGTGAGATCAGAGGGAGACATCAAGTTCCTCCGTTGATTTGGCAGGGGTTGGTGTAGATTGTAGTTTGGTGTAGGAAGGGGTACGACGGACAGTATTTGTGACAGACGTTTTTTATTCTCCCTTCGACGTTATCCCCTCCCCCCCTCTTCTGAACCTGCTACGATTTACTTGAGCGATGATGATTGTTCATCGGCAGGAGCATGATGTTGACCGGAGGTCTTGCATGTTTAGAGGATCCTATTGATGTAAGAATTCCGATTGACCTGTCTTGGTGATGTGAAGTTTCTAATGTTCCCAGGAATTTTTATTCATTTCTTGCCAGATTGGGGTTTCAAATTGATAAATTGATCAATGTTTAATATTCACTTCATTGTTAACCAGAATTCTCGTATATTATGGAGACATGTGGGCTTTTTAACTGTAACTGTAGTCTTTTCCATGAAAAAGACACTTTTTGAAAACCTACACCCAGGCATTAAAAAAATCAATATACTATATAACCCTAAATATTTCGTTCTGGCCGATATGTAATATTGTATCTTACATATCCTTATTTTGCTTGTATTTATCATGCGTTTTCAAAAGATGAAAAAAAATATATAGATTGAAATTTATCTAAATATGTTTTGTTATTGATATGGTGCTTATATGTATGTATGCATATGTCAAATCGATGTGTTAATATGTGTAATATTTACTGTCTTCAGAATAGTGCAAAGCTTGGATCATATTTGGTCTCTTGGCGTGATGAGCTTTTCTCTTCGACTTGTGCTGTTTTTAATCTCTTGTTAAATGGTTGATGCATTCAGTGATGATGATGATGATGATGATGATAATGATGATGATATCATTGATATGCTTGTCAATCTGATTAAAATCATATCTTTTACTCTGGTACGATATCTCTCTGCATAAAGATTTGACAACCCCTGCATAGAATGTCGTGTCAGGTGAACTTTCCAATAAGCCTATCAGTGTCGAGGCTGCTGTAGGCTTGGTGTGAGTGAGTGAAACATTCAGACCACAAGTTTGTAAACGTCTGAGACCTGAATCACTTCGCGTTTTCCTCCCACATCAAGCTGACATGCCGGGATATGACTGGAATACTGTTCAAAGCGGCATTGATGATGATGATGATGATGAGTTAGAGGGGTTGAATAGTATGCTTGTATACAGGAAATGCTATCAATTCAGATGTTAGTTTTCATGATGATGATGAGTTAGAGGGGTTGAATAGTATGCTTGTATACAGAAAATGCCATCAATTCAGATTTTAATTTTCATCATGAGATGATGATGATGATGATGATGATGTGACTGATAGTAAGAATGATGAATATTGATAAGCATGTTTACAGGGAAACTCCCATCAATCCAGACAGCAGCTATCCCAATCATCCACAATAAGGAACTTGGAATAAATGATTCTGGTGTTATGATCCTTTGTATATTATGGACATATCCAAAAGTAATCTTCAAGAAGGCAGAGTTTCCAGATTAACTGAATTTGGTGTAAGAGATTCCCATATATATGCTATTGAGCCTCTTTGACACAAATGTTGGATATATTCCTATATTTAAGAAGGTTATACAATTCTTCTATTGAAGATCTATGTTAATATAACATAGTTTTACATCTTATGTAATTTCTTGTGATGCAGATACTCAGTATTATTGCATTTCACATCAACAATAAAACTTGGAAAATCATTTTGTTTTGATTCATTAGTAGATTCTGTCCATCTTAGTCTCACAAGAAACTATGTGATGCCATGTCTATACAATAGCTTGCCCTTTTCTTATTTGCATTATCTTACACACGTGCGGGTCATGGGTGGTCCAGTCATCTAAGGCACCACGACTCGCTGTGCAGAGTTGCGTCCCTTGAGCACGCCAGAAACCTATGATTGAGGGTTCGAATCCCGGTTCGCCCCGATTATGTTTCTAGGTTTGTCAGCACCATACCCGTGCTCGTGGGTTTCACTGAAGAGGTGAAACCTGAATCACTTTGGGCTTTCCTCCCACCTTAAGCTTACACACCTTGATATACCGTATTCGACATAATAAGCACACGGCTGTAATAAGCACCCACGGCGATATTTTCTGATATATTGTCTAGTGAACAATCCCAATTAGCACCCTTCCCATTGATCAATGTACACAAGACTTATTTATTCGTGTATAATACGCAATCATGTGTTATATGCACCCTTAATTACGGGCAATTTAATTCTGGAAAAATAAATCTCGTGTATAAGGGGGGCACGGGTGGCCCAGTCGTCTAAGGCGCCGCGATTCGCTGTGCAGAGTTGCGTCCCTTGGGCACGCCAGAAACCTATGATTGTTGGTTCGAATCCCGGTTCGCCCCGATTATGTTTCTATGTTTGTCAGCACCATACCCGTTCTGGTGGGTTTCACCGAAGTAGTAAACGTCTGAGACCTGCATCACTTTGGGCTTTCCTCCCACATTAAGCTGACACGCCGTGATATAACTGGAATACTGTTAAAAGCGGCGTTAAACCCAACTCACTCACTCACTCACTGTCGTGTATAATACGCACAGCCCTGGGCGCTTATTACGTGGAATATGGTAACTTGAATACGGTTAAAAGCAGTGTTAAACCCAACTTACTCACTCACTCACACGTGCAAACTTCTGCAAAACATTCTTGTATTCTGTTTTTGGAAGTACTACTGATGAGCAGTGGTCAACATACTGGCGTGACCTGACTGATCGTGTGTCATAGTGACCCCACTGCGTGGATTGGGGCTCATTGTATCAACCACTCGTTGGACGATTAGTTAGAGACCACAAACTGGAAACAATCTCCCATTTGGATTTCAAAGTCACTCATTTTCGTATATAATCAACTTTTACTTAGTATGTAATTTTTCGTTGTTTCAGTAAGAGTGAGTGAATATGGTTTTATGCCGCTTTATTCCAGCAATATCACTGTGGGGACACCAAAATTGGGACACCACATCTTTTCCCATTTAGGGACTCGAACTTGGGCCATCTGAACTTTAACCCAAAGCTGTCTCACTGCCCCTTTTGGATACATTCATACAATTTTTAAAATACCTGGATTTAACGTGGTGCCATTTTCTAATCTCAGCATCTAGGTATGGAGATCTATTGATACGAGTTTAAATAAATTAATTTATTAAACTTCAAAGCATAGTTAGGTACTCTGGTGTTTCCGTGCTTGTAACAGCTTGCTTTTGAAACAAACATCACATCAAGGGACACAGATGCTGATTCAAAAGTGTGAAACTGATTCTGTTGACATGCACTCGCGTTTAGACTTAATAGTTTTTAATACTACAAACACATTCCCACAATTTAGAATTGAACGTGGGCGACGTTTTAATATTCCTCGTCAATTTAGAAAATGTAAAGTTTGTAACTTAAAACATATCGAAAATGGATATAACTTCTTCTTTTTTTTAAAGTTTAATACACACACTTCTGTCATTAATTTCAAAACAGCAAAGTACTTCACATTGTTTCATGCCAATCCTGTTAGAACACAAATACTCCCACTTTTATAACATGCCATGATGTTCAAACTGATATTGTTAAAAAGCAAAACAAATATGCTGTATTCTATTCTGTTTGCACCTAATTTGTATTTCCTTTGTACAAAAAGACCCCTGTACCTTAATAAATAACCCCGTGAAGATTCCGGGGTAGAAAAGGTCTTCAGCAACCCATGCTTGCCGTAAAAGATCACTATGCTTGTCGTAAAAGGCGACTAACGGGATCGGGTGGTCAGACTCGCTGACTTGGTTGATGCATGTCATCGATCCCAATTGCGTGGGTCGATGCTCATGATATTAATCACTGGATTGTCTCGTCCAGACTCGATTATTTACAGACCGCCGTCATATAGCTGGAATATTGCTGAGTGCGGCGTTAAACAACAAATCAACCAACCTTAATGAATAAAGTGTGTGAAGCAGGCCAAAAAATATGTTTCATTACGTTCAAAAGGACCAACAACAACACCTTTACTTTTGTGAATATCGGACTAATCTACAACGAAATTTAATCTTGAGACTTCCATTTTGTTTGCATCGTGTTTTGCATATATATCTTGTTTGTTTGCTTTGTTTTGTTTGTTTGTTCTTTTTACGCCATACTCAGCAGTATTACAGCTATATTACAACGGTCTGTAAATGATCGAGTCTGGACCAGACAATCCAGGGATTGACATCATGAGCATCGATCCACGCAATTGGGATCGATGACATGCATCAACCAAGTCAGCGAGCTTGACCACCCGATCCCGTTAGTCGCCTTTTACGACAAGCATAGGCGCTTTTAACGGCAAGAATGGGTTGCTGAAGACCTATTCTATCCCGGATTTTCACGGGTCGGGTGAGTCTAGAAACATAATCGGGGCGGACCGGGATTCCAATCCACAATCACGGGTTTCGGGCGTGCCCAAGAGACGCAACTCTGCACAGTGAATCGCAGCGCCTTAGACGACTGGGCCAATCGTGCCCCAAGTTTCACGTAATATGTGACAATACATTTAGTAAGATTATTAACATTACCAAGATTAACCCCCTAGTTAGGCTCAGAACTTTTCAGCTAACCTTCGATTTTCAATGTACGGTTGAATTGAAAACGCGATTATGAGATGTGTGTCTAAAGTTGTACATGCACGGCTACATGTCCGCCCTACAACCGTGGTAGGAGGCAATGACGAACTGCTAAAGCGACTATATAAGTCTTTGAGGATTAATAGAAAAATATATATCAGTTTTGCGGTTTGGACGGGTAACTCGGGTACCCGGGTCGGGTGGGTACTGAGTAGGACCCGGGTACCCGAAGGACTACCCGGACCCGCGTGGTTGGTCATGTGATATATCGTTTAATGACAAAAAATATCTAGAACTCTATGGTTACACTACAAGTCACAAATGTTCGCATTTCTTTCTGACTATGTACCAATTTCTTCTGACTTTTCACATCTTTGAATAAACATATAACTTGAGTAAACTTCAGTGTATGCATGACAAGATTGTTTAATACATGTATCTAAATACGTTTTGCCAGTGCTATGGTAAAAAAATGCCAAATCAGACATTTTGTACCTATCTCTTGAGACCTACAGTGGGTACCCGGGTAGGGTCGGGTAACAGGGGGGTGGGTACCCGGGTCGTAGATTCGGACTCGTCCCAGCCCTTGCAATAACACACCTGTAGGTATTTTAAAAGTGTCACCACGAAAACGCGGTCTTAGCATTTTCCTACAAAATACCTAAAGGTTAACACGTGTTTTCAGTACTTTAATTTATTTCTCAAATCTGTGATATGTTGCGTTATTTGGCTGTTCTTAGGCCTGAAGACATTTATCCAACAAAAATGTATTTATTTTTTACTAGTTTCAATATGTTTTGAAATACTGCCGATATGACATAAAAATATTACTCACTCACTCACATTAAACCAACATAAGAATAAAACATTGACCTACGTATCTTCGAGGCCCTGAAGGGCTGGCTGTTCGTCTTAAGCGCCACGCATTGCCGTCCGGAGTTACGTACCTTATCAGCGTCAGGATCTCTGAATCACATTTTCTTTCTGATTGCGCTCTTTGGCGTTTTAACATCATAACCTAAAGCTGTAAAGGTATAGCCCCAGTCTTTGTACCAATTCTGCCCCGGGTTCCCAACGGGGTTAGGTCATGATGCGATGTCGTGCTGCATGGTCGCCGACAACAACATCGCCGTTTTCTATAAAGATGTGATATGTAACATTCTGACGTTCCCATTAAAACCGATACTATAGACACTGGAGATGAAGATGGACTAGGTTAGAATATGTCTTCAGCATGTCATCGAATCCCAATTTCGTGGATCGATGCTCGTGATGGCAATCACTGGATTGTCTGGTCCAGACTCGATTATTTACAGACCGCCATTATATAGCTGGGATATTGCAGTGTGCGGTGTGCAGCAAACAAATAAACAATGAACACTGACCATCCGAGCCCGTTGTCTCTGGACTCGTGACTTTGCATGGATTTTGAGCGGCAACTAATCGTTGAGGAGCAATTGAACAGTCAGGATTTGCCACGTGGAAACGAAACACTATTTTAAATTTCACTGGATGATGTTAAAAAGAATACCATGCATCTGGCGCGGTAATCTGATGGTCTCGTCACCAGACTACACGTGTTCTGAAGCAACCAATCAAAGTTACACTCGAAACATAATAAATAAGCGATTTCTCCAATGTTACATCAGTTGGTTGCCTTTAAACTTCAACCTCAAGGTAAATATGACTTATATATGCTTTGTTTCAAGACGGTATGGACTGTGTCATAAGTAATGAATTATTGACTCCGTGTAGTAATTACACAATGTTCTGTACCTAAACGTGGGTTACCTAATATGTATCTAAAACAGATTAAAATGGCCATCGGTTATCCGTCTCTATGCTTTGGCTGATGACGTGTCATCCTACCCGATGGCGTGGAACTTTTATTCTTTAATTGGTTTGCTTGAACACCTGGTGTCATTGATTTAAAGTGATCCATTCATATATGGAATCTGTTTCGTTGGACAGTCGAGACTGGTTGTTCTTTGGCCTTGGTGCTTTATATTCAGTCCGCCGCGAAATAGATAAAATATTGCTGACTGGATCGTTAAACAGTATATAAGCAATGTCATACTTAAATTTATGTGCAAAAAATTAAATACGAATATCGATCATACAAACAACTCAAGTATACTATTTGACTGATACCAGTGATGTACGAACTTCCATCTTCCCGAGGCAAGGGAGTTAAAGTCCAGTCAATTAACTCCCCTGTCGATGGGGCAGGATACGCTTACGTTTTGGCGAACACCTGGTACCATCACTGATTAACAGACCGCCTCCGTGGTCTTGTGGTAGAGCGGAAGGTCCGGGGTTCGATCCCCGGCCGCGTCACTCCAAAAGACGTTAAAAGATGGTACTTGTTGTTACCCTGTCTGGCGCTCGGCATTAAGGGGCTAAAACAAGGACTGGTCGGCTCGGAGTCAGTATACTGTGTCTGAGTGGGGTATTCATGTTAAACTGCGGCATCAGTCCGGACTAGTACAAGCAGCCACACACACACGTGCATGCACGTCGCTGTAAAAGTGCAATAATCTTGGACGCGACGTTGAACCCAATTTCACCTCACCACCTCACTGATTGAGATTTATCGACACATGCTCAGGATATAGAACGGATGTTTTACAGATAGTTTATATGATTATGAAAATGGTATTTCTACATCGAATAAGATATATTTTCAGATGATGTTCATCACTGCGTTGGTAAGTCTTCTGCTGACGGCGGTAATAACAGAGGGCCAAGTGTGTTCCCGTGTGGTAGACGACTCTGTCTATGGATTGGAGTCGGATTCGGCGTCTGTTCGGCTGGGCTATGCTGCCGTGAGGTAAGTGGTAGTACCAAACTTGTCCTAACTGTATTCATATACTCAAATGAATATTGCTGGTTGCGGCGTTATGAAACATTCACTCACTCATTGTGTGACCGATCAGGGATGTTGTCGATATGATAGTTTTCAGGAGTTACCAAGATTTCATTATGACGAGCATCCGTTGTGATTAATTAATTATCTCTATGGTATTACATATATCACGGTGTTTCTATAGCAGTTACACTGTTTTGCATGATATAGTCATTCAAACAAATATGACAGCTTGCCCAAAGCTTTTTGAAATAATCTATTGCAATTCCTGATTGATGTATACTTTGTTAACTTGAATAAGTTGTAATTCTATTTTAAGGACGGGATGTCTAGAAATATTTGCAGAAACATGTACATGTTTAAATTCTCTCAGCGATAGCTTTTTCTCTCTCTTATAATGCTTTTACACTGGCAAGAGACTTATACAATGCATTTGATCAATGCCCCATGGGGTAGAATGTCCCCCCTGCACCCCGTGCAAGTCGCAAGATTCGATGTTTTGTATGGAGACGAGACATTTTTTTCAGGTACGACTCCAAAACAAGATATTTTTTAATTTATAACTATGAGCCTAAATAAAATTAAAAAATTAAAGTTTCTAGCAACAGTGTAGTTTCTGTGGCAGACAATCTATTTTTGTTAACTGTCTGAGTGAGTGAGTGAGTGAGTATGGTTTTACGCCGCTTTTAGCAATATTCCAGCAATATCACGGCGGGGGACACCAGAAATGGGCTTTACACATTGTACCCATGTTGGGAACCGAACCCGGGTCTTCGGCGTGACGAGCGAACGCTTTAACCACTAGGCTACCCGACCGCCGCCTTTTAACTATCTGAAAAATAACTATTTTTTCAAGCACTTTTTTGAGATAAAATCCCAGGTGAAACCCGCGTGTACCAAGGTTTGACCAAAATTTGGTTGACCAATGTTGCATATGTAAACTGATTTACGTCATACTTCGTTTGACAAAAGTTGCATATACCCACGACGTCATCGTTAAATCTTATTAGTTTCATTTATTGATTCAATAAAAAACATTTATCGATTATTGGGTATTGATAGTATATATGCATTCTGATATGCGCCAGGGATATTAACTTTCGATATTCGATATGTAGGGTTCGCGCTACGAATATGGACTTAAATCAATTAAAGTTGGGATATTACAAAATGCATAGTTCTAAGATCGTATTGTGAACACTCGACGAGTAGATCTACCGCCTGCTTTGTAACCCGATAGTTTGGATCGCACCACATGCTATTGACTATTGGTGTGCCTGGTCCAGACTGAATGATTTAAATGATATGTAGGACATATATGCGGTGTAAAACAACATTCATCCACTCGCGCCTTGTACCCGTGAATATCCTGGTTAGAATAGGTCTTCAGAAACCCATACTTGCCGTGAAAGGTGGCTATGCTTGTTGTAAGAGGCGACTAACGGGATCGGGTGGTCAGGCTCCCTGACTTGCGTGGAACGATGCTCATGATGTCAATCACTTGCTTGTCTAGTCTAGACTCGATTATTTACAGACCGCCCTCATATAGCTGTAATATTGCTAAGTGCGGCGTTAAACAACAAACAAACAAAACGTACGCCTTGTGAATGGGTCCTACGTGTCTGATCGTATGGATCTTTGCTCAAGCGATCAACCACGGGTTTGTCGGGTCCTGTCACTGTCACACACAGGCCGTCATTACTATAACCTGCTCAGCAAAATCTGGCGCATCCAGACGACCGGACCATTCGTGTTCCCTATTAAATAGTGTCAGGTAATGAAATTATTTGATGTAAGCATGGTAACACATCACTTATTTCAGTTCAAGGGTCCAAACCGCCATGAAAAGTCAAGGTGGTATCGCTGCCAAGTCTCAGAGCCAAAGATGTGCCGTCAGCAAAACAGCTAGGTAAACAGGTTCATATTATTATTATATTTTACGGATTAATATTCTTAAAACAGCAAGGAGCGTTCGGGTGATCTTGGCACAGCAAGGATGGGGTGTTCTGGCCCCTGGCCGGACTTGGTCAGGTTTGTTAGCTCGGATACATCTGAGGCTGTGTATGGGCCTCTCCAAAGAACAGTTGTCCTTTTCCTTGACGCTCTCTACATATTTTGGTGGTACAGTAGATTGACCTCTGAGTCAAAACTCAAAAACTCGAAGACGGTAATAAAAGGATGTTGCTTAAGATACTGTGTTTTTGCCAAAGATGGGCATTTCTGACAATGTGTTGGTCAGTCCCTTTAAATTCATTGCATACTCTTCATTTATTATTATTATTATTATTATAATAAAATGCATGGTTGCTGGCTACTCATCGTTCCCAATAGTGGTTATTGTTTTCAGTCATTGGTTCGTCCAGTCATTGGTTGGTCTTGTCAAGACTTGTTTACATGCAGAGCGCCACAATTTGAAACATTAATGGAAAAACATGTTCTTGTCTGGGGTGGCTTGTGAGAAGTGGTCTGCGATTTGAATTGGTTGAAGTTATTACATTACGTCACTTCATCACTTTGAAAGGTATCGTATGTCCAGTAGTGTATTGTGTCTCAAAGTGAATGGTTTTATTTATTATAAACTTGAGTGTGAAAGACTGAGTTTTCTGAAGTTAAGAAAAGTGACATGACACTTGATATTTCACTGCAGTGAACACAACACTTTGACGTAACTATTGTCATACAAGAGTTAACTTCCCTTAAATTGTCTCCCTTTGTCGTAAGAGCACGCCCGAACAAACTGTTGACGCCCTGTTTACGTTAGTTCCACATTGACAAGGCAAAATAATGACAGATGGTCATTTATGAAGTTAATATCACTTCTTGTCGTTTGTTATTCTCTCGGAAATCTTTCGTTATAAACTGTAAATTTCTCATTTAACTCGTCAATCGAGAATGTTCGTTTCACAAAGCGCCATTTTTGTTACTTGACAAGCGTGTATTCTTTCGCTTCGGTCTCCTTGTTTTCAAGAATATTTTTTTGTTAAAGTTGATTTTTTATATGATCATATCGAAATGTATGACAAAGAATGTTCGTGACCCGAAATATTTTTTTATATATTTTTGTTTACATTTATTTAGATTTTGCAAACACGAAACTACTTTTTTAAGTCGCAAATACAAGGGGTGGTGAACCGTCCCTGTGTGTTAGGTACGGAGAATTTACGTTTCATGTTTTCACATTTGTAATGAAATAAATCAATTTTCCGGAAGAATACTACACAAAACGTATATAATATACAGGATATTTCATGTGGCTCGTGAAATATCCTGTTTCCCTCATCTCGTGACGGGGGGAAAGGAGACATTTTCGTGAAAATATCTCCTTTTCCCCCGTCACTCGATGAGAGAAACAAGATATTTCACTCGACATATGAAATATCCTCTATGTAGTGTCAGCAGTTCCCTCCGCCATCCATGGGGAAGAACCTGTGAAGCCTGTCCCCCGAGAGTGTACTACCTTCGCCGCTTTCTTAGATACTGTTACGTCGCCCAATGGCCCTTCAAGCAGCAGATCAGATACGTCCGATGCCCGTGAGTATATCTTCATGTCAATACTACAGTCGAACCTCGTTGTGTCGAACTTGGATGTGTCAAATCACCGGTTGTCTCGGACATTTGGGGAGTCCCAAGTATCCAAATAAAGCTTAAAATTTTCGAACTTTTTATCAGGTCCCCTCGAGTTCGACACAACAAGGTGGGAATAGGAATAGGAGGATGTAGGCATATGTAAACATCCTCCTATTCCTATTCCCACCTCGTTGTGTCGAACTCGTGAGCACCTGGGGAAAAGTTCGGGTTATCCGGGGTTCGAGACCGCAGGTACAATGTATATATATTTATATTGACAATGTACTTACTTGAAATATGTGGAGATCATACCCTGTATACGTGGTATTCAATCTGAGAAATATGGTAGAAAGTATATACACCTTCATGAGCAAACATATCTTCTATTAAACACGATAAATATCTTCATACCATTAGGGATTTATTGACATATCATCATGTGTAAAATGGGTAGTTAATAAGTAAATTATTTTAACATGAGTTTAACATAGTTTGTGTTCAATGCAAGAAACACATTTTGTATTCACAACTAGCAAGTGACACACGCGTGTTGCACAACGTTTTATGTTAATCGGCTTTTGACAGATAATTCAAATTCGGTAATTCACCGATTTTTTAACTTATGACAAAAAGTCCTTAAGTTTATATATATACCACATCACAATAAGACCCTTGAGTATTTTCCCTAAAAGAAACAATATAATAACTTCATATGTACCAATGTCGGAGACCGTAAGCGGCATTTCTCGTTTGAAACCATATTCTATTGTCAACATGTACAGTTTTCTGACATAAAACATTAATACAGAAAATATTAGGTCTGGATAAATATTGATTTAATCTGAATATTCAGCAAAACATTAATTTGCTGCGAACATTCGGCCAACTTTGAATATAGAAAGGCTGGCTCGTTATTCCTTCTCAAGAAAGTGTTTTCGTTTCAGGTACCGGTGCAATCAGCCATGTTGGTGCTCTAATAGCAGGTGCGTGGCCACACGCCACTCTCTGGTCTGGGTGTGGGCCTATTGTACCAGGAGCACCAGCCTTGGCTTCGTACGGGGCATCAACTACCGCTGGCTGTGGCTCCCACAAGACTGTCAGTGCAGGGAGAGTTAAGAGTATATCCCGGGATAGCCGTCGTGACAGACCTACACATGTCAATGTCAACAGCATAATAAAATCCTTGAAGGAATACCTGTTAGTGTTGATATTTTAACAATTAAGATTTGTCTTGATGATGATTCGTGGTTTGCCAGCACGGTATTTGTGCTTGGGTTTTTCACTGGGGCGTCTTAGACAATGGCCCTCCAACATTTTGTTGACACTCCTTCACGGCTGAAATACTGTTGGAAATCCGTTTTCTATTGAAGTAATAAGACTCTTTTCGAAAGATCAACTGTTTAATCATATCCTATTATAGTCGAGGTTGATAGAGTGTGTACGTAATTTTCGGATTACCATACTCTTTCAGGTGTACGAGGTAAAAAGGGACGTTCGCAGCCTCACATATAAAATCGTTCAGAAACAAAACGGTTCGCATGTTATGTTTCAAAATAATCACTTCAAAATACTTGGTCCAGCGATGCTCCAACTTTGTTATCCTTGACCTGTCGAAGACTTCATCTTGTTCTCGACGACGACAATCTCCTCGACCTTACTTGTAAAACCTTTATCTGGCAGGTGTGATTTGAGCTTATGGAAGAGGTAAAGGTCAGAGGTGGTAGGTCAGGGGTGAAAGGTCAAGGGGAATTAATTCAAAACCCAAATCTACAGCTAGCGCCAGTTGTGACGCATTGTCCTGAAGCAGTAGCACACACTGAACGGAACTTTCATCGACGATTTCCAATTTCAGCGTCTCTCAACAGCACAGTATTGACCTGGTTGCAGGAAGACAATCAAGATATCCACTTATAGTCTGATGACCTCTGCCTGTGATGTAAGCTAAGTCCCACACAATTTGCACCCGTCTGATGATTTCTGCCTCTTAGTGAAACTACTTTCCTCAGAACTGGCTATAGTCTGATGACTTCTGCCTGTGAAATATATTTGATTGCTGCGTTAAACATTCACTCATTTACTCAATGTCTGTAGCTTTGAAAGTGCTTTTTACTTTCAAATAGTGCTTATACTACAAATAGGTGTAAAACTACCCATGCAACCTTAGACAATATTCATCCACTCAGTATGATGTTCACACCCATCTGTCCATCAGGTAAGTTTAAAGCAATGACTCTCTCTCTCTCTGCGATCTGCTGTTGAGATACAGTAACGGCTCTTGTCTAAGAAGAGGCCTCTTCCTCACTGCTGGTGCTGTGTTGCCTATTGAAGACGGTCCCGGCGATGACGTGTTGTCAGAATGGGTCCTCGGTGTGGCCAGTGACAGTGGAGGTGTCTGCTTGTCAATCGTTGATGCAAGATGTCCGCACTAATGTGTCGCTGGTGTGTCACCATGGTCTGTTGAGCAGTTTCAGCAGCAGTATCAAAGCCATCTTGAAGATGCTGTTACACAATCTGACGATCCTGACGTCGGGTGGTTACCCTTAGTCTTCCACTACTTGGTCGGTCATCTGTAGTGTTGGTGGTCTGGTGACGTTGCTGGAACCTGTATATGGTCCTTACATGGACTTGAAATGCATTGGCTACTTGCCGGTCGGTTTGTCCAGCTTGCAATCGTCCAGGGCTTGGTGTAGCTGATTTCTTGTCAATCTTGTCATGTGGTAGCAATTCAATAAAAAATAAATGTTATTGGATTTTAGGGGGAACGCATGTGCATTTCACACACACATACACACACGCGCGTGCATGCACCTCTCTATATAAGTGCAATAATCTTGGACCTTTGTAATGAAATGGTTGAATTCCTACTCAATGAAAGATAAAAAGAGATTATAGTTTTAAAATTTTCTTTCATCAATTTAATTGTACAGGTATAGAGTTTCTTGCATCACAAGATATAACAACAGCCTTGGCACAGTATAGAATAATACTACATAAACACACACAATATAAACACATGACTTATGTAGAAATGATTGTGGCCATAATAAATATTTGCATCGGAAATTGGAGCACTCTTCAGAGACACAATAGCTGGGATCATACATACACATGTTCATCTCTTTAGGCCTTGCTGAACAATTAGAAAAAAAGCGTGTATGTAAAAGTTGTAGTTTGATAGAAAGAAAAGCATTATATGTCATTCTGTATACCACATACTTGCTGCATATCAAATTTCATGATACATGCACAAATGCTGTCGATTAGACAAAAATCACATTTTCAATATATATATTAAATAGGATTGGACGAGATAAAGTTCAAAATGATGATGGACAATGGGCCATGACATAATCTCCTTTGACTTTTGAGTCAGGTGAGTTACAAAATGTAACATTGTATAATCTTCCGCAACGCTATCCTCATCACGTTCATCATCATTACATACTTCATCAACACTCGTTAATAATCACCAGAAGCACCATCATCATTCTGTACAACATCATCATCCTGTACATCATCATCATATGCACAGTCTGAAACTTCAACCAGCAGTCTAAATAGATCAGCTTATACTAATCACCATATAATGAGGCTAAAATCTCCTGAAAGTAATGCAGAAATCTGTTTTGGGGCTTCAGCCTTTAAAGTTAATGGAACAGTCTGTATATCATACCAACAACATTACCATCATCAACATGAATATCAGCAACATCAGCATCAACATGAATATCATCACCAGTGATGCCATCATGATGCACAACAGCATCGTTGTACATGTTACCTTGAATCTTTAAAGTTATTCCATGTAACCTTGAATCTTTAAAGTTATTCCAGTTTACCTTGACTCTTTAAAGTTATTCCATGTTACCTTGACACTTTAAAGTTATTCCATGTTACCTTGAATCTTTAAAGTTATTCTATGTTACCTTGAATCTTTAAAGTTATTCCATGTTACCTTGACACTTTAAAGTTATTCCATGTTACCTTGAATCTTTAAAGTTATTCAATTTTACCTTGACTCTTTAAAGTTATTCCATTTTACCTTGACTCTTTAAAGTTATTCCATGTTACCTTGACTCTTTAAAGTTATTCCATTTTACCTTGAATCTTTAAAGTTATTCCATGTTACCTTGAATCTTTAAAGTTATTCCATGTTACCTTGAATCTTTCAAAGTTATTCCAGTTTACCTTGACTCTTTAAAGTTATTCCATTTTACCTTGAATCTTTAAAGTTATTCCAGTTTACCTTGACTCTTTAAAGTTATTCCATTTTACCTTGAATCTTTAAAGTTATTCCATGTTACCTTGACACTTTAAAGTTATTCCATGTTACCTTGAATCTTTAAAGTTATTCCATGTTACCTTGACACTTTAAAGTTATTCCATGTTACCTTGAATCTTTAAAGTTATTCCATGTTACCTTGAATCTTTAAAGTTATTCCATGTTACCTTGAATCTTTCAAAGTTATTCCAGTTTACCTTGACTCTTTAAAGTTATTCCATTTTACCTTGAATCTTTAAAGTTATTCAATGTTACCTTGACTCTTTAAAGTTATTCCATGTTACCTTAAATCTTTAAAGTTATTCCATGTTACCTTGAATCTTTAAAGTTATTCCATGTTACCTTGAATCTTTAAAGTTATTCCATTTTACCTTGAGTCTTTAAAGTTATTCCAGTTTACCTTGACTCTTTAAAGTTATTCCAGTTTACCTTGACTCTTTAAAGTTATTCCATGTTACCTTGAATCTTTAAAGTTATTCCATGTTACCTTGACTCTTTAAAGTTATTCCAGTTTACCTTGAATCTTTAAAGTTATTCCATGTTACCTTGAATCTTTAAAGTTATTCCATGTTACCTTGACTCTTTAAAGTTATTCCAGTTTACCTTGACTCTTTAAAGTTATTCCACTTTACCTTGAATCTTTAAAGTTATTCCATGTTACCTTGAATCTTAAAGTTATTCCATGTTACCTTGAATCTTTAAAGTTATTCCATGTTACCTTGAATCTTTAAAGTTATTCCATGTTACCTTGACACTTTAAAGTTATTCCATGTTACCTTGAATCTTTAAAGTTATTCCATGTTACCTTGAATCTTTAAAGTAATTCTATGTTACCTTGAATCTTTAAAGTTATTCAATGTTACCTTGACTCTTTAAAGTTATTCCATTTTACCTTGACTCTTTAAAGTTATTCCATGTTACCTTGACTCTTTAAAGTTATTCCATTTTACCTTGAATCATTAAAGTTATTCCAGTTTACCTTGACTCTTTAAAGTTATTCCATTTTACCTTGAATCTTTAAAGTTATTCAATGTTACCTTGACTCTTTAAAGTTATTCCATGTTACCTTGAATCTTTAAAGTTATTCCATGTTACCTTGAATCTTTCAAAGTTATTCCAGTTTACCTTGACTCTTTAAAGTTATTCCATGTTACCTTGAATCTTTAAAGTTATTCAATGTTACCTTGACTCTTTAAAGTTATTCCATTTTACCTTGAATCTTTAAAGTTATTCCAGTTTACCTTGACTCTTTAAAGTTATTCCATGTTACCTTGACACTTTAAAGTTATTCCATGTTACCTTGAATCTTTAAAGTTATTCCATGTTACCTTGAATCTTTAAAGTTATTCCAGTTTACCTTGACTCTGTAAAGTTATTCCATTTTACCTTGACTCTTTAAAGTTATTCCATGTTACCTTGACTCTTTAAAGTTATTCCATTTTACCTTGAATCTTTAAAGTTATTCCATGTTACCTTGAATCTTTAAAGTTATTCCATGTTACCTTAAATCTTTCAAAGTTATTCCATGAATGTTCACACATTACACAAATAAGCGGCACATAACACTATAGGAATGTCAAGAATGTTGGGATCTCTACATTGTTTGAATGTGAACTCCACATATTATACAATACAATTGCAACAGTTAAGATGCTCTCGTTAACCATCTCTTATTGGGAACATATTGCTAGTATACTGGTATATAACTGGACCCTCAGGCTTGGAGGCATGAACAATATTAGTCAACCCAAAATATTACTGTCTACTGAAAAATAAGCAGGCAGCTTATACACATGAGTGAGTAAGTGAGTTTGGTTTTACGCCGCTTTTAGCAATATTCCAGCAATATTACGGCGAGGGACACCAGAAATGAGCTTGACACATTGTACCCATGTCGGGAATCGAACCCG